TTTTTTGCACAGAAAGAGGAACGATAATCTGATTTTGCTTCAACTCAGCAAATTTTTATATTTGCGTCGGTGCTAGGTCAGGTGCGAAAATGTACAATTTCGGTCAACTTCATCAAGTACCTCTCCCACAAAGGATCATAATTTTAAATACTAATATCTCCCATAACTTGCGAAATAAGTCAGCGATTCCATTCAAACTTGGTATATCAAAATATTTCACTCAACCACAGATCTGATGTGAATACGAGATTAAGCTGTCCACTCCTTCTACTACCTCCCCCACAAAAAGTTAGAATTTTGGCTTATAATAATTCGCATCTAAGTGGAAATAAATGTTCTTTATTTTGCATATTTTACCAATAATATATCAGGTGGAACACTTCGGCCCACTATATATGTTACCTCGAGCACATTACAACGTTTTCCAAAAATTATTAAAACTTATATATATAAAGGATATGTAAACGATATTGTCCAAATCTGGCACGTTTTAAAATTTATATCAGCATAATCTGGATATCAAATATAAGGTTCACTATCTATTCTAGAGACGGGTAAGCAATGGATTCTACGCCACGATATAACTACTATAACAACCAACCAGCATAGATCCCACGAAATTTTGGTCTATGATAGGGACAATCCAAGTTTCAGCCGGCCAATTCTGTAATAGCTGAATGGCTGTTGATACAGCATGCCAACGTCATAAATTCAAAATCGGTGGTTCTGGATCAAAATGATTCTATGCCATTAAAGACAAATTTCCAGCAATAGAATTTATTTTTTTTTCGAATTTGTATTCATATAGCCAGTTGTAAATTCAAAATGTAAATTCCATTAACGTTTAAGATGTATGCTACATACTTTTAGGATTCCCATATAGGATCCCCTAATAACTCCTAAGATTAAAGTGTAAAAAGTGCAACAAACACATTTATTCAAATCTTCTCTGGAGTATCCTCTCCTTCTTTCTCACCCCTACATCCCTAGAAGCATTTGCAAAACATGCAAATGCCCTAGAAAATAATTACACAGACATTTCTGTCTCCATGGTGTGGAACGACTTTAATTACATATGTGGATTTGTGTGTGTGTTTGCTAGACTTAATGTGAATTTACTGAACACAATCACAGCCACACATATATATGGAAATATATTTTTTTGTGCTCTGAGAAAGTTTAATCTTTCCAACACTTTAACTAAAGTAAGATTTGTTGTTTTGCTCTCTACTCAGTGCTCAGTTACGGTTAATGTAAGCTACGCACTTCACAAATGACTGAGTGAGCGTACATTTGTTTATGAAGATATATATGTGAATGCGTTTGTGTGTGCTGCAAAATGTTAGCAGGAAACGGAAGTAAAATAATTTCATTTTTTCCACAGCCCATTGCCACCCATAACTCACGTTCGCTCTCCGCTGGCTCATAGGAGTAAAATCTGCCAGAACAGCTGTGACAATGATAAAAGCCATAATAAAGTAGGAATATAATAATAACAATGACGATGCCGTGTGGATGTGGCTGTGGCTGTGACTGCGGCTGTGGATGGTGGATGAGGATGCCGATGATAATAACAATAATAAAGTGCATTAATAAAACTGACATTGTCAAGTTGAAAGGAGTCTTTAAAACAAGATTTAGTGGAGTTCGTTTATGGCACAAGTCAAAAAAATACTGGTGGGAGGGGGAGGAGTTTGGCTGGCAGCGGTGATTAATAATTGGAAATTTGATGGAGAAAAGGATGCTGAAAATCGGATTCAATTTGCAATGAATTAATTTTTCAAGATTTTTGAAGAAAAGGATGTCTTACAGGATGAAAAAATATTGCTTAGTCGGTTTTGCCGGCAGATGTATACCCTAAGCCAATGTTCGATTATTTAAATATTTTTGGATTTCTGCTATGAAATTGAAATTGTTGACCCTCTTTGGAGTAGGTTCCGAAAGAATGATACAAATAAAAATTATACAAATATTGCGACGTGTCAAGTTTGAACTATATCAACTACTTTTGTGGGGAGGTACCAGAAGGAATGGTCCGATCTCTACCATCTTTATAACAGATCTTGTGTTGATGAAAATATTGAGATGTACCAAGTCTGAATGGAATCGGATGTAAATATTGCATTCATGGATATTCAAAATATTTACCCTTTGTGCGGGAGGTATCAGAAGGAGTGCGCCGATATATCCCATCTTCACAGCAGATCTTGTCTTAGTAGAAACATTGAGATGTATGAAATATGAAGAGAGCTAACTGCTTATTTCGGTTTTTGTAATATTTTTGGTTATTCAAAATGTTAACCCTTTGTTGGTGAGATACAAGAAGAAATGGTCCGATCTCTACCATCTTCATAACAGATCCTGTGTCGATGGAAATATTGAGATGTGCCAAGTCTGAATGGAATCGGATGTTAATTTCATGTTTTATGAGCTTCATGAGTATTCAAAAATTTGACCCTTTGTAGAGGAGGTACCAGAGAAAAGTGCGACCAGAAGAAGTGCGCCAATATCTCCCATCTTCACAGCAGATCTTGTGTTAGTAGAAATAATGGAATGTGTGAAATATGAAGAGAGCCGGATGCTTATTTTGGATTTTATAGTCTTTTTCGTTTTTTAAAACTTTGACCCTTTGTGGGGGACGTAGCAGAAGAAAAGGTCCGATCTTTACCATCTTTATAAGAGATCTTCTGTTGATGGAAATATTGAGATTTGCCAAGTCTGAATGAAATCGAATGTTAATTTCGCGTTTTATGAACTTCATGGATATTCAAAATTTCGACCTTTTGTGGGGAGGCACCAGAAGGAGTAGACCGATGTATTCCATCTTAACACCAGACCTTGGGTTAATAAAAAATATTGTGATGTGCGAAATTTGAAGACAATCGGACTCTTACATCACATTTTGTAAGAGTTATAATTATTCAAAAATGTTACCCTTTGTGGGGGAGGTACTTGATGGAGTGGACCGATATTGCACCTGTTCTAGCACTGATGCAAATATTAGGATTCGCAAAGTTGGAGCAAAATCGGGTTATCCTTTCTCTTTCTGCGCAGTAAAATATTATTTTGAAAATTGGACCGGTATTGCCCATCTCCAAACTCGATCGAAGTTTGGTAATAATATTAAGAAGTTTGGATCAAATCGGATACTCCCTTCGAGACAGACGGATGGACATCGCTACATCTACTCCAAATTTCCTGAAAAGGATTTGGCCCAAAGCGAACTATGGTCTAAAACCGTTATTTCGATGAGGCAAGTTTTAGCCGCATCAAATGCATAATACCCTCTCTCGCCATATGACTGAGGGTATAAAAAATAATTTGAAGTATCTAAACCTCAATGCATATTTTTAGCCACCATATAACGGTACCTCCCTTTTTTCGGTATTTGTATGATTTAGAGACATTTTTCTCCGAAATTGTTTCAAATTTCGTCTTCGAAGTTCGTAATGAATGTTTCAAACTATGACTGAAAATTGTATATGCAGGTCTAGGTATTCGTATACCCCACATATAACGGTACCTCCCTTTTTCGGCATTTTGATGATATTGGCGACATTATTCAACGGAATGATTTTAAGTTTCGTATTTAAAGGTCCTATTGGTTACTACAGCCTATGACAAAAAATTGCGTATGCACTAACGGTATTTTTCGACGAAATGTTATTAACATTTTGCAAGTATTAAAAGATCGGCCTGATTGAACTTAGCTGATTTTTTACTTGTTCAGAACACTTTGGGTTCACGCGGATTAGAAGTGAATTTTTCAACGTTAGTTAGAACGGGTAACATATTTTTAAATTTCCATGCCCCACCTGGCAGTGTGATGGAAAAGAAAATATCGATCGATTTCTCTTAAGCCGATCCCTGCCTAAAATTTAGTACTCTCATCATAAATGTAAAATTTTGAACCAAATTCTCTAAAATATCCAAATTTCCAACAAATATATTGTAAACAAGATTAAATTGTCTTATTTCACAAAATAGTATATTCTCATCTGGGATGCAGCGGAAATTGTAAAACAGCATATGTGTGTATGTTTGTGTTCATGTGTGACAATGTGACCACCACCACCATATCGGCCATGCCATTCATATTGTCAAACTAGGGCTATAAAATTGATTAATTAATACTTCATTGAGCACAATTACCCTCCCCACCATCGCCACCACTCCAGCTCTCATGAAATGCACTTACGGCCAGCAGGAATATTTCAAGGTTTTGGGTTTCAAACCCCTGGTCCGTTTCGATAACAAATATTTAATAAAGTCATTGTTAAAGGTCGCTCATATTACGTGCAAACAAACATTTATCTTAATTGTTTATTTGTATGTGAATATACGATATACTCACACAATTTACTCTTACCCCCTGCCTCTCTCGCGCTCTCTCCCTCTCTTTCATACTCTCGTATTTTGTAAAAATTTATTGCTCCATAACTCATGAGTTACTCACGCAAACGGAAAACTGTAATAAAACAGGGAAACTATTCAATTGATCGATTTTCGTTTTTTTTTTTTTTTTTTTTGGATTTTGGAAATAAAAGTCCCACATCAAATGGCATTTAGTTGTTTAATTTTGTCATTTCATTTGAGCATTGGTGTGGACAAAGAGACAGTTTGGATGATTGTTTGTTTTTTTATGGATTAAAGCATGAACACATCATTATATTAACATCCCTTATAATGTCGGGTATCTATTCTCGCGTTTTCATAATTTTGGGTATTTTTACAAGCCTATGAGAATTACGTTACTACGTCACATATATATTAAGTCTATGAGAACCATTTATTCATTACTAGTTTTATAAATCTGTAAAATTCCAAAAAACCAAAATTAAGACTTTTTGAGGATTGAAAAAAATTTGCAAAACAATTGGCGATCATTTTGAACTTCTGGTCCAAATTCATCTTGAGATAAAAATACATATGATTTATTTCTTCACAGTACCAAAATGTTACATTTTATTAATTGCTTCACTTCTTTTATTCAATTTCAGAGTCAATGCGGGTCGCCAACATTCGAAAAAGAACTGCGCCAGCAGCTTGAAAAGTAAGTATGGATTTATAAATATTTGAACAAGCAAATGGATTGGAATAAAAAAACCATAACGAATCTATAACGAAAAGTTTTGACTGAGGCTGATGTAGGGTAAAGACGCTGCCCGGATCAAGCCTAAGGCCCACAAAACTTAAGTAGACCCCAAGTGTTTCAATATCCAATTTCAGAATTCCAGTTTTATACATTCATCCAATACCAAATTTAGTAGCCTTTACTACTTTTCGAGCAAATGTAGTACAGATTTGCAAAACAATCTCCTACTCTACAGGGTGAAATAAAAAACTGCAACAAAGTCAAACGCCATAGTTTTTACATTTTTTTTTATATTTTATTGAATGAAAGCTAAAAATGTCGGAAATAGCATCAAATTTTAGGATTTACCTTTGGCACGAATTATAGCCTTCAAGCGGCCAATGAAACCCTCACACGCTGCCCGAATGTTGCTCTGCGGTATTTTGGCCCATTCCCGCGAAGCTCCTACTTGAAATGATCGACACTTTCGTATTTTTTAGTGGCAACCTTGCTTTTCAAAATACTCTAGACACAATACTCCAACGGATTAGTATCCGGAGATTTTGGTGGCCATTGAGCGCTGGAAATGATGCGAGGAACCTCATTTTGTAACCATGGGTGGCGCGTGCTGAGTCCTGTTGGAATGTCCAAGATCGGCGGCCAAAATGTTTGCGTGCCCATACTTTAATACACCATCCAGAATATTTTCGCGATAATATTTGGCATTTATTCTGATGCCACGGTCGAATTATACGAGCGGAGAGCGACCATTGGCTGTTATGGCGGCCCACACCACACGATCACCATGACCTGCGCTTAAGTTCTGATGGCCAACCGAAGGTGCACATTTTCAGCTGACCTCTTTGGCAAGTAAACACGATTATTTTGTTTGTTTACAAACTGCTGGACAACGAATGTTTTCTCATCGGAGAAAATCAAATTCGGCAGTTCACAACTTTCGGCCAAGCGAAGCAACTCTTTAGCTCTTTTGAGTCTATTTTCTTTTCGTTGCGGTGTAAGTTCTTGCACGTTTTGGAATTTCAATGGCTCAATTTTTCAATATTTTCCGAATGGAACATTGCGATACTTTCAGCTCACGATCTATTTTTCGGCCACTGCGACGCTGGTTTCGATCAAGTCGCTTCTTTACTTTTCGCACTATTTCTGCTGATGTTGCTGCTGCTGTTTTCTTCCGTCCACATCCTTGATGTCGGGCTACGCTACCAGTAACACGATAACGAGCTATGGTACGAGACACAAACGATTTATTCACATTTAAATGCTGGAGTGCTCTAACGATAGCCACTTGTCGTTTTCCAGCCAAATATAAAGAAATCACAGTATCCCGCTTAAATTCCTTCACGAATAACTTTTTTTCTGAAAAATTCTCAGCAAAATGCTTTTGTACGCTTGTAAACTATGTAATGAGCTGTCACTGGAATAATTTTAACAGCTGTCGGACGAGTGGCTTAAAAATTACAGCAGTCTGAAGTTGGTTGCAGTTTTTTTCATCTCACCCTTTACAGCAACATTACTGTAATTTATTGTTTGTTGTAGGGTAACCCATTATCGATCCCGCCCGACTGTATCGTTTACTTACTTGTCTTTGATTTTAATCTGATTTTTTTAATTAAGAATTGAAAAATGCATTTCTTTTAAGACAAACACGCGGAGCCGTCACCGAAAAATCATTCAGCTTTGTTGTCCGATAGGCAGAGTTCGACGAGGTCAATAGAAAAAAAAAATAATAAAGTCGAGCAGTTCTACAAAGTCAATGAGAATTATTTCAGTGCAAATGATCAGCCAATGTTGAGACATGTCACCTACGACTTTTACAAATTTTGCAATTTTTATTTTATGAAAACCCATTTCGTACCTATTAAAATCTGAGGCACATTAAAGAGAGCACAAATAAATACCCTGCTCTCTTTGCTAGTTTTTTCTCCATAAAATTGGCAGAGAAAAAAACTAACGGATTCGTTGGTGTATTAATTTTTAAGGACAGTTTATCTTGTTTTGATCTCGTTTTTTGTACCAGTTTTCCGTTTCCTTACTTTCTGGGTAATGTAGTACTGTTCAATCGAGTTTCACTTTTCGCTCACAATTTAAAAAGAATGGAATTGAGTTATTTAGTTTATTTTACACAAGAATGTCTCCTCTCTTTCAGTAGTCATATAACAATCATACTTTTTCAGTACCCTCTTCCTCGACTTATTTCAACCACTCCAGCGAAAATACTTTAAGTGTTCCAAAGCACCAAACCATTTATTGCTGGGTTTTTACTTCAAAAGAGTGGGATATAGCCTCAATGTGCATTCCCAAGTTATTAAAATTTCGTTACCGTTACTCGCACTAAACTAATTTCCTTTTGCATTACACTGCAGCGAAATTTGCCTATTTTGGCCAAAAAGAAAACAAAACCCATTGCCAACCATCGTCATTATCATTAACAACAGCAGCCAGCCAGGCAAAAGAAAAGAAAGCTTGACGTCGGTTGTGGCCAGAGATGTGCAAAATACTAACGAATACAAATTGTGAGGTTCTCCAAAATGCAGAATTCATCTTCAAAAGAAACAATTTAAAATGACTGAAAACACACATGCATAGCATCAGACATTTGTACCTACATTCATGCATAAGTTAGGAGTTTTGTGTTAGGAGCGACGAAAAACACCAAATAGAGGAGAGGCTTTAACATCCAAGGCGTTAGCAAAGACAGTGGTTGTAGGTTTGACAGCTGGATAATGCCTTATTTGAGCAGTTACGAAATCTCTTGGGTAGGACCAGATTAAATACGGTCAGATAATCTAGATAACTTTCCACAGCTCAGATAAGTAAGAAATAATATTAATACGGCTCACAAAAGCTAGATAAATGAGTAAGGTTGCATAGAAAAAGCAGATACATGTAAACAAGAATGTTTACAAAAATGAGGTTCGCTTCATTTCCAGCGCACAATGGCCACCAAAATCTCCGGATACCAATCCATTGGACTATTGTATCTGGAGTATTTTGGAAAGCAAGGTTGGCACTAAAAAATAGTGTCGATCACCTCAAGCAAGCGCCACGCCGGAAATGGGCCAAAATACCGCAGAGCAACATTCTGGCACCGAGTGACGGTTTCATTGGCCATTTGAAGGCCATAATTCGTGCCAAAGGTGACCAATTCGAACAAATCTAAACTTATTCTAAACTATGATGCCATTTGCTATTTGCTTTCATTCAATGAAATTTAAAAAAGATGTAAAAATTATGGCGGTTGACTTTGTTGCAGTTTTTTATCTCACCCTGTAAGTTAGATAAAGGATTTACATAACTTAGATAACATAGATAAATTATTCTCGTAGCTCATATTAGCTAGATAATTGATTTACATAGCTAAGATAATCAATATATATGATTTGCATAGCTTAGATAACCTAGATAAATTAAATTATAGCTTATATAAGCTAGATAAATTGTTTATATAACTTAGATAACCTAGAGAAATGATTTCCATAGATCAAACAAGCTAGATAAATGATTTACATAACTTAGATAATCTAGATAAATTACTTTAGTAGCTCATAGGAGCCAGATAAATTATTAACACAACTTAGATAACCTAGATACATTATTTCCATAGCTCAATTAAGCTAGATAAATGATTTACACAACTTAGATAACCTAGATAATTAGTTTTCATAGCTCATATAAGCTAGATAAATGGTTCACATAACTTAGATAACCTAGATAAATTATTTCCATAACCCATACTAGCTAGATAGTTAACATAAATAGTTAACATAACTTAGATAAGCCTTATATAAACTAGATAAATTATTTCCATAGTTCATATAAGCTATATAAATGGTTTACATAACATAGATAACCTAGATAAAATATTTTAGTAGATCATATAACTTGGATAAATGATTAACACAACTTAGATAACCTAGATAAATGATGCTAGTAGCTCATATACGCCAGATAAATGATTTACACAACATAGATAACCTAGATAAATGGTGAACATAACTTAGATAACCCTTATATAACCTAGATAAATTATTTCCAAAGCTCATATGAGCTAGATACATGATTTACATAACATAGATAACCTAGATAAATTATTTTAGTAGCTCATATAAGTCAGATAAATGATTAACAGATCTTAGATAACCTAGATAAATTATTAAAATAGCTCATATAGTCTAGATAAATGTTTAACGTAACTTAGATAATTCGTATATAACCTAGATAAATTATTTCCATAGCTCATACAAGCTAGATAAATTATTTGTATACATTAGATAAGATAGATAAATGATTAACCCAACTTAAATAACCTAGATAAATTATTAAAGTAGCTCATATGGTCCAGATAAATGATTTACATAACATAGATAGCCTAGATAAATTATTTCCATAGCTCATATAAGCTATATAAATGACTAACACAACTTAGATAACCTAGATAAATTATTAAAATAGCTTATATAGTCTAGCTTAACGGTTTACATAACTTATATAACCAGATAAATTATTTTCATTGCTCATACAAGCTAGATAAATGTTTTATATAACTTAGATAACCTAGATAAATGGTGAACATAACTTAGATAATCCTTATATAACCTAGATAAATTATTTCTAAGGCTTATATGAGCTAGATAAATGATTTACATAACATAGATAACCTAGATAAATTATTTTAGTAGCTCATATAAGTCAGATAAAAAAATTACAGATCTTAGATAACCTAGATAAATTATTAAAATAGCTCATATAGTCTAGATAAATGGTTTACGTAAATTAGATAATTCGTATATAGCCTAGATAAATTATTTCCATAGCTCATACAAACTAGATAAATGATTTTTATAATTAGATAACTTAGATAAATTGCTCAAGTAAGATAGGTAAACGTTTAACATTACTTAGATAACCCTTATATAACCCAGATAAATTATTTCCATAGATCCTACAAGCCAGATAGGTGATTAACACAACTTAGATAACCTAGATAAATTATTTCCATAGCTCATATATATATAGGCTATATAAATGATTTACATAACATAGATATCCTAGATAAATTATTTACACAGATCATACAAGCTAGATAAATAATTTACATAACTTAGATAACCTAGATGAATAATAAAAATAGCTCATATAGTCTAGGTAAATGGTTTACATAACTTAGATAACCATTATATAATCTAGATAAATAGTTTTCATAGCTCAAATAAGGTAGATAAATGGTCAACATAACTTAGATAACCCTCATATAAGCTATATAAATGGTTTATATAACATAGATAACCTAGATAAATTATCTAATAGATCCTACAAGCTAGATAAATTATTTTAGTAATTCATATAAATCAGATAAATGACTAACACAACTTAGTGAACCTAGATAAATTATTAAAATAGCTCAAATAGTTTAGATAAATGGTTTACATAACTTAGATAACTCTTATATAATCTACATAAATTATTTCCATGACTCATACAAGCAAGATACATGATTTACATAACTTAGATAACCTAGATAAATTATTTTCGTAGCTCATATAAACCAGATAAATGATTTACAGAGCAAAGATAATCAAGATAAAGGATTTACATAACTTAGATAATCTATATAAATTATTTCCATAGCCTAAATAACCCAGATAAATTATGTCAATAGCTCCTATGGGCTAGATAAATGATTTACATAAGTTATATAACCTAAATTTTGATAACGCACAGATAACGTAGATAAATGCCCGCAGATGAAATGAACAACACCCTTAAAATACTCTCAGATAACATGACCTAAGAATTTACAAGGCCCAGATAAATCATTCGCATTATGTGTGGCAAAAGCTCCCTTGAACACTGTGAGCCATTTAAAATGCCACCAGAAAACCACGAAGCGTTTGTGCATTGCTTAGGGGCTTTTAGGCTGAACTTTGAAAGCAGGCAGATTATAGGCCGCCGTCGCCACCACCACCAAGCAACCAAATGTGCATTAGATGCATTTGCAAGTCGTGTGCATTTGCAACACACACTCACACACATGTGCGAAAAGGCAAACTATTCCAGGCGGGATAGTGTTTTCTTTGCAACATTCATTAATTGCCTGGAAAACACCATCAATCACGACGACCCTCTTCTTAAGGCGAGAGCAAACACACACACACAACCGAATTCAAAGCCGGGAAAATGGCATTCTCCTGTTATTTTTTTTGGTTTATTATTGCTCCTCTAATGAGAAACCAGGCCAGCGCAAATGTTTGTTAATGGAAGGTGACTAGCAGCGAACCGTGATAATAATGCGAATGTTTCTCTTTTTTTTGTCGGTTCGGCTTCAATGATTCGACAAGAATTCCATTAGAAATGTCGGCACCTCTAAGCACCACCACTGCCAGTGAAATTGTGCATTTCTCTGTGGTTTATTGAGTTCCAATTCAATTTCTATGCTAATTTCCTATAATTTTCTCTAATTCTGTTTTGTTTTATTGTCTTCTGCTTCTTCTTCTCCCATCTATTTACAGCATGAGCCGTGTCATGAAATCGAAAGAGCGACGACAATTGCAAACGTGTCGGGATCACAAAGCATTACAGGTAAGATGCTAAATGTTTTAATGGCAAGCGATTAACAAATATTCAGATTAAACGGATCAAGTAGTTTTTATGGTCTGACAACAAATGTGCTTCATAGATTTTTACAACTCAGATAATTTAAAAAAGGTCATTTGATGTTGGGGATAATGCGGATAATTGATTTTCATTACTGGGATCATTTAAAAAATAAATTTAAATGACCTAAGTAATGTGGATAACTGTTCTACATTGCTAGGATAAACAAGTAAAACACCAGTAAGTTCGGCCGGGTCGATTTTTGAATAGCCTCCACTATTTAAAACAATTTTGGCAATTTTCAAAAAAATAAAATCCGTTAAAAATTTTTTTAAAATCTAAAAAATACCGAATGTAGTCGTTATATTAGGGTCTTCACGACGAAGTTGACCTGCATAGGCAACTTTTGTCATAAACCATTACAATATTGAAATACGAAACTTAAATAAAAAAAACGGTGAAGAATGAAGCTAAAATCATCAAAATACCGAAAATCGGGAGGTACCGTTATATTGGGGCTATGCGAAGACGTGGACCTGCACAGACAATTTTCTGGCATAGGCATTAATATCCGTTACGAACTTCAAATACCAAATTTGAAGCTAAAATCATCAAAATACCGAATATCGGGAGGTACCGTTATATGGGGGCTACACGAAGATGTGGACCTGCACAGACAATCTCCTGTCATAGGCTGTAGCACCCATTACGAACTTCAAGTACCAAATTTGAAAAAAATCTGGTGAATAATGTCGCCAAAATCATCAAAATTCCCCACATCGGGAGGAACCGTTATATGGGGGCTATATGAAGACGTGGACTTGCTCAGACAATCTCTTGTCATAGGTTGTAGCATCCATTACGAACTTCAAATACCAAATTTGAAACAAATCCGGTGAATAATGTCGCTAAAATCAACAAGGTACCGAATATCGGGAGGTACTGCTATATGGGGGCTATACAAAGACGGGGAGCTGCACAGACAATCTCCTGTCATAGGTTGTAGCATCCATTACGAACTTCAAATACCAAATTTGAAACAATTCCGCTGAATAATGTCGCGAAAATCATCAAAATACCAAATATCGGGAGGTACCCTTATATGGGGGCAATACGAAAACGTGGACCTGCACAGACAATTTTCTGTCTTAGGTTGTAGTATCCATTACGAACTTCAAATACCAAATTTGAAACAATTCCGGTGAATAATGTCGCGAAAATCATCAAAATACCAAATATCGGGAGGTTCGGTTATATGTGGGCTATATGAAGACGTGGTCTAGCACAGAAAATTTTCTGTCTTAGGCTGTAGTATCCATTGCGAATTTCAAATACCAAATTTGAAACAATTCCGGTGAATTATGTCGCGAAAATCATCAAAATGCCGAAAATCGGGAGGTACCGTTATATGGGGGCTTTACGAAGACGTTTAGCTACATCACCCATTTTCAATACCAAAAGTCCTGTAGACATAATACACATTTGAATAAAATGTTATCAACCTACTTCATTTCGTTCGGCAGCTAAAGTGATTTCCACAGACGGACAGACGAAAATTTTTGCGGATAAACTGTGTAGATAGCTCGGATAATTTTTAAATATTTCTGCTTTCCTTTTCCTTTAAATCAACAAATTTTATTCCCCCCCTCACTCTTTATTTTTTTGTATTCACTACCTTTTAATCGTCAAATTTTAATTCCCCCCTCATCTTCCTTTGCAGACTCGTTTCGCTCGCCAGGAAAATCTATTGCACGCTCTGCAACAAGAAAACAAAGCTTTACTAACCCGAATACGACAATACGAACATTGTCTGGACGATGTAATGCGGAAGGTTGTCGATGCCATTGTGGCTGAGGATAATCTACGCGAAGAAGTCGTTCTGCTCAAGAGTCGGGTACGTGATTTAGAAGCTCAAAATGCGGCACTCTCGGCCAGCCCTGCCAAGGGTCGTGACGAGGGCTATTGTACGATGAGCAGTGGCCAGCCACAGCCATCGAATGGCCACTTAGAAGATTTACCCGAGGAGCCGGAACAATGGTTGTTGCCCGCCGAACCATGCTCAACGGAGATGGAAGATTGGAGTATGTCGCAAGAGGAATTGGCTGTGATAACACTGGACGAAAGTCGCGAGCAACAGCAGCGAAGGCAGCTGTTGAAACTGAGCAGCAACAGTGTGAATGGGGAGCACGATTGGCTATGGAACTCCAATGATTTACTTAATTCGACAATGGTGGAAACTGATTCGGTCACGGACAATATATCACAGCTGCTGCAGCAAAAGGTAAGCCAAAAACGGAGTAATTGGTTAATTATTTTCTAATTCTCATTCGTATTTCTTTTTCCAAGCAGATCATATATTCCGAAGATGAGGAGGTGACATGCACCGAGTTCACCAATGATTTCTATAAATTGGTCAACATACGTTCCAATTCAGCCCGCAGTCTTTATTCATATGTGGACGAAGATACCGACGACGAAGATGATGACGAGGACGAGGAAGAAGAAACCGAAAATGATCTGGAGGATGATGGCAATTCTAGTCTATCGCCCAGTCATAAACGTCTACGCTCCAAAGTTTTAAAATCCCGCCAATCACAGCCCAGCCCCACACCCAGCGAAGCTGGTCGGGCCCAAGTAACAAGTTGTTCCTCAAGCGAAACGGATGATTTCTCCCACTGCACTACCACCACAAATTCCATCCACACCGAAATCCCACTACACACTCTGGAAGAGAACGACGATGATGACGACGACGACGATTCGTCATGTTGTGAGATCCCCACAAATGGTAAAGAAGAACAACACCAAGTGGATCATCATCACCAAAGTGATATTGAAATTGAAGATGTCATTCCAATGGACAGTAATCTACCGCCACCACCTCCAGCACTTTCGCCTCTAAAGAATCACACCAACCATCAGCGACTGATAACCGAACATATGACGGAAAAGGAATGCATTGAACAGATAATTAAGACCGAACTAAGTCGCACACCCAAACGTCATAAGCTAATGAAATCTCAATCGACCATTGAGGAACGAGAAACATGTCACATTCTGCGGAATCAACATTCACCACAGCATCTCGCCCCCAGCCAGGTAGTGCGTAGCGGTAGTGTCAATGGAAATTTGGTGGCTAAAACGAATAAATATCAGGAACGTCTTCAGAATGCCAACAATTCGTGGCGTCGCAGCAATGGCTGGAAGCGTGTCATGTCGCCGGCTCGTTCGCCCACCATCGTTTCACCAAAAAAGGTAGGATTGTAAAAAGGAAAATTAGATATGGGACTGTTAGGATTACAGAAATGTGTTTTTGGGCGAGACATCCTCTCTGCTTGTCAATGGGGAATGGCAATGTTCAACTAGTCTACGAGCGAGCCATTTCGTTATCAACTTGTCCATAAAATACCAGCCTCTTCTTCAGCTTCTCGGAAGTCCCCTCTGCTCACCTTTTACCCGTCCATAAATTCTTTCATTTTAAGGCCCCCTAAATTTGGTTTTATGTTTTCAAGGACACCAGGGCTTTAAGTAGTTTAAAAACCCTCCCCGAACTAAATTCGTCTATTAAAGACTCCCTGATATTCTATCGAAGACCTCTTGGGCCTTAGCTTTTCTTTAGTCACATGGAGACTCCCTGGCCTTCAGCTCGCCTCTAGAGACTTTCTGGCCTTCAGCTGGACTCCAGAGACTCCTTGGCCTTCATCACGCCTCTAGAGACTCCCTGGCCTTCAGTACGCCTCTAGAGACTCCCTGGCCTTCATTTCGCCTTTAGAGACTCCCTGGCCTTCAGCACGCCTTTAGAGACTCCCTGGCCTTCAGCTCGGCTCTAGAGACTTCCTGGCCTTCATTTCGCCTCTAGAGACTCCTTGGCATTAAATTTGCCTCTAAAGACTCCCTGGCCTTCATTTCGCTTTTAGAGACTCCCTCGTCTACATTTCGCCTCTAAAGACGGCCAAAGCTTCAGCTCGCCTTTAGAGACCCCTTTACCTTCAGCTCGTCTCTTCAGAAAACATGGCCTTCAGTTTGCCTCTAGAGACTCCCTGATTTTAAGCTCGCCTCTAAAGGCTCCCTGATCTACAGCTCGCCTCTAAAGGCTCCCTGGCCTTCAGCTCGCCTCTAGAGACTCCCTGATTTTAAGCTCGTCTCTAAAGGCTCCCTGATCTACAGCTCGCCTCTTGAGACTCCCTGTTCTTCACATCGCCTCTAGAGACTCCCTCGACTATTGAGACTCCCTAGCCTTCAATTGGTTTATTTAGGTTCCCTGGACTTCAGCACGTCTATAGAAACTGCCTGTATATATAGAAGCCTTCAGATCGGCTACAACGGCTCGTCCATAATAGATACCGTTCAGCTCATTTTTCTAATTAATTCCTCTACGGAGGACTTCTGTCTTCAGTTTGTCAATGAAACACATCCTTTGTTAACTCATCTGAAAAAAATCTTTCCAATATCTTTAATAATCATTTTCTTCTTCATCTTCCCTTTCAGGACAACAACAAATCCAATGATGCAAAAAGTCCACCCAAAGTGATACCAACTCGCATACCATCCTGTATCTCGCCCTCGTCACTGCATCATTCCTCCAATAATCAGCAAACAAAAATGCTTACCAATATTGCGGCAGCTGTGAACAGCAACAATACAAGTTCTAATCAAAATTCTTCACATCAAACGCCTGCAGTACGTAAATCGAAAATTCCTCCCCCTGTACCCGTAAGACGTTCCTATGCTAGTTAAATTAACAAAAAAAATATAAAAAAAAATAATTTACTAAACAAAAAAACAAGTCCAGCATAGGTAACAAAAATGTTTTTTAAATATGTTTTTTTGTATATAAAAACGAAGACAAAAACAAAAAAATGTTAAGCAAACTAGAATTACAATAAATCTACAAATAAGGATTTAGGTATAAATTACAATTATAAGATTTATATAAAAAGACTAATATGTGATATACATTTGAAAAATATTTTTTTAAAAACCCATTACTTTAAAATTGTATAAGCCTAAAAGAGAAAAGAAGAAGAAGAAAAAAACGAAAAACACCAATAACAAAAAATGTAATAGAGTTGTGTTACCCCCCTTTACCATTGAAGCCTACTTTGCGTTGGGAGTAGAGGAAATTTTCTCTACAATGGGGGGTTTCTTTAGATTTTAGTGTTTATGGTAGAAGTTAGTTGGTAGAGGTGAATTGTTAGTAGAACTAGAAAACCCCCTTTAAACATACTATTGAATATTTTCTCGAATTGTCAAAGTTTTATTTTATTATTAATTTTTCTTTTTTTTTTTTTTTGTTTTAATTTGGTTTTATGATTTAATTTTAATTTTTTGGAAAGAAATTAATATTATTATTTTTATTATGCAAAGATATGAAATAATATTAATATGAAAATTGTTTAGTTTTGACAATCAACTAATTTAATTTAATTATTTTGAATTCAAAACAATTTTCACCCCACTCTTCAAAAAAAAAAAGTGAAGAGTGTTTTGTGGTTTTGAAAATGATGGTTACATGAATTCAAAAATTATTTTTATTATAATTTTTTAATTGGCAAGTGTAACATGGCCATGATAGAGTTTAACTGGAATCTAAATACTTGGTTACTGATATAGTATTGAATCTTTTCATGGGAATCACAAAATCTTTTAAAACAAAATGAGAATGCTTTATTCTTCATATCTACTTACATATTTTCAAGTAAAGTTACAAATTTTCTAATCTATGAAAAATCGTCCGTCTGTGACATTGATGCTAGTTCATATTAAATTCGTAAAGTTGCTACGCAATTCTCGCATACATTACCATGACTTTCAAATCGCTGTGAAATATTTCCTAGCGTTGTTCAAGCGGATGCACAACCATATTCGTTCAGCGGACGTATGAAACTAAACATTAGACCAATATTACCCGCTTTGCATCTGACGTCTGACATAAATGTTACGACGTGACAGGTTTGAGCTATATCGACTATATCCTCCAATTTATTTAAGATGTGATTTTTAGGAAAATATTGTGGAGAAGGTTACAGAAAGTGTGGACCGACATATCCCATATTTTCATTTGATCTATTGTTGATAAAAATATTGAGATACATAAAGTCTGAAGCCAGGGGCTTGCTTCTGCTTTTTTGAAAATAATTAGACTAAAAACTATTCAAAATCTTATCCCCTTGTGGGGGAAGTATCAGAAGGGGTGGGCCAATGATTTCCATATCGACATTAGAGCTTTGTCTTGTGGTCGAAATATCGTGTGAATAGAATCCAATGCTCATTTTCTCATTTTATGCGGGTGATGGGTATTGAAAGCTTGAAAACTTTGTAGGAGATGTACCAGAAGGACCAATTCCATTCTCATACATGATCTAGAATTGGTAGACATATTGGGATAATAAAAATTTGAAGACAATCGGTTTAATTATTCAAAATTTTAATAATGAGTTTGGACCTAAGTTTGGGTCAAATCGGGTACTTCCTTCATATGATCCATGGTTGGTAGAAATATTGAGATACATGAAGTCTGAAGCCAGAGATTTGCTTCTGCTTCTTTCGAAAATAATTAGGCTTAAAATTATTGAAAATCTTGACCTATTGTGGGAGAAGTATCAGAAGGAGTGGGCCAATAAATTCTATATTTACATCAGATCTTGATCTTGTGATCTAAATATTGGTGTGAATATTGTGTGAAGAGAATTGCATTTTATGAGGATGATGGGTATGCAAAATTTAAACACCTTGTGGGGGAAGTAACAGAAGGACTAATTCCAATTTTATACGTGAACTAGAATTAGTGAAAATATTGGGATATTCGAACACAATTTGGAGACAATCGGATTCTTTCTTCACAATCAATAATATTTGCAATTATTCAAAATTTTGACCCTTCGTAAGAGAGGTACTGGAATAAGTGGTTCGATCTATCCCATCTTCATGTCAGACCTAGAATTGTAAGACATACTAGGATATGCGAAATTTGAAGATAATCCGAATCTATCAGCTGTGAATATATTTTTTATTGAAGGATATAAGTTTTTTAACTTGGCTGGACATAAAACAAATTTTACCGAGTTCAAATATAAATGTTTATAAGGAGATCTTGAACGTATGTAGTTTCCGGAAAAGAAACCCAAAACCCGGATGGACATATCTTCCAAAAAGAAAGATAATCATATGAGGGTCTTCAATGCTAGAGTTGCGAATATCAGGAAGACTTTCCTTGAAGATTTCCGTGAATTTAAAATGACATTTTTCTATTCTATAGTCATAAATTATCAAGTATTTTGGTCCCAGCAAACTCTATTTCATGGCCAGGAAAATGTTTAAGTTCTAAACTTCATTTTTTTAAATATAATTGTAAATGATTTACTGTATAATATATAAACCCATATAATTTTAATAATACAGGTTTTTACAAAATGTTCATTCCAAAATAGTTGATCTATTAAGCTCTTAATAGATTTAAACTATAGGAATATTGTGAAAACCCCCAAATACTTATATAATTTCAAAAGAATCTGACGTTATTAGGGATAGATTTATTTTATATAATTTTCTTTTTCTTCAGAAAAAAAAAAACAAATATTAACTATCCTCATAATAAGAATTATTATTTGTTTGGATACAATTTTAAAAACAAATAACATAGTGTTGTAATTCAGAGTAGTCTTCCGCACAATAGAAACAGAAATTAAAAGAAAAATTAAAAAAAGTAATAAACAACAACAAACCCAAGGCATTTAATAATTCCACTAATGTTTACAATATTTAGAACTATAAGAAATAAACAATAAATATTTAATAATTATAAAATTAAAGGTTTCCTTTACAAATTTTGTATATACAAAACAAAAAAAAAACAACACAATTGTTTAGATAACTAAGAAAAAACAAAAAACATTAAAAATAGTAAGGAAATAAGTTATAACAAATATAAAACAAAGTAGCTTTGTTAGTTATTAAACTAAAAAAAACAACAACACAACAAATGTTCATCTTAGAAAGAGAGAGATATATCAATCAATAATTATACGAAAGTTATATACATACATAAATCTAAAATCTAAAAAAATAAGGAATATTTTTTTAAATCATAACAATGATATGATACATGAATACACCTAATTTATTTTATATTATTAACTATATATAATATATTGAGTTAAATTTCAAAAATTGTATAATTTAAACAGCAAAACATTTTACAAAATTGTTTCCTACAAAAATATCATTACGCCCTCCTTTATCCTTAAATCTATTGCTATCCTTCTATATATATATATACTATTTAGATGTGTAAACAACTAAAAACCAACTACTTACTTACATATATATATTGATATTGAACTTGTAAACTATCCATTAGCTATTTGAAAAACGAAAAACAAAACTTGTAATTTAAACTACTCTACTTATATGCATACATTATTTTCTTTCCAATATTAAAACTACAACTAATGTATAACAACACTATTATTTAGTACTTGTTTTGTAGGTCCAGTACAAAAATAACAATACACACACATACAAAACTTCCTCCTCCCCCCATACACTTACACAAAAAAAGAATGAAAAGTTGAAAAATTTTTTCTTCGATTCCAAAACTAAAATCAATAATGAAAAACTACCAATTACTAGTTATCGAATAAAGAAAAGTCGTTTGTTAATAACAAAGTTTGTTGTGTGTATGATGAAGATGATGATTAAGATGATAATGATGATGATGAGAATGAGGACGACAATGATCGTGTACTACTATTTAGATATACATACATATATCATACATACAATAATTTTTTTTCTTTTCAAATTTAGTGTTAGTTACATACGTAAAATTTCCGAAATATTATGTATACCTTTTTAATATTTATAATAAACAACAACAAGAAAAATGAATAAACAAAAAATAATAATTCAAATTTTTTTCAATCTGGTATTTAGAAAAGGGGGTTGAAAAAAATACAAATATGCTTACATGCAAACTGGATATAGAAGGCCCTCTTATAATTTGGAATTGTAAGCCTTGTTATAACCTAAACAAACTATTGTCCCCGTTTCAAAAGCTAAAAATATTCATCAGAAAACCCCAATTAATTTCAATATAAATAAGTTTAAGGACACTTCTTTCTATGTAAAACTTTGAAATTAGGTGAAAAGTCTTTATTATGTCTGGGGCGATTGATATTGGCTATATCATTCCAAATTCAGCTATAGCCTCATATGACCATGCTTCCAAATTTTTCGAGTTTTTGAGGAATCAAACACAATTTTCAAACGAATCAGCTGCAGATGGAACTTTAATGCAACAATGTGGAATACAGAATGAGATGAAAAAACTGCAACCAACTTCAGACTGCTGTCATTTCTAAGGCACTCGTCCCACAGCTATTGTAGTTTTTTTTTTTTTTTTTTTTCAAGAAAAAAAGTTAAAAGTTTTTCTCCGATGAGAAAACATTCGTTGTCCAGCATTTTGTAAACAAACAAAATGATCGTGTTTACTTGCCAAAGAGGTCAGCTGAAAATATGCACCTTCGGTTGGCCACCATAACTAGCACTAATGCAAATATTAGGATTTGCAAAGTTGGAGCAAAATCAGGATGATCCGATTTCTGTCTGTGCAGTAAATTATTTTCTTTGAAAATGTTGGCATTTTGTGTGGGAGGCACCGGAAGAAGGGGACCGATATTGCCCATCTCCAAATTCGATATAAGTTTGGCAATAATATTACGATGTACCAGGTTTGGCCAAATCGAACACCTCATTCGAGAGTTATCGTGCGAACCAGCCAGCCAGACAGACAGAAGGACGGGCGGACATCGCTATATCGACTCCAAATGACACGGATTTGGTCCAAAGGGCACGTTTGGTCTGTATCGAATGATATATACCCTATGTAGCCATATGGCTGAGGGTATAGAAAGAATTGCTAGGGAATCGCCAGTATATTGCCATTTTCCTTACCCCTCTCTCCAAAAAAAGAGAAAAAAGAAAGTAGGATAAATCCCAAGCTCGTCCAATGGCAGCAAATATTTTAATATGAATCAAACATTAGACGAATTTATTTATAAGACTTATATCTATGGACCTAGGAAAATTAAACACACAATTTGGTATGGACGACCATTATAAGCCTTTTTTTGACTTTGTGGGAACTTTAATGCAAAATCCTGATCCAAAAATATATTTTAAACATAACTATCGCAGGTATTGGATAGGTATTTTCATTAGATTTCAAATGATACCCATATGGCCCACATCGGTTTAGTAGATCCGATTTTAACCCGAGTCTCGAACCTGGGCTCTCAGGTCAAATATCTGGGAAACCTTGTCCGTCCTCCTCCTTCCTTGCTGGAATCAGGACACATGTTTCTACCTTTGATATTTAATTTAAAAAATCCAGGTAAATGGGAGCAATTTCTCCAAAGAAATTGTCTTACCCCTCAACTACTCAAATTCCATGTCAATATGGCATCTCTATTTGATGTCAACTATAATGACAACCTAATGACAATTCATTAAATTGACTTTAAGAAGAAGCATCTACCGTTATTCAAAAATAAACAAAAAGCAAGCAACACAAGATCCATGGCAAAATGTAAATAAATTAAAATAATTGAAATTAAAAATTAAACCACAAAAAATTAAAAAATTCTCTATTCACAGGTCTTACCTTAAAGTCCTCAACAAAGAAAATGAAATTATTCTAAATACGCCCAAACGCAAGGAACTACTAAAGGATGGACCTCCCTTGAATCAAGCGAAATGCAATCTGTTGGGCAGAGGAGCCTTTGGCACGGTTATAAAGGCGATTTATAAAGGTGAGAATGAATGTTTTTCTTACGACTTTTCTTAAATCTGTTTTACTGTCAGTTGGACGATCTCGGATGAGTTTACCTTTTTAACACCAGAAATATGTCTCACTTCTTATGTACAAGCGTTGCGGGAAAGAAAAGTGAACTTTTGGTAGAGAGTGTCAAAGAAAATGTTACATCTTCCCCTTTTAACTCACTTCTTCCTGTGCCAGAAAGCTCACTTATTCTTCGTAAACTTCCCACGTCTGATAACGATATAAAGAACATTTTGTTAAAACATTTAAGGTCTATATATCTGGAAGTGTCAACTTCCACAACTGTCCTGTCAGAATGATCCCTGACTTCCCCTCTCTTTACTTTCCCCCATTTTTTTCATTCTAGCAAACCCCGTGGCAGTAAAAATCATGAAAAATTCAAAAGATGTCAACAATCAGGTGATGCTCAACGAGGCGCATATTTTGAATTGGAAACATCCAAATATAGTACGGCTGCTTAAGGTATGTAAATTAGACTTTAAAAATATCCTTTGATTTTGTCAACTTTTGTTCATCCTTTCAGATTGAATCTACACCCAACTTTGCCATTATCATAATGGAACGTTTCAATGGCGATTGTTTACAAAATATTTTAGATACCATGGATTTAACGGTACTGCATCGTATAAAGTATGTAAATGAAAACATTTTGTGATTTATTTTTATCCATTATAATTGTCTACTTTCCCAGCATTGCTATGGACATAACATCTGGACTGTTGTATTGTCATAAACGTGGTCTACTGCACATGGATGTGAAACCACAAAATATCATGTTATCATTGAACAAATTTCAACACAACATTGTCAAATCGAGTCTGACTCAAAGATTGTATGTCTGCAAATTGTGTGATTTTGGATCATCGTTAAAAATTACAAATGAAAATCATTGTGTCAAAGGACAAGTAAAGGTAAAGCTATACTCCAATAGAAAGGCTAAATACATTTGATTCCAGCTACACTGTTTTTGACCCTTTTCATACCCTCCACCATACTATGGAGGGTATATTAACTTTGCCTTTCCGTTTGTAACTCCTCGAAATACTCAAGTCAGACCCAACAAAGTATAAATATTCTTGATCAGCGTAAAATTCTAAATCGATTTAGCGATGTCCGTCTGTCCCTCTGTCTGTTGTAATCACGCTATCTTTCGAACGAATTGAGATAGAAAGCTAAAATTTGGCACACATGTTTATTTTTCCAGTAGGCAGGTCCATGTAGGTCCACGTCTTCGTATAGCCCCCATATAAAGGTACCTCCCGATATTCGGTATTTTGATGATTTTAGCGACACTATTCACCGGAATTGTTTCAAATTTGGTATTTGAAGTTCGTAATGGATACTACAGCCTAAGACAGAAAATTGTCTGTGCAGGTCCACGTCTTCATATAGCCCCCATATAACGGTACCACCCGCTATTCGGTTTTTTGATGATTTTAGCGACATTATTCACCAGAATTGTTTCAAATTTGATATTTGAAGTTCCAAAGGGATATTACAGCCTAAGACAGAAAATTGTCTGTGCAGGTCCACGACTTCGTATAGCCCCCATATAACGCTACCTCCCTATATTCGGTATTTTGATGATTTTAGCGACATTATTAACCGGAATTGTTTCAAATTACGTATTTAGAGTTCGTAATGGGAACTACAGTCTGTGATATAAAATTGTATTTGAAGGTCCAGATTTTCGTATAGGCCCCATATATCAGTACATCCCTATATTCGGTATTTTGACGATTTTAGATACAATAGCCACCGAAAATGTTTGAGATGTCGTATTTAAACTTCGTAATGGATGCTACAGCCTGTGACAGAAAATTGTCTATGCTGGTCCAGCTCTTCGGACAGCTCCGATATAACGGTACCTCCCTATATACGATATTTTGATGATTTTAGATACATTATTCACCGTTTATTTCAAGTTTCGAATTTGAATATGGTAATGGCTTATGACAACAATGTCTATGTAGGTCCCCGTCGTATAGACTCCAATATAACGGCTATATTCGGTATTTTTAAAATTTTAACAGGTTTTTTTAAGGATTTTTTTTTTTTTGAAAATTTCCAAATTCGTTCCAAATGGTGGAGGGCATTCAAAGTTCGGACCGGCCGAACTTACTGCTTTTTAACTTGTTTGCTTGTTATTTTTGTATTATATTGTATTGTTATTTTTGTAAAAACAATTTTTTTTTAATTATTTATTATCACTTATTTTTCTCATCAGGGTACCCTTCGTTATATGGCGCCAGAGGCTTTGAAGGAAGAGTGCCTAACACCAGCTGTTGATGTTTTCTCTCTCGGCATAACACTGTGGCAAATGAAACATCGATATTTGCCCTATCATTGGTTGCAATGCAACGATACAGTGGCCTATCAAGTAGTCAAACATCAGCTGCGACCCAATTCACTGCATTGTATCAATCAAAATTACAACAGCAACAATTTTAAGCCATATCCACCCAAAGCGAACATCAATGAATTGTGCTTCTGTGAAAATATCAACAATCAATTTTCACCCCAATCCATAGAAGATTTGCGTAAGATACTGCAATGCAATGACTGTGAACTTGTTGGCGAAGACAAGCCAACAGGAGAAATTTTAAACCCAAAAAGGCTGCCCCTAAAAAATTCCACCAATAAACAACAACTACATACGAAAAAGTTCAATGTTAAACGGGATTTGCACAATGAATTTTCGCCCAGCGAAAATGTAAGTCTAGCCGCGGTGCTAAACCAAAGCCATAGCCATTTGGATGCAATACGAACAGCTAAACTTGAAAAGCTCTATGAGGACTTATTCAAATCGTGCTGGCACGACGATTTTAAGCAAAGACCCACCACAGTGGAGCTTTCAAAACGTTTCAGGGAAATGTTAAATATTATCTATGCTGCTTAATTTTATACATTACTACTTTTTTGTTTTTAAATTAATTCGTATTTTATTTTTATGCCATAATACGTATTTATCTTCCTTTTTACTTTTTATACATAAATAATTTCGTTAATTCATTGTCTTCTTTTATTTGCATGTTCATATCTGTTTTATATATTTTTTAATAAAGAAAAAGTTTTTACAAAATACTCGAACTAAAATTTTATTGTATTTAATAAAGACGAAAAGAAGTCATGAAGGCTCCGTAATATATTATGAGCCCTAAAAGACAGTCAATAAAAAAAATCATGACTGGTACAAATGAGCCCCAAAAAATGTCTAGGAAAAATCGAGATTTTGTCATTGTGGTTTAGATCAATACAGAATTTTGTCAGAATTTTTATTTATTTATTTTTTTTGTATGTTTTCTTATACGACGCATATCAGAGGTTGTTATAATATATATTTTTTTCAGCAACTTCCACAAATTTAAATAACTTTTCATTCAACATTTTCAATTCCAAAATCGGTATGACAGTTCATTATCCCAGTAGATGTGTCGAATATAATATTCAAATATCCACTCTTGTGACCTTGATTAAAAAATCGACGATGACTTATAGAAGTCCTCAACTAAGAATACTCGTAAATTCTTAGTAAGCCTTCTAAAGTTATCTTTTAAAGGACATTTTGGAACAACTCTAGTTTAGTAAAAATTCTTCTATTTGTTCTATTCTCATGATACTCATGATTGCGTTTGAAATTGTGGCCGAAATCAGGAAGTAACGCTATATGGGGGCCTTACCGAAACGTGGGCCGATATGTCCCATTTTCAATGCCAAACATATTAGGGGTAATATGAATGTCTGAACAAAATTTCAGAGCGATATAATGCTTCCCTGAATTAATCTCCGTTTTTGGACCACTCAACCCACTGTGCGACGCCACCGAGAAATGAAAAAAAAAGTGAAGTAACAAACAAAGGACACTACAATATGGCAACACTGAAAAGAAAGACAGCACAGAAAGAAAATCTCAATAAAGATGGAAATCAAAAGGGAAATGCGGACAACACGAATGGAATCAAAACAAAACGGCCGTCAATTTGTACTGTATAAAACAAACTTTAAAAACTTGGTACTGTATTTACGAATCATTTTAATGATGTTTGTGTCTAGGAGATTTTCGTTCGCGTTACCGTGTAAAAACGGCAAGCTTAGAGAATTCATCCAATTCTTCTACCATAGACAAATGAATATATAGACAACGAAAATTTAGTTTTGTATTTTTATCCAGGTGGCTCTCATCATGTTTTGCATTGCCTACTCGACTTCGAAAACACATTTTATCAAACTTCAAGAATTATCAAGTGAAATTCCCAAATGTTTCGATGTCATCATGTACTTTTCACATTTCTTTTATTATGGAACAATTTTCGACTGACAAATATCCTACAGTTTTTTGTTATTTTTAACGTTTTAGAATTGAGTGACTTCAATATTCTCACTAAAACCCCTGAAACGATATAGATGACATCTGCTGATCCGTTTTTTTTTTTCGAAGATAAACGGTGAGAGCATTTCGTTGTCTATATTTTCATTTGTCTATGGATCAAGTCAATTAAATTAAATAAATAAAATAAACTCGTTTTTCTTTCACTTTCTTTCATAGCTACATTTCATTGAAATTATTTACAATTTTTATTTAATAAATAACAAGAATTGTTGTTGTTCTTTTTGTTGTTTGCTGTTTGACCACAGTAAGCTTACAATGTTAATAACATAAAAACAAACATTATTTAAATTGTACAAAATATAATTTGCAATAAATATGCAATTATTACTGCTAGGCAATTGTATTAAAAAAAAGACAAACAAAAAATAAATCCAAATCAAAGTCAACATTATGGCAAAGAAGGAAACAAATGCTTCGATTGATTTCTTATTCGTTTTCTTTTGATAGTTTCTCAATAGCTTTGTATGTGTTTAGCTTATTATTAATAAACAGAGACTCTATGTATAGGCTGTACTGCTTACTTTACGATTACCAATTAATAAAACGAAGAGAGCGAGAGCAAACATTGACTTAAGACACTAGTTACGTTTCTTGTGTAGTTCTTCGGTTTCTAAGCGTAAATGCTGGAATGAAAAGAAATAATATTTTCGCAATTGTTTTTCAAAAATTCTGTGTTACGGAAAAAACTTACGTGGAAAACTTCTTGGATTTTGTCGGTTATTAATTTTCTAGCCTCTGGTTCGGGTACACCCCTACACTTCAGGTCATCGATGAAATCGTTTAGGTCAATTGGCTTTCCCACGTTCAGTGTAACCTTTTTACCCCATTTCAGGATATATGGCTCAACATTGGGCAACACTTCATCCATGCCCTCATGCCACATGGGCAAAATAATGGGAACCCTTGGTGATTCGTATATGATACGACCAACACCCCATTTCAGACGCATTTCCTCTTTGGTCATGTTCACCTTACCCTCGGGAAAGACATGAACCCAATGGCCTTGCTTGGCTTTTTGTATGCACAAATTGACGGCATCTTGATAGACGCCAATACCGCGTATTACCGGTATGCATTTTCCTGTAGGACCAAACACAACATCATAAATAGTTCAACAAAAAGAAGCATAACCGATAAACGTGAAGTAGTGGAGCACAAAAAAAACCTACCAAACATGAAGAACATTGAATGATATTTGTTCGTAAAACAGATATCATGAGCAGCCATCGACCATCGGATTTTGAAGGTATTACAGACATAACGTATCGGCAGGACACCTAGCAGAATCAAAAAAAAAAGATGGTTATTAAAAAAGCGAATAGTTGCCATTAAAAATACTTACCCCATAGACCGGGATCATCGAAGCACGAATGATGATTTGATACTGTGACTAATGGTACCCCTGTAGGTCGTTTTGCTACTGCTTCTATCAGTCTTTCTTTGTTGTAAACGCGTGTTTTATTCATAAAAACTAGGGGAAGAAAAAGCGTATTATTTACCGTTGTTTAGTAGATATTATTTTTTTTAATATTTTATGAATTTTTGTTTTAAAGTGAACGATTTTATGAAATGAAAACTTAATTCGTAACCAATATGATGAGTGAAAGGTACGCATGGTAATGAAATTGAATATGATCAAGTAAAAAATCTGTAAATTCGTGTAAATACCCTCCACCATTTGAAACGAATTTGGCAATTTTCATAAAAATAAATTCCGTTAAAAATGCTGTTAAAGTTTTGAAAATACCAAATGTAGCCGTATGTCATATGTCGCTAAAATCATAAAAATACCGAATATGGGGAGATACCCTTTGATGGGGGCTATACGAAGACGTGGACCTGCACACACAATTTTCTGTCTTATGGCTCTAGTGTCCATTACGAACTTCAAATACCAAATTTGAAACAATTCCGGTGAATAATGTCGCTAAAATCATCAAAATTCCGAATATCGGGAGTTACCGATATATTGGGGCTATACGAAGTCGTAGGCCTGCACAGACAATTTTCTGTCATAGGATGTAATATTCTTTACGATCTTCAAATACCAAAATTTGAAACAATTCCGGAATATTTCATTTCATTTTTCATTTCATTTATTTACCTTACAAAGAAATATAAATAAGCCCACAGGGCCCATAACTTATATTATCTATCTACAATACCCTAACATAATACAAATTCAATGATTAATTCAAACTTAACAAATAACATATTAAACCTAATAATTTATCTTAATAATTCACGAGAAGCTCAAACCCTACACCTCGATTCACCATCACCAACTAAACAATAGTCTAGTAGAGTAGTGAAAAAGTGTAGCAGAAACGAGCTAAAAATAAGAGATAACTATTTTATTACTCACAAAACAGAGTATAAATAGTAACTCACATTATACCCTACAAATAAAATTAAGAAGATAATATAGTGGCTCCCCAGCACAAACAAAAAGAAAAGCAAAAAGAAAGACCCATAATAAACCGACGCAACCACTACAAAAACATAGCCTACATATTTAGGCGAAGGTATTCAATTACTTTAACCCTAAACAGATAATTGGTATGGGCAAAAGTACGTAAGGCCAAAGGAAGCTGATTCCACAATCTCACCGCCCTAACCACAAATGATCTCTCACCAATGGAGGACGAAAACCTTGGACACAACAATTGAGGATTTCGAGATGATCTACAAAACACAAAGTTGCCACGAAGAGGCGAGTCAAAATTGCACATAACACTGTAATGAAATTGAAGAATACGAAGATCAACGTAGCTGCTAAATGGCAATCCCAGGAGATCATTAACAAAACAAGAAACATGATCACCACGACGCAAGCCATACACATAACGAACAATCGAATTTACCGCCCTACGGATACGTTGCATTTGAGAAGAAGTAGTACCGGAGACTACCTCTAGACAATAATTTACCTGCGATAGCAGCAAGGATACAACCACTCTCTTCCTAACATGACAAGGCAAATAAGCATTAAGACAATACAGCCTCCGCAGCTGAAACCTTATACGACAAAGCAAGGAATCAATGTGTCTCTTAAAGTCCAACTTCCGATCAATTATAACACCAAGACATTTCATTTCATCAACAAATTTCACTAACACAGAACCCACAGTAATATTAAGAGAACCACCATTACAATGATCATTGAACAGCATAGCTTTAGTTTTATTCCAATTAATCATAAGGCCATTTAGCGAAATCCACGACGAAAGAGACAAAACAATAGAATTAACCAACCCTTCCAACCCAGCAATATCAGCCTCTCTGAAGAAAACATGAATATCATCTGCATACAAAAACAGACAACACCTGTCATCAACAACTGAGTGCACAATGTCATTAATGAACATAATAAATAACAACGGTCCCAGTACAGAACCTTGCGGGACTCCACATTGGACACTACAAACTTCAGACGAAACACCCAAATGAACAACAAACTGAGACCTACCTTCCAAATATGAAGCCATTAAACGACACGCAGAAGATGAAAAACCAAACTTAAACCTCAGCCACAACTTTTAAACTTTAAACCACAACTTTTCACACGCTGCCCGTATGTTACTCTACGGAATTTTGGCCCATTCCAGCGAAGCGCTTGCTTGAGGTGATCGACACTTTGGTAATTTTTAGAGCCAACCTTGCTTTCCAATATACGGAGATTTTGGTGGCCATTATGCGCTGCAAATGAAGCGAGGAACCTCATTTTGTAAACACTGAGTGCCTGACATTCCTATTGGAATGTCCAAGGTCTGCGGCCAAAATGTTTGCGTGCCCAAGGCTTAAATACACCCTCCAGAAGGTTTTCACGATAATATTCGGCATTTATTCTGATGCCACGGATTAATACGAGCGGAGAGCGACCATCGGTTGTTATTGCGGCCCACACCATCACCATGGCCGGCGTTTGAGTTCTGGTGGCCAACCGAAGGTGTACATTTTTCTTATCGGAGAAACCCAAATTCGGCAGTTCACAACTTTCGGCCAAGCGAAGCAACTCATTAGCTCTTTTGAGTCCATTTTCCTTCTGTTGCGGTGTAAGTTCTTCCACTTTTTGGAATAGCTTTACCCCGAGCTAATTTTTTTATATTTAACGAATGGAATATTGCGATATGTACAGCTCACGAGTCATTTTTCGGCAACTGCGACGCGGGGCGCGGGTTTCGATCAAATCGCTTCTTTACTTTTCGAACCATTTCTGATGATGTTTGCCGTTTTCTTCCGTCCACTTCCTTGACGTCGGGCTACGCTACCAGTATCACGGTAACGAGCGATGGTACGAGGCACAAAAGATTTATTCACATTTAAATGTGGAGTGCTCTAACTATAGCCACTTGTGGTATTCCAGGCAAAAATATAAGGAAATCACACAATCACGCTTGAATCAAATACGAATAACTTTTTTCTGGAAAATTCTCACTAAAATTGAATAATTTTAACAGCTGCTGAACGAGCGGCTTAGAAATGACAGCAGTCTTAAGTTGGTAACAATTTTTTTCATCTCACCCTATAAAATAGATGGCCCATTTTCAATACCAAAAATCCCGCAGACATTATATACATTTGAGTAAAATTTTATCAACCAACTTCATTTCTTTCGGAAGCTAGAGTGATTTCAACAGACGGATAGACGGACGGACATCTCTAAATCGACATAGAATTTTATTCTGATCAAGAATATATACACTATTTGGGGTCTAAAATGTATGCTTCAAGGTGTTACAAACAGAATGACAAACTTAATATTCCCTTCATACTATGGTGGAGGGTATAGTAATAGATTGTTTCTGTATAAAGGTTCGAATATAAAAACCAACGGTTATGGGCTGACAATGGTGTAACAGAGATTTAAAATAAGGATGCCCCCTATAATCCGAATTCCCTCCTTCTTAATTTCATTTACCCAAAGGCTCAAACATTCATTTTAATATCAACATGTCCTTACTAGAGCACAACAATGTAAATGGAAGGACATGTTGATATTTTCCCATTTAATGTGAATTTCTCAATGTTAGAAAATAATAATAAAAATAAGACCGGACATGCTTCTTAAATTAAAGAAAGAAAAAAAAACAAAACGTGTCTGCGAGCGTTTGACCCCGTTAGGAGAAGACATACCATCGTAGCTAGTTCGTTTAAATGGCGCCAAATTGCTTTGGCGAATATTCTATTCACTGACGACATACACACAGATTTCTATTATGTGGTCACACATCTTCACACCATACCACGATGACTGTGAAGTAAGGACTTGGAATTTCAAAGTGTCGTATAAACTTCAATTGAAATGATGTCACTTCATATTAAAGTTGCCTTTTATTGAAACATTATTCCAAGCAGAAACACAAAAAAATGGACTTAGTAACAAGAAAAAGGGATAATGAAGGCAGGCAAAATCTCCACCGAACACTGATTGAGTCACAAGATATAAAATATTCATGGATTTTACAAGCAATTAAATGTCGGGAACCTTGAAATAGAGAGAATTAAGAAAATTTTAAATTAATTCTTAAACAAATGACTTGACTTAATATGAAAACGAGTTAATCTATGGCTTCATTTTGATTAGATTGATATTTCTTTCCGCATACCGGACCTACTTTCATTGATTTTTCGAGTATGTTTTTCAAAATTTATTTGTAGTTCTCTCAATTTGCTACTTTCGTTCATTGTTGCGCTCCACATCACAGAACATCTGACATACCATGATTCCATAATTTTCCATAGTTAGAATATCTCGACTACATTATATAGGTCTAACAACTAACGAATTGTCATAAAATATATCATTTTATTAAGATCAATTAAGCAGCAACAACAAAAACATCAGCAACAAAAATGAGAGCCACATCAAACAACAAAAGAGCCACACTAGTGATGTGATAATAAAATAAAGAAGGAAAATAAAATCAGCATAGGCCAGAAATAGATTCTTTCAAGTTCAATTATAAACAATTGCTGCATGTTATTCATGGGACGGACGGACGACTGGCTGGCTAGCATTCATAGAACAGTGTTAAACAAAATTGAATTGAAAAAAACTTCTAGCCCTAGCAATTTGTCATGGTGGTTGTTTGAGTTAAAGATCTTAACTTGAACGCAAAACATTTGTTGTTAAAGAAAGTTATTTTAAATAACTCCTGGGGGTAAAATCCAGATACAAATACCGGTGAGGTGTGGTACCTTATTCATTCTTCCCTGTCTCACCGCATACTAAACAAATACAATATTTTTACCCTCAGCCATATACAATCTAAGCATTTGATACGGCCAAAACGTCATTGAAATAACGTTTTTAAAACCGAGGTCTCTTTGAACCAAATCCGTTTCAGGACATTTGGAGTCGATCTAGCGATGTCCGTCCGTTAGTCTGTCTGGCTGGTGGGCACGATAACTCTCGAAGAGTGTATCCGATTTGACCCCAACTTGGTACATTGTAATATTATTATCAAACATAGATCGAGCTCGGAAATTGGTAATATCGGTCCACTCCTTCTGGTACCACCCCCACAAATTTTCAAAGAAAATATATTTCTGCACAGGGAGAAAAGGGATAATCCGATTTTGCTCCAAATTTGCAAATCCTCATGTTCGCATCAGTTCTAGGTCAGGTGTGAAAATGGACAAAATGGACCACCCCATTAAGTATCTCCTCCACAAAGGGTCAACATTTTGAACAATTATAACTCTAATAAAATGTGATGTAAGGGTTGATAGTATTCAAATTACGCATATCACAACATTTTTATTAACCCAATGCTTGGTGTGAAAATTTTGAATATCTATGAAGCTCATAAGAAGCGAAATTAACATACGATTCCATTTAAACTTGATACATCTCAATATTTCCATCAACATAAGATCTGTTACAAAAATGGTAGAGATCGGACCATTACTTCTGGTACCTCCCCCACAAAGGGTCAAAGTTTCGGATAACGGAAACAATTATTAAATCCGAAATAAGCATTCGGATCTCTTCATATTTCACACACCACATTATTTCGACTAACACAAGATCTGCTGTGAAGATTGGATATATCGGTCCACACCTTATGGTACCTCCTCCACAAAGGGTCAAAATTTTGAATATCTATGAAGCCCATAAGACGCGAAATAAACATCAGATTCCAATCAGACTTGGCAAATCTCTATATTTCTATCAACACAAGGTCTGGTCAAGATGGTAGATGGTAGAGATCGGTCCATTCCTTCTGGTACCTCTCACACAAAAGGTCAAAATTTTGAATAACTAAAACGATTATAAAATCCCAAATAAGCAAATTTCACACGTGCCATTATTATTTTATTTATTTTTAAGCCCAAATAAATGAAACTATTGTGACTAAATGTATTTTGTTTACATCAAATATATTGTCAGCTATCTTTGTGTACAATTTCGCTAAGAAAAGATGATTTATTCTAATAAAAATTACATTTTTGTCTGTGAAGGTCCTCAACAATCCATATTCTTAAGAAAAGTACAATAAAGACGTCAAATCAGTTTAACTAAACATAAATATTATATTTTAATGAATTATTTTATTATTATTATTAATTATGCTTGCAAAAAAATTGGTATGCCGACTGTTGGAACATGCCATACCGACAATTGGTAAGTGATGCCGACTACTGGCAAAAAGGCATTGTTTTAATAAAACTACAAATTTATGAAATTTAATAACAAGTTATTAAAACTTTATTTATTATTGCAAAAACTATACAAAATTTCGAATCTAAATAAATTAACTTTGTAATAATTGAAAAGTTCCATTCAGAATTGTGAGCGATTAAAAACGCGAAAATCCTAAAAGTGCCGACCACTGGTACACTTACCCTATAATCGAACATTTAAATTTTGCACGTACCAATATTTTTATTTGAATTAGATGAAGTGGAATATTTCGGTACCTCACATATATCTGATACGTCATACATATTTTCAAATTTTCCACAAATTTGCACATATCTCATATAAAGTATAGGAAGTAGACAATATAGTCCAAATATGGCACCTTGTAATATTTCTATCAATCTTAGGTCAGCTACGAAATGGTCAATATTGGCCAACTGCATCGGAACCTCCCCCATGGAGGGTCAACAGTAAGAATAATCATAACTCAAGACTGGGAGTATACATCTGTCAGCAAAACCGACTGATACTATTTAACTTGTTTTAACTAATTTTTGCTACCTGAAATATTTAGATAATTGAGAGCGCTTAAAATATGCTATGATATGTAAACTGGCTGCAATATGTTTACTATCGATTCGCATGCATATTTTATATATCTGTGTTGGCAAAAATGTAAGTGTGGCCAGGAAAATCGAATTTCGAATCATTGAACGGCGTAGAAAAAAAACATATCAGCATGTATTACAATAAAAATCCCGATCAAAATGTTGGCTATAAAAACCTCAATATTCCTCTAGCGATAACGAAAAAAAAAATACTTCAACAGAAACTGTTCTAAGATGGATACAAGAAGACTTCTTACGTAGCTAATAGTTGACGCACTTTCTCGCGCACAACTTTATCGTGCATAATGTTAAATTAATTTTTCTAATAATCAGCTCATAGTTATTTACAACACTGTTGTTTATGCAAAATCAAAAGAGGAAATAAACAAACATTTGTATATTAATATAATGTAAAAAAGAATATTGTGTAAGAAGAAAACAAAAAGTGTTGCAAATAAAATAATTTATTAATAATTACAGCTCGCTGAGAACACATACTCATATATATATATGTGTGTGTATGTAAGGTATATATTAAAACCAGAAGGTGAGAGTGAAACTAGCTGTTTATGTTGACGTAAACAAATGCATGCAAGATACCCTAACCTATGATAAGTACAACTAAATAAAATTGCACTATATGCCAGATATTCGCCTAGACAACAAATTATATGACATGTCAATGGCTCAAAAAAAATATATATATATTAAAAACGAACTTGTGTCGTTTTTATTTATTTTGTATGTGAGTACATTTGTGCAAGGTCATCCCATCCGACATTACAAGAAAATAAAATGCATACAAAATCGAAATTATTCAAATTATAGGGTTACTGAGGTGTTGGTTATAAATAATAAATGAATTAAAAATGGAATATTTAAATAGAGGAACTCGTTTGATGTTAGAATCTAAACGAAATAAAATATTAAAACAGAGTGTCGTGTGGACCCGGAAATACGTTTTTCTCAAGAAACGTTGAACGAATAAAGAAATGTCATCCAAATTTATGTGTTGAGATAACATACAAAATTTAAAGTATGACGATACAAGGGAGGATTCTAAGATAATTTGATATTCCTCAAATATAAAAATACTTATAAAAGCTTATAAATTACAGGTGTATTTCGGGATACGTCCCAGGCTGCAATGGACACCCTAATTAACTTAAACCCCTTAAGTATATTTGTAGAGAAATGGGCAGCTGGCTTGCGCCCTGGTTCACAGAGAATTTGAACAATGGAGCAGTCAGTCCTCACGACATTCTGTTTTTACGCCATGTGGAGAACATAGGAAGCGGGGTCAAAGCCAGTAACTACAGGGTGAGAAAAAAAACTGAAACCAACTTCAGACTGCTGTCATTTCTAAGCCACCGTAAAGTAAAGTAAAGAAGCTACTTGATCGAAAACCGTGTCGCAATGGCTGAAAAATGGCTCGTGAGGTAAACATATCGCAAAATTCCATTCGGCGAATATTGAAAAATGAGCTCGGTGTAAAGGCATTAAAATTCCAAAAAAAAAAAGACTCAAAAGAGCTAATGAGTTGCTTCGTTTCGCCGAAAGTGGTGAACTGCAGAATTTGGTTTTCTCCGATGAGAAAACATTCATTTTCCAGCAGTTTGCAAACAAACAAAATGATGGTGTTTACTTGCCAAAGAAGTCAGCTGCAAGCTCGGTTGGCCAACAGAACTTAAGCGCCGGTCATGGTAATGGTGTGCGCCGCCATAACAGCCGATGGTCGCTCTTCGCTCGTATTGATCGATCATGGCATCTGAATAAATTACGAATATTATCGCGAAAATATTCTGGAGAGTGTATTGCTTTGGGCACGCAAACATTTTTGCCGCCGATCTTGGACTTTCCAACAGGACTCAGGACGCGCCACCCAAGAATGGTTACAAAATGGGGTTCGTCGTTTCATTTCCAGCCATCAAAATCTCCGGATACCAATCCGTTGGACTATTGTGTCTGGAGTATTTTGGAAAGCAAGGTTGGCACTAAAAAATACCAAAGTGTCGATCACCTCATGCAAGCGCTTCGCCGGGATTGGGCCAAAATACCGCAGAGCAACATTCGGTTTCATTGGCCGTATGAAAGCCATAATTCGTGCCAAAGGTAACCAATTCGAACAAATCTAAACTTGTTCTAAAATTTGATGATATTTCCGACATTTTTTTCTTTCATTCAATAAAATTAAAAAAATGTAAAAATTATGGCGTTTGACTTTGTTGCAGTTTATTATCTCGCCCTGTATTCTTTATTCATCGAAATAATTTAAAAGTATTAATAGACCCACCCCAATACTATTTTCAAATTATTGGTTTAATTAAATATGTCAAAATTTGAAAAACTCATTTGAAATGACAGGGTTCTTTCCCATTCACATTAGTATCGTCATAGAAAAAAAGGTACTTAGTTTCTTTTTGTGATCAGACCATAGCTATAAGTTATAGCTTGAATGCAATTATTCGAGAGTTAGAGGGGTAAAGGTACATTAAATTCTGCGAGAAAAATTGTATATACATTGAAAAACTTTTATATGAGCTTTGTTACAATACTTCGATTAGATATCAGTGCCCTAGCCCATTGCAATCAAAGTTCAAATTACTTTTAACGAGAATAATCAGTAGACGTTAGGTGTAAGCGTCGTTTGTTAAGCAAACGTAAGAAAACCAGAGACCACGTAATAGATTCTGATCAGAACTATTTTCCTATTTAAATTTCAAGTTCGATTTTTTATACCCTATTAGATTTTATTTGCTCACAAGCACTTGAATAAATATGTGATGATCCAAAAACTTTACCTTTAGTTCTAATGAACTTATGAGCAGGAAAACACAAATTATGTACGCCGAGAAATCCACATTTCAGCAACAGATGGTTTCAGTGAACAATTGCTATCAATAAAATACTTTCGACTGAACGAAAGATGTTTCCAAAATAATCTTTTGGTCTATAGTCACTATTGTAAATCAAATTTAAATTATAAACCTAACAATTTTCAGTTTGGTTAATACCTCAAATGATACGGCAGTTTGTGTATAACTCAATCCGGGGTCAATTATATAACCAAAATTGTAGGGCATTTTTAATACATCAAACACACAATATAATATCCTTCCAATGTATGCTTGAGGTTAACGCTATCACTGATGAATTCATGATGGCAATGAGCATTCTGTAATTGTATTTTTTTTTCTTTTTTTGCTTACCTAAAACAAATTTGCTAAATAATCCTACAGCAAGTATTGCCAGTTGACTACAGATATACCATAGCTTTGAAGGTTTCCGTAAGCCCTCAAAAACCCAATCAATGTTGTATGGTATATGGACTTGGGATTGCGTTGTATTAGCTGCTGCTGATGTTGAGGGAGGCGTTGGTGGCATTTGATGTGACAACGAATTTTGTGAATGTTGCTGCTGTGGTTTATGGTGCATTTGTAGTTGTTGCTGTTTTTGATAAGAATCCTTTACGTATGGGGAAAATACTGTTGCTGCTGCTGATGAGGATGATGAAGATTTTAGGGATGATTCGATGGTAGTAGTTGCGTTCATTTGGGACTTGGATTGATTATTGCCCACTTGCTGCTGCTGCTGATTATTATCCTGTTGTAGTTGGTGCTGTTCAGCAATATATTTTTGGGAGTGATATCGTTGGACGTGGTACTGCGGGCGGAGGTTTTATTATAACGTAAAATTCCATTAATTTGTATTGTTTTACAACTGGTGAATATTATTTCAAGCTTTGCAATAGGTCTTTTTCTCAATTTTATTTTTATTTTGATTAAAAAATTCTTCTTTTTGTTTCTTGGGTTTTATTTTAACAGTAGTTTTATTCTATCCCTCTCAATGGGAACTGACAAATGACAGAATACTTTACTGAGAGTTGTACACAAATAAAACACTACTCTTTTGTTGGTGGTTTCTTTAAATTCGAATTCATTGTCATCTGTCATCATTTCACACAACAAAGGACTGAGAGGACATTCTGAATGTGTGAGAGAGAGAGAGAAGGCGACGAGAGCAATCCCCAGCATGTGTACGTCTTTGAAAATAAAAAACTAGGAAAAGAAATGCTGTTACATTTTGCAGTTGTGGAATGCGCACATTCTGATTACCATTTAATGTATATACGTCACTCACTCACTCACGTATTCGCAAAGACAAACAGAGAAGGATAAACCAAACGAGAGCGAAAGAGAACTTCGCAGCCTTCGTCATCAAATAGAGAGCGTGTTTTGAACTGTTATATTAATTCAGGAAGGAAGTGAAAATTTCAATGTTATTTAAAATAAATTGGCTCGTGGTTCATTGTTATTACTCATACGTTAAGTGGTACTACATTCACGATGATTCCTTGCCATTATTTCAAATATTCTACAAAATTGCCAGTGGAAATCTATTAAAATCTTATCACAGTTATTGTTTTAAGCTTAATCAATTAAATTCTTATTTAAATATTGTTTTGTTGTAGTGGTGTTGTTGTATTTTATATAACCGCGTTAGAAGCTATAACCGTACGGTGGGACATTGTGGCAATAACTGAAAGCTTGCAACACAAAGTTCTACCGATGAACTGCCTGACAGACTATAGCTGCTTGTCTTGCGTATGCTCGCTCGCAATAAACGTATTTGCCATAGCGCGAGTTTGTGTGTCGGAATTCAACAATTTATTTTACTCTCATTTTTTTTGGTAAACATTGTGAAAAAGCAACAAATTTTATTCTTTTGCATTTATATGTCTCATCAATTTAATGCAAAAAAAAAATGTTTGAAAATATTTTATTCAATTAAAAAAAATCTCTTCAAAACACTGTCGAATGAGAAAGAACAAAGGAAATAAAACGAGTAAGTCGGCTTTATTACAAAGAGGTGTATTTTCGATATCTGAATCTTGCTTTTGCAGTGTATTCCGTGATTTATCAAAATAAGCTCATTCGTTTAATCTGCGGACTTCGACATGATAAACACATAAAATATCGATTTGAGATTTTTTTAACTCTATTCATAACCGGTTTTCTTAACGATCTTTGGCCCATTAGATCATTGCAAATTTTCCGGTATATGTTTATAATACTTAAGCATTTTTTATATTTCTAACCTTTGAAAATAATCTCCGTTAAAATCAGGTCTAATTTTTTCATTGGATTTTACAAAAATTGTAACACGTACATGTATATTTTATGGCATATTCCAAACTTCTGAGGGCAATAGGCTTTGTGTGATGATGCTTCGCGGTAATAGATGACCTACAAAAATGTTACATTTTGGTTCGTGTGAAAAAAACAAATCCAAGTTCATATAATTTAAACGCAAAATGTAGGGCACATTTAAACAGAACAATAAAAAGCTAAAGGACCTTCCTTCACTCTCAATTTAAAAAGACAAACAACAAAAACCATTGCTAACGGAAATCCAATGACGTTGGCCTATATTTGAAGAAACGATAAACATGCATTTTGTCCAATAATCTCTTACTCACTATTAAGAGAACCCACTTTTACATGTCTGTTCTCTTCGACCTTCAATACCCAGCAGTCCGCTCGCCATTACAATTTAATACCCATCCAATTGTATGCTACTTTGTCAATAGGAAAAAATTAAATAAAAGTGGTTTATAGCATACAACTAGCATCCGATTTGGATGAGTCGCATTGCTATTACATTGTGGAACAAAATCCATATTAGAATTCAAGAACAAAACAAAATATAATAAAATGTGTCCATCGCACTTGCATCTGAATCGGATGCCTTTGTATTGTTTTGTAAAGTTTTTTTGTGTGTGTTGTTGCACCGTTATTCATTTTTGATGCTTCTTTCTTTTTTAAAGCAAAATTTTATTCTGTAAAGTGATTTTGAAAGTGCAAGTTGTGTATATTGAAAAAAAGTTAATAAAATGAAATAAATTAATAAAATAAGAATATAGTAAGTTTTGTGTGTTAAATATATTAAATAAAATGTTAGGATTCAGTAGGAAAAAATTAAGAGATTAAAGAAAGTGAAAGCAGACAATTTAAAAAAGAAATGCACAGTTGAGGATGGACTGTTTGGAAAACAATGATATTGTACTAAATGAGCAGATTCCATGCATTCCAAAATTGTAGAAGATTTTGGAAAATATGTAAGAATATTAAAATCTCTCCCTTATAATCCATTAATAATTTAATTTCCTTCAGGTTAGTATAATAAAATTATAGATGACCTTATTAAAAACTTCTGCAATATTATTGACATTTCTATAATATTATCTTACAACTATTTCAGAAGCTGTCACATGTGAAGGATTCAATGAACAGGATTACGCCAAAAAAATTAGAAATTGTTTCAAATTCCCTAAGGTCATACACTTCCGAACAATGTCCTACAATTAAAAAACTGGAAAGACTCAATTTTTTCCTTTAGTTTAAGCTTTGTTTCTTCCCACGTCTTTTGAATAAGTTTTATGAATTTCTTTTTATGCATTATTTCTTATTATAATAAGAATATTTTATTGTTGAAAACGCTGTTCTATAATATTTTAATAAAAAACAGCTGAAATTTAAGTTCCTAAAATGTCGATGGAATCTAAAATGTTGATGGAATTGGACCCATCCAACCTTCGCTTACAATGTTGATAGATTTCGGACCCATCCAACATTCGCTTACGTTGTCGGTCGATTTCGGACCCATCCAACATTCGCTTACATTGTCGGTAGATTTCGGACTCGTCTGACGGCCTAGGCCATCGCTGTGTAAATGTAAGTAGAAATTGTATACAGGCTTTGGATGGGTCGCACCTACATTGTCATTGGTCTCAGATGGAAGATGTATGTGCTAAAAAATCCGCTGGGTAGCAAAACACAGTTTTTGTTTTGTTTTGAAAACAGACACAAAACGCATGTTGTTCCAAAAAAAAAAGTATTAAAATAATGACTTACCGGCATGCATGGCATGTATCGCATATAACGGCCCATGGTTGGCCTAGTGGACACATTAGGTCCATTGATTTTTGTGACATTTCTGCAGATGCTCAACATTTTTAAAGCTTAGTTTCGTTCCCGTTGACTCTTCAGAGCAATGATATGTGTTGTACAATTCTGATGCCTCGATAAACAAGAAAATCCAAGGCCCTTGGAAATACGACCAAAACACGCCACCAATTAAAGATTTTGAAGCACCTTCACGTCTTTTTCACACAACTACGGCGCAGGTCATGCGTGTCCGCTGAAACGATAACGTAAACTACTGTATTTTTTCGTCTTATTATGTAAAATAAACAAAACATTTTTCAATTCCTGTAAAAATTAACTTTCAACCGCGAGCGGGGCAATTGATGCAGGCAATTTGTTTTTACTGGTTAGAATGTTAAATGTTATGTATATATTACACTTTTATTCTGGTTACACGCTCAGATAAAATAAACCCAGCAATAAGAACTTATTCAGCGTCGTTACTTACTGTTTTTATTTAATTTTTTTTTCTAAGATTTATTGATTTATTTCGGACCAAAAACCTCTGAGAGTGTGACAGTTGTTCTTCTTTTTCTTTTTGTTTATGTACGTAATTCCAAAAGAAATGATAGCACAGATATGTATGAAGCCCATAGCTCACACGACAATTTCACTTTGAAATTGACCATGTTACAACAATTACAAGATACAACTACAAAAAATACAATTCAGCAAAACCCTCATAGGAAATTGTTATTGTAGGTATACTAGTGTCAGGGTAATATGTCCAAAAATGTAAACAAAACAATTGATGTATATGTAAAAATGTTTGTTTATTCGAACAAATCTAAACTTATTCTTAAATTTGATGACATTTCCGACATTTTTGCTTTCATTCAATAAAATTAAAAAAAAAATATGTAAAAATTATGGCGTTTGAATTTGTTGCAGTTTTTTTTTCCTGTACACATTCATAAGGCTACTACATTTTGCAAATTTATGGCTATGGTAACATAGATTATAGATTGCACCATTCAAATTGTTGAATTTCCAGCAATAACAAGTCTTGTATTCGTCTAAATTCGAATCAAATAATATAATTTTTCAATTATGCTCTTCGTTTCTCCATATTTGTCCTAATGCAAAAGACTGAGGCTGTGTAACTATCAAACGGTAAGTCATTGCTCGCTTAACAAGAAGAAGACATTGTTTTTCTTTGGCTTTTGTTTGTAATCACTTGAAAAATGGAAATATTAAAAAAATAGATAATTTTTATATAAATAGGACAATTCAACGTTAATTTATCAGTGGCGAGCCCGCTCACATTCGTTCTGCCAAGTGTCACATAAAGAGTATAATTTTCCTGCTAAGGTGGTGATGCCCGAGAATTCTCAGGGAACAATTGCAACTTAAATCTCAAAATATGTTTTTGGTAATTAATCTTAAAATGTTTTTTTAATTATATGTTCCTAAACTTCTTACACCATTTATTCTATAGTTTTGGAATCGGCAGACAGCATCAGCCCGGGAGGCTGCTATGCGTACCCGAGAACGCCTGGATCAGCGATTCGTTGACAAGTTGGACAAACTTCACAATGGAGCATGGAATACAGGCGTTGTATCGAAAGAAGACCTACAGGAGGCCTATCGTAAATCTCGCGAAATCGAACAGAATCCCAATCGCGTTAATATGTGGTACACATTTGGCATAATGGCTTCGGTGATGTTGCTCACACCTTTGTTTTATAATCTGTTGACATTTTTGATTGGCGTCAAATGTTTCCTACCCAATAACCATTTGGTTTGGGAAGCTACTAGGCCCATAAGTGATTGTGGGTTCTGTAGAGGAGTGGAGGGTCCATTGATCTTGAAAAATATGACCAGAGAAGAATTCGCCCCATATGCATATTCATCACTTCCCATTGTCATTAAGAACGCCGTCAGCCATTGGCCAGCAAAAGAATTGCTTAATTTACAATTACTCAAGGAGATTTATGAACGCCATCCCGAATCACTGGACGAAAATTGCCACTTTTTAAGCTTGCATTCTGATTTGAAATCAATAAGAGATGTTCTAAATATGCCGGCAGAGAGGGCAAATTTGAGTACAGGCTCAACTTGGTATGTTGGTTGGAGTAATTGTTACGGCCCAGTTCTGGAAGAGCTGCGTAAACTCTATGGTAGACCACATTTTCTACCAGCTGATGCGGAAATGTCCAATACAGATTACATATTTTTGGGTTATGAACAGGGAGCATATATGCATGTAAGTTGGTCAGAACAAACATCACTGAAAGGTTTATTAAAACTAGAGAACTAATTTCAGTTGGATTACATTCATCGTCTCATGTGGCAAGCCCAACTAAAAGGAAATAAAAGCTGGATTTTAGCACCAACGCCTGAATGTGATCATGTTTGTCAATCCTTCTCTTTCAATGTGGAAGCTGGAGATGCTGGTTAGTAGTGACATAAAAAACACCCTTCTTTAAACTTTTTAATATTGAATTCTTATGTTGCAGTTTTGGTTGACACACGGGTTTGGTATCATGGCACTTCGATAGCAAAGGGTCAATTTACATTAACAATTCAATCAGAATATGGTTAAATATTTTATTCGTGAAAAACTAATTTGTTTTCTTCTTGCTGTATTTTAGACTGAAATACTAAAAGTATCCACTGCACATTTATTAAAATCCACAATTATGTAAATTAAATTTAATCTTTAAAGAAATAACATTTTATTTAAAAGTAGAAACATAAACAACTAGAGCTGTAGTATCAACTCTAATTGTTTATATTTCATAAAATTGTTTATTTTCCCAAAGTTAATTGTGCCTCCTCACGTTGGGACATGCCAGTTAAGTTATGTTTACAAAATCCATCATCAAATTCCTTGAATATCATATTTAACGTCAATTTAAATTTATTTTTTCAGCTAACTCTATTTGATTGTTCGTCAAAAAATAATGTCCTTTTATAGGTATGTGGTACAATTAGTCCTAGGTAGCCATATGCTTAAATAAGGATTCTTAACCGTGTATTTTCTAAAATTTAACTTGTCAATTTTAATGGTCTAAAACGAGGACACCTTTTATGATTTGTGTGCATACAATAAACAAATATATATTCATTTGACGTGTCAATGTTAGAATTAAAAAATGGAAACATGATTGTACAAAGCCACTGTACCATGTGTAGGGCATTCAGCTCTCTGCAAACATAAATTTGACATGTCGTCGAAAAAGGTCCGGCAATGGCTATCGATAACAGGTATATCGTTACAATTTAAGGAAACCGAATGTGAAGTCCCTATTAGTTTATCGATCTTCACAACCCTATTGGCAGATGGCGTCAAAAATCGATCTAAGAATCCCTAGTTCACCCACGAGAGAAACGGTATTATTACATGGAAAATTATTAAAATATATTAATTATTTAATTAAAACTTTTTACTTTTTCTACAGATATCGCCACAAAATGTCGGGCCATTTTAGACCACCTACATCGGCGCATGTACTGCGTAAAATCAAACAGCTATCTGTGCCCAAAGCCGATGCAATCTACATGACCAACCGAAATCCTAGGAATTTGGAAAAATTACGTATTGCCAACAAACCAATGGGTTATCATCTGGAGAAACCGGGAAGATCATTTTGGCACAAACTAGAGGTTAATGTTTCCGGGCGTTACGTGACAGCCGAAGTGAAACATTTCCAAAATGGACCAATAATTTCGGCCAGTACGTCAGAATGGGCAATCAAAAAACAGTTGTTTAAATCAAAAGATACCACAGCATTCATCAACCTAGCCCGCGTTTTAGCAGCTCGTTGCCAACAGTCGGGTATAACAGAAATGATGTGTAACATAGAGGCAGTACCTGGTGGCAAATTGGATAAGTTTCTCAAGACCGTTGAAGAAAACGGTGTTGCATTGAAAGAACCACCTCAGTACGTCAATCCTAAGCCTTGGGATGCGAAAAGGGAAGATAAACCATGGGATGTTTTGGAAGAAGATATTAAGAACTAAGTTATTACATATGCAATACACCCAAAGTTTTTGTTATTTCAATAAATTTGTTTAGAATTTATGCATAATGAGTTTCATTTCATAGTTTTTAAGATTGTTTCTGTCCCCAATCGGGCTTAACACTTGAAGCTTCCTCTTGTATTAAGGTGAACTGGTTTCGAAATGCCTGGGATATGAACTTGCTCAGGCTTTTGTTAGATGTTTTGTTTCAATACACAAAAAATGTTTGTTGTTTCGATAAATTGTTTAAAATTTATTCATTTTGTTTTGGTTTTACAAATATTCTTAGTGCTTAACAATTCTGCTACAAACTTATTCGTACTTGTGTTTGATGTCCTTCCACAATTTCTGAAAAAATCAAAGTATGTTATTAGTTGCCTTTCCTCTGCTTACATAATGAAATATCTAGAAAACTTACGCCTTTATTGACAGACTCGAAGAAGCTTTCGGAAGCGACATCCAGAGCACGTTCAAAGAAGAAAGCTGAACCGATGCAAACCACGGCAAAGGTGGAGGTCCTTTTGAACAATGTGTTGTAGATAACCTTCATTTTGGGAATCTATGAATAAATTTGTACACAAAACAGAAATGCTCGCAAGAAAATTTTTGCGTGTCCGATGAAGTTAGGGATACTTAAGTCGATTAAGCAAGTGTTAATTGACATTTAACATGGCCCGAATCATGACGCATACAATGGGAAGGCACATCGACACAGCTGATGGAACTAGAAATGTCAAATTTTATTTTTAAACAAAAAATAAGAATTAAAATAATTAATAAAATGCTTTTTATTTAATTAAATAATAACAAACAAGCAAAATATTTAAGCCATATTATATTGGAAAAGGTATGGAAATACATTTCTTTGTAAAAGTTGATGCAATAATTTTGATATTTAAATCATAAACTCAAAAGAGGATCTTTAAGTAGATGATGTATTACCCAAATACCCAAGTTTTAAATATTAATTGAGAGTAAATGAAAAGAAAAAGAGAATCTAAAAATACAGTAATTGAAAAAAAAAACAGTTCCCAATGAAAAAAAAAATATATTTTATGTTTTTTAAAGAAAATTAAAAAAAAATAATAATAATAAAAAATGTATTGACCATCCAATAGTGTGTTATGTGAAATACAATTTTTTCCATTGTTGCCCCTATTCTGCCAAAAATTTCCACTTTAACGGGCATGAAACAATTAATTGGCCTGGAGGCTTTAGTATTAAGTATGAATTAAACAAATAAAGAAAGAAATGTATTACTTTGGGATGAATCAACATTGTTCCTCTGTCTTGGATTTAGTTTTGTGGATAAAACTCAATAGTTCATTTATGTTTTGTGGGGTTTCCCCAATATATTAATTTTGTAAAAAAAGTAAAGAACAATTTGTTGAATGTTTAAGAATGTACTAGAAACTATAAGACTCCATTACAAAGTTGCATTTTCCTAGTTTCTTCGTAGTTCAGCAACCTTTCTTATTGAGCCATGTTTGATATGTTTGACACCACCTTAATTTGTTTCAAATGGACGCATACTGTTTTATGCAAGCATGCACCTTGTGTCAGCTGTTCATGATTTACAAAAGCCTGTACAGGTTCGTTTTTCAATCTTGTGAGCCCTGGTGAGTTTCCTTTCAACCTTTAGGTTCCTTCTGAGGCTCGTTTTCAATCTATTTATCCCTTAAAATTCAGAATTCGTCATCTTTGTTCCATTTGTTGATAAAGCATTAGAATCTTTTTAAATAAATAAATATTTCTTATTCGAAATGGAGACTTCATCAGAATTGTATGAAGAGGTCAAACTCTTTAGAAATGCCAGGGAACGCGAGAAGTACGATAACATGGCTGATTTGTATGCAATTATAAATACGCTACAGCAATTGGAAAAAGCCTATATCCGTGACTGCATCACAGCTGCAGATTACACAGCAGCCTGTTCCAAGTATTTAGTACAATACAAAGTGGCATTTAAACAGGTTCAATGTGATGAATTTCCCACAGTAGAGGCGTTTGCCAAAAAATTCCGATTAGACTGCCCGGCCGCATTGGAACGCATACGGGAAGATCGACCCATCACCATTAAGGATGACAAAGGAAATACATCGAAATGTATTGCTGACATTATTGCTTGTTCTATAACAATTATGGACACGCTTCGCATGAAAATGAACACAAAGGATGCCTTGCACCTTACACTGAAGGATTTAGTGGAAAACTATAATTGTTTGTCAATTATACCCAAAGATTTCGAAGGAAAGGAAAAAATGAACAATTGGCTAAAAATGCTGGATGAAATGACAGCTTCCGATGAGCTGACAGACGCACAGAGTCGCCAATTTTTATTTGATGTCGAATCTGCCTACTCAGACTTTTCCAAATTACTTCATAACCAATAGGTGTCAGTGGGTGGGCGAAAGCGATATGTCACTAGCTATAGATGTATGTTTTTGTTTTTTTAGCCATGTAAGAATAAATGTATCCTCATAAATAAAATTTCAAATTATAATGTTTTCCAGTGGGTCTCCACCATGTTGATAAATCATTGGACAAAACAGTTTTTAAGAATTTAGAAATCTATCAAGCCGCATAATACGTAACGAGTGTGACAGATTTGGGAGCAAGTTGAGTTTAGGGGCTATGCTCGGATCATTTTGAAATTTTTACCGCAGGTAGGTATTTGTAACCTGATTACGGCAATGTAATTTTTTTGTGGGGGAAATACCCGGTTACCCGGTTATTCGACCCAAAAGTTCGAATACAACATCCGGTTTGTATCCGGTTCTACGTAACCGATATAAATAAAATGGGTATCATTTGAAAGCTTATGAAAATACCTATCCAACAAGTGGTCATATGACGGGGTTGCTGGAACCGGTTTCGGAGAAATTTAGGAAAATTTGCATTTTTGTTTGAGTACTTTTTGAAAAACCTATAAAAACTCGAAAATGGACCCATTATAGGGTCTTAAAATCTATACACTATATTATAGCTAACACTATTGCCTTTCCAAAATGGTATCATATGTGTTGATATCTTTTGTGGTTCCGTGGATATAAGAGATAGAATTCATTAAATTATATTTTTCTCCAGTCTAGATGCATTTGACTTTGACCTTTATAGCTTTTTTAAGCAACCGGCCTTCGGCCGGGGCTTAAGATTTTCTCCTCTGGGGTATGTCCAACACCGGCTACGCGATCCATAGTTTTTCTAAAAATTGTACATTTTGTAAGTAGCCGGCCTTCGGCCGGGGCTTAAGATTTTCTCCTCTGGGGTATGTCCAACACCGGCTACGCGATCCATAGTTTTTCTAAAAATTGTAATTTTTGTAAGTAGCCGGCCTTCGGCCGGGGCTTAAGATTTTCTCCTCTAGGGTATGTCCAACACCAGCTACGCGATCCATAGTTTTTCTAAAAATTGTAATTTTTGTAAGTAGCCGGCCTTCGGCCGGGGCTTAAGATTTTCTCCTCTGGGGTATGTCCAACACCGGCTACGCGATCCATAGTTTTTCTAAAAATTGTAATTTTTGTAAGTAGCCGGCCTTCGGCCGGGGCTTAAGATTTTCTCCTCTGGGATATGTCCAACACCGACTACGCGATCCATAATATTCTAACAACACCAAATTAAAAACAAAGCAGATTAACAAGAACGTTAAACCCGACACAAAACTTGGGTTCACTCAAACTGCTTTCATAAGTAACGACTTTAAAAGTCAATATCTTCGGAACTACAAAAGATATCAACACATATGACACCATTTTGGAAAAGCAATAGTGTTAGCTATATCAACACATATGACACCATTTTGGAAAGACAATAGTGTTAGCTATAATATTGTGTATAGATTTTAAGACCCTATAATGGGTCCATTTTCGAGTTTTTATGGGTTTTTCAAAAATTACTCATACAAAAATGCATATTTTCCTAAATTTCTCCGAAACAGGTTCCAGTTACCCCGTCATATGACCACTTGTTGGATAGGTATTTTCATAAGCTTTCATATATGATACCCATATTATTGATATCGGTTACGTAGAACCGGATATAAACCGGATGTTGTATCCGAACTTTTGGGTCGAATAACCGGGTAACCGGGTATTTCCCCCACAAAAAAATTATATTGCCGTAATCAGGTTACAAATACCTACCTGCGGTAAAAATTTCAGGTCAATCCAAGCATAGCCCCTAAACTCAACTTATGCCCAGATTTGTGCCAAAGTTTGTACCTCACTGTACTGGAACCTTCTCTGAAATAAAAGAAAAATATAAAGCTTTGTGGTGTCCTATTGGCGGATGGTGTGGGCCGCCATAACAGCCGATGGTCGCTCTCCGCTCCTATTAATCGAACGTCGCATAAGAATAAATTAAGAATATTATCGCGAAAATATTCTGGATGGTGTATTAAAGCCTTGGGCACGCAAACATTTTGTCCGCAGACCATGGACATTCCAACAGGACTCAGCACGCGCCTCCCAAGAATGGTTACTAAATGAGGTTCCTCGTTTTCATTCCAGAGCACAATGGCCACCAAAATCCGCGGATACCAATCCGTTGAACTATTGTGTTTGGGGACAATCAAGGTTGGCACTAAAAAATACCAAAGTGTCGATCACCTCAAGCAAGCGTTTCGCTGGGAATGGGCCAAAATACCGCAGAGCAACATTTCATTGACCGATTGAAGGCCATAATTCGTGACAAAGATGACCGGTTCGAAAAAAATCGATTTTAAAATTTGATGCTATTTCCGACTTTTTTTTGCTTTCATTCAATAAAATTTGGAAAAAAAAATGTAAAAATTATGGCATTTCACTTTGTTGCAGTTTTTTATCTCACCCTGTAGATATATTCTAATAGCTGGACCACAGCAGGACTGCCTATAAATACCCCAACAAACAAAGTTGGAAAACATTACTTCCGGTAGTCGTTAGTAATATGATGTAAGGCCAATTAATAAATAAAAAACACAAAAACCTTTTGTTTGGATTCAATCATATTTTTGTTTGTTGTATTTAATTTAAATATTAAGATTATTATAATTATACATATAAGTTTAAACCGATTACAATATTTGTTTTGTTTTATTATAATAATTATGATTATTTTCTTCTGTTTCTTCTGAATTCTGGTTTGTTTGCCTGTTCTCCTTCTGGTTTATGGTTTCAATTAAACTTTTTTAGACGATTTTGTTTCGTGTGTTTCATCTATTACCAAAAAAAAAAAGAATGTTTTTGCTTTGCAACGTGTGGTATTAGCTTATTTGTTGTTTTCCTCTTGTTGTTGATTACAAATATTTTTGTTTTATTCATCTTTATACCCACCACTCACAACAGGGGTTTTTTTGTTTATTAGAATTTGTTTTCTCGTGCATGTTGTTTTCTGTTTGGTTTTTTTAGTAGTAGTACATACATATATATATATATATAGTATTTTGTTTCGTTTCCTTTTTTTATGTTTCTCTTTTCCATCTCATGTAATAATGTATAATAATTAATTTTAATTAAATTATTTGTTGATACTTTTTTTTTGATGTGGCTTTAAAAAAATATTAGAATGCATGAAAAATTTCTATGATTTATGATTGATTGTTGTTGTATGTGTGGAGGGGGAGGAGGAGGATTCGCGGCGGCTTCATCTAGTTGGTAGATCCTTTGTTGGTTATCTTAAATCTTTGTTGTTGATAGAATAAATAAGAAGACGGCATGTTGTATAAAACTATAGAAAAAAGGATATTGACGTTGACAACGACGACGACGAGGGGGTTTGAGATGCGTTTAAAAATTTAAAAAAATGTTGTTTTCACTAACTATTCTTTAAAAACTGACGGAGATATTCCTTATATACTTGTTTTTATGTGGTATATATATGATGTTATGTTGAGAGGGTTTCTTCTTTTTTGTTGGTTCATGTCCTGCATTGCAGTTGATTGGTGTGGACAGCAGCGGCTGCATCAACATGGCCACGACTTTATCAAAAACATTTTTTATTGTTATTGTTTCCATTATATTTTTGTTTGTTTTAAGTTTAATATGTATATTCATCATCATGAAATAGGAGGAGTAGGAGATCGCCAGCATTTCTTCTTGTGGTTCTTGTTGTAAAAGTGGGTGTATGCATGTATGTATGTAGCAGTAGTAGTCTGTGTGTCTTAGAAAAACAAAATGAGCTTAATTCTGACCAGTCCAATAGGAGGGTGAATATCCTTGCTTGGTAGCCGATTTCGATTGGCTACTTGTGGGTTGACGTTGACCAGTACTGTTGGAGTCCTATAAGATGTACAATAAAGAAGAAAAAAACATTTATTAATATTGCAAGTGAAATTAAAAAAAGTAAATTTTAACAATGGAAAGTAACTTAACATGAAAAAGAACAAAACTACAACTGAAAAAAAACTAAGAAAAAAACGTTTTTCTTAATACCGAAATGAGATGATTATGAGCATTCATACAAATTTCCAAATACATTTAGTTTTTCTTGCTTTTGATAATTTTGAGCCAAGGGGAGAGTTAAGGGTTAAAAGAGTGTGAAAATCGACCATATTTACTTTTAGAAAACTTTGCCACTTTAACGCTTTTGAGTCTAATTGATACCTAACAAATGGATATGTGATTGCTACATTAAAATAATAAACGTGAAACACTATGTAACATAAACAGATTTTTATTTATTTCCATTATTTATTATTAGAAAAAAATATATTTAAAAGATAATTTGTTCATAACATAAAAATATAAATATTTCTTTTGCATTAGCCTCATATTATATCAGATAGTAGTGCCATAGAATCTCCAAGTATGAACGATATCAAAAATTACTAAACAAATCGTCGGTCGATCCCTCGAAACAGTTATCGCTATCCTAATTCAACCTATTCTTATTTTAACCAAAATACCTAAGTAATTTAAAACAATTTGAGGTTAGGTGAATAACTATTAAATTAGATCATTGCTTTAAAAAAAAAAAATAAGACTACTTTTAAAGTAATTGGACTACTTTAAGCCATTTTGGGCTTGAAGAGGAGATACTCTCTTGAAATAGTCAATGGAAAACCTAAAGCTTTTATTGGAAACAGATCCCATTACGGTCTTATGCTTTTTCAAAAATACAAAACTATTTTTTCGTTTTAGAATTGCAAGTGCATAATTTCCTAATGACAATTCCATCTCTGGTTCTTTCCAACACATCCTGATTTAAAATTTTAGAAAATTTGTTTTCCTAAACACTTTTTATTGTATCATTTGGACACACTTGGGAAAGATCCAAATATGTTTTATATATTATAAATGATTTGAAATAAGTCGCTTTTTAAGGCCGGAGTTTTTTCTGAAAAAGGTTGAAACTAAGGGTGAAAATACATAAAGCGCATATTTGGCTGGCTTCTTCGTAGATAGACAAAGGAGTTTTAGGTTGACTTAGTTCGATTTTGGCCCCAGGCTCCTTTGTTAATTTCCGAAGAAGCCATCCGATGACTTAAGCCAGCCAGAAAGGAGCTTTATGAGGTACCTCGCTTCATTTCCAGCGCAAAATGGTTACCAAAATTTCCGGATACCAATCCGTTGGACTATTGTGTCTGGAGTGTTTTGGAAAGCAAAGTTGGCACTAAAAATTCTAAAGTGTCGATCACCTCAAGGAAGCGCTTCGCCGGGAATGGACCAAAATACCGCAGAGCAACAGTTGGGCAGCGTGTGACGGCCGTTTGAAGGCCATAATTCGTGCCAAAGGTGACAAATTTGAAAAAATCTAAACTTATTCTAAAATTTGATGCTATTTCCTCCATTTTTTGCTTTCATTCAATAAAATTTTAAAAAATTTAAAAATTATGGTGTTTGACTTTGTTGCCATTTTTTTTATCTCATCCTGTAGCTGGCAACCTAAAGTTTCAAACTTGGCCGGATGGCAGTGTGATTAATGTCCTCAACCAATATGACGTGATTGACAGTTTCAAAAGATTTGATAAATTAAGTCCCCCTGCTAATATGTGTGGAAATGGCATGTAAAGCGTGTTGTTGCGCTATTCAATTTCCGGAATAGGCGTTGATTATCAGCTACTTGTAAACACTCTCTTAGGTCGGATAAGAGGTGACAACAGAGGTAAATTCACCTGGTGACAATATTTTGACTCTGTCTTGTCCCATCTTTATACTTCTTCGTATTGTAACGTTATTACTATAAAAGTAAGGAAAGTGTATAGAAATAGTTTAGCTATTTTAAATCGGACGACAACAAAATTGTATTTACCCCAAATGTCATAAGTCAAAAAAAAAAAAATAATAATAATAATAAAATATATTATGTTATTGCAGCACTAAGACCTATGTCCGAAACGATTTTTTATTTTTACAAAATATTGACCTCACTTGTATATGTATAAACTTGAATATCTCTAAACTCAACATAAACTTAACAGATCGCCTTGTTTGCCTTTACAAGTCACATTTTGTTCACATTTCCGCAATCTCTAAACAAAAATAAATTTTCAAATGAATTTAAAATTTTGACCCTCACTATTTTAACATTTTACGTTACATAGTGTGTGTAAGAAAAAACTTTAACAGATTACCAAAAAAACGAACAAAATGTTTGAAATATTAGTAATGGAAGGGTTGTAAAATGTAGAGCTGCCAAAAAATTTAATTTCTTTAAATAATTAATGAATGAGTTGATTTTTTTGTAGTTTTGTCTAATCTTGCCCTAGGGTATGGGTTATTTCTAAAGGAAACATGACTTTTGTTGTTGTTGTTGTTATCAACTTACCCGGCGGGATGAATTGTGAATCCTGCCGTCCATCTATTTTTTGTTGATGTCCAATAAAAACCAAAAGAAATAATAATAAAAATCAAACAGGAGAATATTTCATGCATAAGTAGAGTTTTGTTTGTTTGTTTGTTTTGGTATTGATTTTAGTTGAATTTGATGGGAGGAGGGTGGTTTTGGTGGTGGTGGTGTGTTTTGATATTCTTTTTGATAGAATAAGTTCTTTGAATTTCGAGTTTTAAAAATACTGTTGCTGATTCAGGGGGGAGATAATTAAATGAAGAGAAAATGTTTCGTTTTTATTTAAAATAGGTTTTACAAAATTGTTTGATTAGTTTAGAAAAAAAAAACAAAACACAAATAATATAACAAATAAATAAATATAGGAGATATATGCTGGCATATGAAGAAGAAAGGGGTAGGGGGTAGTTGGTATTGGATTTAGGATTTATTTTCGAATGAATTGCAGCAGATGGCTTTATGATGTAGGCGAACAATATGCAATAATGATAACAGTAGGCGCAGACAGACAATGTTAACGAAATGTTACCTTTTAGACTGACAAATGATTTTTATTATTTTTTTCTATTTTTTTAGATGCTATTAACAACATTGCCTCTTAGTCACAAAATATAAATATTTGTAAATTTTAATTTAAAAAAATAGGAGTAGTAGGGGTATTAGGTAGTATTGTATTAAATGCGTTATGGCAAAGTTTTGCAAAGAAATAAAAGAAAATCCCAATAGAAATGCGCGTAAGAGAATAACAACAGCCGATTTGAGAAAAAAAACTAATGCAACTTTTTAAAAGAAATGTATGTATGTATGTAGCTATTTGTAATGAATGAGTAGTTTAGAGAATTTGACTAATAATTCAAAAAAAAATTATTTATATGTAGTGTATATGGGGTTTATTAAACCGAATGGACTGAATAAATAAAAGGGTGATTTTTTTATTTATTTATTTTCAATGTAAACAGTTATGTAGCCCATAGGACCCAGGAAGGTTAAAAAAAAAACTTCTATTAATGGCTACTTTGCTCCTTTATCTATTATCTATATTGAAAGATTGTTTTACGAATGTTTTCTCAAACACCTTTAGTTTGGTTTGCAATTTAACCATGAATCGTACTACAAACGAATAACGCTGGCAAATTATTGAACTCTATTATCAAAAAGTGTGCTCTGTTAAGAAAATTCATCGCGCGACGAATCTTATTTTTGGCACAATGGGTACATAAATGATCTGAATTGTCGATGCATCTAGAAAATGCATCCTTATAGGCTCTACCGAGAGATGATATCCATTTTTTGACCGCTTCAATTGACGCATTAGAAGAAAACGTTGAATTATTTATTAGTGCATTAAGAATATGCCAAAATCGGAATCTGCGACAAAATTAGAAATGGCAACAAGGTTATCAAGTCTCTGATCGACAGTAATTGGGAAGCTGATAAAAAAAAACATTGTTGGCCTCTTACAACCCGATAGGCCGGTTTGTGGTGAACAATGGCGCTCTGGTGAGGTTTGCAAGCGTAGGAGCTACGCTGTGGAATTGCATTACGTCCTGTCAGAACGCCGTACTAAGAATTAGAATAGAGTGCCTCCTTATGATAGCCGTTAGTCATCTACATGAAGAAGCATACAGAGGTATAAGGCCTCGAATAACTGGCCTATCAAGCAGGGCCGAATAGTATTCACACTGATGAGGCAACAACAGTTATAACAGAATACAGAGTGAATGCCACACTCGAAGATCAGAGTGCCTCCTTATGACAACCGTTGGCCATTTACATAAAGAGCCATACAGATATTCAAATGCGAAACTTGAAAAAAAAAATCGGTGAATAACGTGGCAAAATCATCAAAATACCAAATATCGGGAGGAACCGTTATATGGGGGCTTTACGAAGACGTGGACCTGTGCACAGTCAATTTTCTGTCTTAGGCTTTATATCCATTACGAACTTCAAATACCAAATTTGAAACAATTCCGGTGAATAAAGTAGCTAAAATCATGAAAATATTGAATATCAGGAGGTGTCGTTATATGGGGGCTATACGAAGACGTGGGTGGAGGTGCACAGACAATTTTCTGTCTTAGGCTTTAGTATCCATTGCGAACTTCAAATACCAAATTTGAAACAATTTCGGTGAATAATGTCGCTAAAATCTTCAAAAACCCGAAAATAGGGGTGATATACCAAAACGTGTACCTACATGGCACATTTTCAATACTAAAAGTCCTGCAGACATAATATACATTTGAGTAAAATTTTATCAACCTATTTCATTTCGTTCGGAAGCTAAAGTGATTTCTACAGGCGGACGGACATTAATCGACATAGAATTTTATGCTATTCAAAAATATATGTACTTTGTGGGGTCTAAAATGTATATTTCGGGGTGTTACAAACGGAATGTCAATCTAAATATACCCTCCATACTATGGTGGAGGGTATAACAATTTCAATTTTATCAAACTAAGTTATCATTTATTTAAGGGCTTCATGTATAAAGAGCTTCATAAAATATATATTTTTTAATTTTGATCGCAGTTTTAGTTATTTCCCATATTAATATCTCATTTTTCGCCAGAGACATCAAGTTTAGTTGCTTTACGAGACAAAGCCTTTCGGAAAATAGTTTAATGTATTATTTTCACTATGTACACACAACATATGTATAACAATGATTGTTGTTTTTTTTAATGCAATGTCATGAGCGTGTTTTTGGTAGTGCATTTATGGTTAGCTATCTACAAATGTATAGCATAATGTTGCTGTTTATGTAAACGAATCTTCAATGTGTCTTTAGCAAATTATCAAATCATTTCAATAATTTTACTGAATATATAATGAGGGATATATTCCAAAGACAATTTTTGAAGATGGAACAATTTTTCAATTACCTGATGAATCTGGGGATGAATCATATGATGACCTGCAGCAGCAGGCATTGTGGGTAAATACATGCCATATGGCTGGGCTGAGGTGCCGCCAGCTGTTTGGGTATTTGCCATATTAAATGGTGGTGGCGTAGCCGAATGGAAATTCTGTTTTTCGTAAGACTGGAACAAAATTGATAAAAAAAGAGATAGATTAAAAACCGAAGCCGTGGCGAAAGTTTTGTCAACTTGTTACTTACATTGACCTTATTAAGTGCTACATGCGTTTTGCCATACATAGACGATGTAATGTCAGAGGCTGTTCCAGCTTGCGGAGGATTTGTTACATTTTGGGATTTTGTGGGCTGATTAACACTTGAGGGGTAGGTTTTGTTGGTATAGTCTTGAGAGGCTTGTGAAAGAGCATCATAGTTCGTTGAACCATAGCCTGTGTTGTATGAAGGTTTGGGAAATTGTCCACCAGATGCTGTGTTAGCAGCTGGAATTTGCTGTTGAAATAAGAAAAACAAAAGAGAATACAATTGTCAAATACAAAACTTGTATAAAATATTAAATATTTAATTTTACCGGATAAATAGCAGGAGTGCCATACTGAAAACTGCCGGGCATAACATTTCCGCCATAGAAATAAGCGTAAGGAACATTAAGCATGGGTCCGCTAGAACCGGCTTGTTGTGACATTGTACTTGAAACCTAAAACAGAGATTAAACATTTCATATTGTGTGACAAGAATTAAAAAAAAATAAATAGATATACTTACATTACTAACAGGACTGGAATTATTGTCAGTTCTGGTAAAACGGCCATCAGTCATGGTAGAATAGGCAACTGAGCCCAAATTGTCGCGACCAGCTCCCAGGCTTGTGGGCGTGTAATTTAGGTCGTAATAACCTTGCTAAAATTTTAATATTTTAAAGAGAGCACACAAAAAACGACAATTATAATGTCAATTTGAAAAACGAAAGAAAACGCTTTTACATTTAGGCATACATGGGATGTTGGATGCCACAAATACACGCATATGCTTATGGTTTATAAAAAAATAATATTCCAAAAAAAGGAATATTTTACATATATCTATATATTTGTGGCATTTGTATGTATGTGTATGAAATTAAGGAATGGGATATCATTATTTCAGTAGATGCAATAGCGGGAATGATGAGAGGACGAATTATTTAAACCAAGTTTATATGAGATAGGTTCAATGCAATACAATAAAAACATCAAACAATAATTGAAAAATAATGTACCGAGAACAAACCGCTGTTGTTACTTTTATTTATAAAAAAAAAATTTAATGTAAAATTTTTAAATTTTATGATAAAACTAAATGGTCATATTTTTCAATGAATTTAGAACCTGTTTTGCTTGACCATTCAAAATTGTGTATGATGTGTCAAAATACCGAATACGGAGAAAGTACCGTTATATGAGGCCTATTGGAAACCGTAGACCTACGTGGACAATGTTCTGTCACAAGGGATACCACCCGTTTTGAATTCTTAATAACGTAACAGCCGAAATAGCGAATATCGGTAGTAAAATTATATGGTGGCTATGCGAAAACGTACACCTAGCGGTACAACCCATTATAAACTCTAAAGTTTATAACTATTCTGCAAGAAAGTGTGGCTAAAATTGTCAAAAGACCGAATATAGGGAGTATATTATGGGATAGCTATATAGAAAAAGTTAACATATAAGCCTCATCGTCGCACTTGACTTGACTGCAGACAAAAAACAATTCAATGTAAAATGCCGTAGACTCCAGCATGATTAGTGAGGTATAAAAACCTATTGTCTTCTTTGGTTAGGGTTGGACAACAATGAAATTTGTTGGCTTTTCCACAATTGATTCTTCCTTTTCACTATTCTATTATTCTGCCCTACAACACTATGTGTTGGGAGTATTACAAGTTTGATTGGGCCAAAAATTTTGTAACACCCCGACATATTAAACAATAAATGGATCTTCCTATCTCTCCGAGCTGAGTCGATCTGGCTATGTCTGGTTGAATGGTAATCACTCTGCAGGTCTCAATTATGGCCCGATTCTCACGAAAATGAAAATGTAGGTGGGGTTAGGGTCAGAATGGAGGCCTATTGTTCTTGAAGATGATCGTATATATATATATACAATATTCATTTTTTTATTTATTTATATTCAATTAATACAGTTACCTAGCCCATAGGGTCATGGACGGTTCCAAAAACTTCTATACATGACTACTCTAGGGGTGGAAATGGACTAAAAAATTGAAAAATTTCCTGATTTTACAATTCCTCTACAGGTCGCAATTATAGATCAGCATGGGGCTAGAGTATAGGGTTGGTCAGAAGCGTACCATTTTGTTTGGTCATCGGACAATATTTAGCGGAAAAAAGACCACAACGTTTATGTAAAAAATATGAGAATTTCCACCAAACCGCGAGTATTTTTATTCCTGGCGAAATCACAAATGCACGGAAATATCACTACTGACCGTTACATTGATGCGCATATCCAAGATATAGCATATACAGGGTGAGATGAAAAAACTGCAACCAACTTCAGACTGCTGTCATTTCCAAGCCACACGTCCGACAGCTGTTAATATTATTCCAGTTACAGCTCACTATATTGTTTACAAGCGTACAAAAGCAGTTGGGTGCGAATTTTTCAGAAAAAAGTTATTTGTGATGGAATTCAAGCGTGATAGTTTGATTTCTATATATTTGGCTGGAAAATCACAAGTGGGTATCGTTAGAGCACTCCAGCATTAAAATGTGAATAAATCTTTTGTGTCTCGTACCATCGCTCGTTACCTTGATACTGGTAGCGTAGCCCGACATCAAGGAAGTGGAAGGAAGAAAACAGCAACATCAGCAGAAATGGTTCGAAAAGTAAAGAAGCGACTCGATCGAAACCCGCGTCGCAGTGGCCGAAAATTTGGCTTGTGAGCTGAACATATCGCAATATTCCATTCGGCAATTATTGAAAAATGAGCTCAGGGTAAAGCCATTGGAATTTCAAAAAGTGCAAGATCTTACACCGCAACAGAAAGAAAATATACTCAAAAGAGCTAAAGAGTTGCTTCGCTTGGCCGAAAGTGGTGAACTGCCGTATTTGGTTTTTTCCGATGAAAAAACATTTGTTGTGCAGCAGTTTGTAAACAAACCAAATGATCGTGTCTACTTGCCAAAGAGGTCAGCTGAAAATGTGCACCTTCGGTTGGACACCAGAACTAAAGCGCCGGAAATGGTCATGGTGTGGGCCGTCAGTCATAACAGCCGATGGTCGCTCTCAAAATAAATGCCGAATATTATCGCGAAAACATTCTGGAAGATGTGTTAAAGCCTTGGGCACGAAAACATTTTGGCCACAGATTTTGGACATTCCAGCAGGTCTCAGCACCATCGCATCGCAGAGCAACATTCGGACCGCGTGTGACGGTTTCATTGGCCCTTTGATGGCCATAATTCGTGTCAAAGGTGACCAATTCGAAAAAATCTAAACTTATTTTTAAATTTTATGCTATTTCCGACATTTTTTGCTTTTCTTCAATAAAATTAAAAAAATTTAAAATTATGGCGTTTGACTTTGTTGCAGTTTTTTTTATCTTATCCTGTATTTTTATTAACACAAGATCTGTTATACAGTTGGTTGAGATGTCGCCATTCCCTCTGGTACCTCCCCCACATAGTGTTAAAGATTTTGAAAAACATATGGGTCACAATTTTCAATTTAATCTGTCATAACTTTACGAAACAAATTAGCGATTCTTTACAACTTGCTATGCCTAATTTTTCTCGACCAGAAACCATATATGAATATGAATTTATGACTTCGCATAAAAATACTTCGTCGACTATATCTGGTAACTCATGCCGATTTTAAAATTTTCAAAAATTATCACATATCTCATTTAAAGTGAAGGAAGTAACCAATATAGTCCAAACCTAGCACGTCGCAATGTTTGTATATTATTTTGGGTCTGATACGAAAAGAACAACATTGGCCCATTCCTGCGGAACCTACTCCATATTGATCCTCTACTTGAATAATTTTAACAGAAGTCAAGATGTATTTAAATAATCGAACATTGGCTGAGGGTATACATCTGTGGGCAACACCGACTGATGTTTTTAAACTTGTTTTGTTTGGTTTGAATCTTTAGATTTTATAAAAATCTGTTCTGTCTTCTTTGTCAAATTCCTCAACAATGAAATTTGTTGGTTCTCTTCAATTGGTTCTTCCTTTTTTGCTATTCTATGATTTTACTACCGTTTTTTGATTAATGTGAATTTTTTTAGTTTGAGTTGAATTTTCTCTATTATAATTGATCCCTTACTCATAGTGTTCCGAATATTTATTATTACTACTCATATATTCCCGTATCGAATCTCTTATTTGATGATTAAAAATGGTGATGAATATTGTGATGTTAATGGTGGGGGGTTATATTAGCTTTTTTACGACCAGAATTGTGATTGTAAGAAATTGTTATTAATGCGGTTTTCAATGGCGATTTTGAGTTTTTTTTTTTTTCGAAACAACAAACAAATGCTATTATTCAGTTATGAATTGATCGATTGATTAATGGTTAAATAAATGTGTATGTTGTTGTTTTGCTTGTATTGTGTTGCATTTCTCCATGAACTCACCACATGTGGCACTCTCTGTTGCATCATTTGTAAATCCTCGTAAGAATAAACTGGTTGCTGATAGTATGGCAATGAAGTCTGAATATATTGACTAACCATTTGGATGTTGGGTACCATTCCACTACCAGCTCCGCCACCACTACCACCCGTGGGCGCGCCACCACTACTACCCGTTACACCACTACCAGTCTTATTCGTCGCGGAGGAGACACCGCTCGATGATGCAGCAGCCACGGCCGCCGAAGTACTGCCGCTGACACCGGACGATGTAGCGCCACTACTGCTGTTAGCATTAACATTATTGCTGCTATTGCTACTGCTATTCACAACACCACTAACACCGCCAACGCCACTGCTGCCGCCAGCAGACTGTGATACCACATTTGATGTGGCATTGTTTGCAGAACTGCTATTTGAGCTGCTGTTATTGGCATTGTTGTTAGCTAGAGAAGAAGGATTATTAACATTTGTATTGCTTGTTAATGCACCCAAAGTGGATGAGATCATACTATTTGTCACGGCATTATTGGAATTGACGCCACTTGAAACGGAATTTACAGATGTACCACTGTTGCTGTTAATGGCATTACTAGATGATACACTAAAAAGAAAATGTGAAAAAAGAGGAACATATGTCATTTCATTCATTATTCAGTTAAATATAACGAAGAATAAGATTAACAAATTAAAATCCAGTCAACCAAAAAAACAATGTATTCGCCACATAACTACTACTTACCTTTCGTAATGAGCTGTATTTGACGATGTGGAGGTGGGATCCTTCAATTTTGCACTAGTACTAAAGTTACTATACTGAGACGATGATGTATTCGTGCTGCCCGTGTACCTATTATGTATGTGGTTATATTAGTCGCAAGAAATGGTAATGTTTTATAGAGGTTTGCTTGGATTTTTTAAGAATAATTTACAGAAGAATGTTGAACAAACCCGAATCTCACTTCGGGGTTATTTGTTTTGTGTGTGTGTAAATATTCCATATTTTTTAGAACAATCAGAAACAAATTATGAATAAGCTTCGGATAGTTTAAATTCTATAACGAATGGATAAAAATCAAATATATTTATTTATAAACTACTGGAAATAAACACAAGTCCACGAAAGCCTAATACGCCGTCTGTTTGAATTTTATGGTCAACTTTTTTTATACCCTCCACCATAGTATGGAGGGTATATTAAGTTTGTCAAAGTATATATATTTTCGATCAGCATGAAATTCTATGTCGATTTAGCGATGTCCGTCCGTCTGTTCCTATGAGGAAATCACACTAACTTCCGAACGAAATGAAGTAGGTTACATTTACTCAAATGTATATTCTGTCTGCAGGACATTTGAAAATGGGCCATGTAGATCCACGAGTTGGTATAGCCCCCATATAACGGCACCTCTCGATATTCGGTATTTTGATGATTTTAGCGACATTATTCACCGGAATGGTTCAAATTTAGAATTTGAAATTTGTAATGGATACCACAGCATAAGACAGAAAATTTTCTGTGCAGGCCCCCGCCATCGTATAGCCCCCATATAAGGTCACCTCCTGATATTCGGTATTTTGATGATTTTAGCGACATTATTTACCGGAAGTGTTTCAAATTTGATATTTGAAATTCGCAATGGATACTACAGCCTATTACAGGAAATCATCTGTGCAGGTCCACGTCTTCGTGTAGCCCTCATCTTACGGTATCTCCCGATATTCGGTACTTTGATTATTTTAGCGACATTTTTACCGGAAGTGTTTCAAATTTTATATTTGAAGTTCGCAATGGATACTACAGTCTATGAGCAGGTGTCTACGTCTTCTGTGCAGGTCTACGTCTTCGTATAGCCCTCATCTAACGGTACCTCCCGATATTCGGTATTTTGACGATTTTAGCGACTTTATTCACCGGAATTGTTTCAAATTTGGTATTTGAAGTTTGTAATTGATACTACAGCCTAAGACAGAAAATTGTCCGTGCAGGTCCACGTCTTCGTATAGCCCCCATATAACAGCACCTCCCGATATTCGGTATTTTGATGATTTTAGCGACATTATTCACCAGAATTGTTTCAAGTTTGATATTTGAAGTTCGTAATGGATACTACAAGACAGAAAATTGTATGTACATGTCCACGTCTTCGTATAGCCTCCATTTAACGGTACCTCCCGATATTCAATATTTTGCTGATTTTAGCTACACTTTTTCAAGGACTTGTCTAAAAATTGGTATTTGTTCGTCGTAATAGGTCCTAGTTCCGGTGGCGGAACATTGTCTGTATAGCTTCACGTGTTTGTATAGCCTCTATATAACTGTACTTTGGCCACATTTTTCCACGGATTTGTCTAAAAAAGGTATTTGTAGGCCATAATGGGTTCTAGATGCGGTAGCACAACATTGTATGTATAGGTCCACGTTTTCGTATAGCTCCCACATTATGGTACCTCCTGATATTCAGTAATTTGATGATTTTTGCCACATTTTTTCACGGATTTATCTAAAAATTGGTACTTGTAGTTCATAATGGATTCTAGCTCCGGTGGCAGAACATAGAATATTTAGGTCTACGTTTTTCTATAGCGCACATATAACGATACCCACCGAAATTCTGTATTTTGATAATCCTAGTCATATGTTCCCACAAAGTTGTTTCAAATTTAATATTTAAGAAGATTTGGTAAATGACAATCCTTGAAGTATAAAATTCTTTCCCATTTTGGTACGACCCCCACCCATACAACGGAATCAGCCACTTTATGGTTTTTTGAAACACGTTTGATTTTCGATACTTTTATATAAAAATGTTTTCTTTACCCAAAGGTGGTGTTTCGAAATACAATTGCATTTTAAACTACGCCAAATTTTAAATTTAATCTTTTGGAGTCGCTACAATGTAGAAGAAGAAATTAATTCTAAAAAAAATTGATAAAAATATAAATAATAATAATTGTTTTTGTGGTTGCAGACCAACACAATTGTTAGATTTCGTATTAAATGATATTTACAGAAACCTAATAGATAGATAAAAAAAGATAGATATGATAAAAAAATTAAAAAATATTATTCCTCAACAAATTGATTTTTATCCATTCATTTTTTTGGCTAAACCACACGCATTCTTGTAGTCAGTGAACAATGTGAATCCTCACACATTTATATATTTTTTTTTTTAGATTCCCCAATACATACCCTGAACTATTTGATAAACCAGTGGTGCCATAAACACTTTGGCTCGACTGGTAAGCATTTTGCTGTGATCCATAGGCAGATGACAAATAACTGGAATTTGTATTTGCTCTAAACAAACGGAAACGCACAAAAACAAGGTCAGGTGGCAATCAACAGGCAGTTGGTTTTGTTTTGTTCAGTATCAAAGCATTCATTCGATTAGAAAAATCAGTAGAGGATAGATAGATGGATGGTTGGATGGATGGGTGATTAGCAGTAGGGAAACAAAAAAAAAAATAAAAAAAGAAACAAACATAACATTATTATTGTTAGAGCCTTTTTGATTGTAAATGTTCAAGTCAAACACATGTTATTAGTATCAGATAAACATGACTACCTACAAATTATCAAAACACAGACGATAGATATACTTACGTTGCACTACTATTACTGTTGCCACCAACAGAGGGAATGTTTTGTGTCGAGTTTGAAACACCACCCACACTGGCCACAGAACCTCCGCTTACATTTGAAGCACTCTGGGCAGCTTGGGTGGCAGACTGTTGCTGTGTTGTGGGTATGAACATCGAATTCTGTTGATACGAGCCATATGCTTGAGGTTGATATGAATTTGCAACCGATGACTAAAAGTAATAACCATAAATATACAAATCATTTTTTGGGTATTGTCCCGAATTGTCCAATGCTTACCTGAACATTTCCATATGCGGAATTACTATAACCCTGAGAGGCTACAGAAGGCTGATAGGCATTTGCCACACCAGTTTTGTTTGCAACATTAGCACTGCTTTGGTAGGAGCTTTGATAAGTCGCTGAAGTGGTGTTCTGTTGATAAGGATCACTTTTGGTTAATTGATCCAAAGCATTAGTGCCACTGGCGCTAACACCTTGTGCTGTTGTACCACTGACACTGGAAATTTGTTGAGTCTGTTGTGGTTGTTGTTGTGTTGCAGAACGTTGTGTATAACCCGCAGCAGTTAGGGTATCAGTCTGTAATATAAATATTAATTAAATCGATTACTAAGACGCTATTGCACAGGAATATCCTACCACCAAATGAGAGTTGGGCAAACCAGCTGTTAACGACTGTTGTTGTTGCTGTTGTGTCACCGCTTTACTTTGATCATACGCTGAAGCACTAACATCCTGTGGCGATTGCACCAACGACTTTTGTTGGGCCTGCTGTTGTTGCTGCTGCTGTTGTTGTTGTTGCGATTGTTGGCTGTCCAATGTAACCGAGGTATTGAACTTCTCCGACAGATTTTCAAAGGAATCATCTGTACCAAAGTCCAAGCCACCGAATTGTACATCGATGTAACCCATGTTATTCAGCGAATCGCCTGGCATTTCGACAGCACTTGATGGAATCTAGAGAAGAGGAAAAACAATTAGATGCACATGTTGCAATATAATGCCTTCATACCTTTGAGGGGGGAGGAAGTTTGGCCCGGGCCCGACGAACCTGCGGCTGTTGGCCACCTTGTATCTGTGACGTGGGATCATTTGATATCGCCGAACTGCCGGTGCTAGTCGTTCCCGTACCAAATACATTGGCATATGATGTCGCATATTGCACACTACTTGGATTCTGGCCATATGAACCCATTTGTTGCTGCTGCTGTTGCGGCACACTGCCACCCACCACAGATTGTCCAGCAGTGTTCTGCGACGTCAACGAATTGAAATACTGTGATTGTTCCACCGACAAAGTTGTCGATGACTTCATTTGTTGTTCGAGATGCTGTTGCTGAGCCTGTTGCACCAAATTTGCTGCTGCGGTTGCTGCATTCGAGAAACTATCAACGGCACTGCCGTATTGTGAATTGCCCATAGTTCCACTGATACTGCTGACGCTAGTGCTTAGCGAACTGCCACCAACTGCCGCCGATTGCTGTTGCTGCTGCTGTTGTTGTTGCTGTTGCTGCTGTTGAATTTGCGGCGTACTACTAACTGCGGCACTGTACTGCATAATTGGTGTCGACAAGTTGCTGGTCGTGTTATCGTCAAGGCCGGAACTAACGACATTACTACCCACTAAGGTATTCAAATGAGATCCCTGTGACTGACCCTGCAACGAACTGCTGCCAATCACCGATGTACCAAGATGATGATGGTCCAGTCCCTGTTGCGATGATATATCTTGACCCGAGACCCCCGCTGTTGTACTCGTCGTGCTACCACTGACAGTGCCGCCACCACTGCCAGCTAGACCACTGCTCAACACACTGGCCGCCGTTTGATTCGGTAGATTACTCGTTGTAAAGACCTTACTGTCTTTCAGGGAACCAACATACTCCTCATTATCCCAATCGCCCCATGCATCGTCTTGGCTCTGTTGCTGCTGCTTTTCTGCATTTTGGGCTATGGTGTTGTCCCACAATTCCACCTCTTGGTGGTCGTCATTGGTGTTGTTATAACGTGAATTATAACCGCCACCACTGCGATCACCACGGCCACCGGCCCCTCGGTTACCGCCCATACGGCCGCCTCCTCGGCCACCGCGACCAACATAACCGCCACCGCGGCCACCACCGACTCCACGACGACCATCACCGCCGCCGCCACCACCACCAATACCACGTTGGCCGCCACGGTAATTGTCATTGGTGCGATCATCTCGATCTCCACCACCTCCTCTGGCGTTGCGTTCATTTTCACGGGCCTCTCTGCCACGCCCTAATCATAACAAACCAAAAAAATAATAACGATTATAACAGTAACTGGACAATACCAACAAACCGAATATACGTACATCCACGACTGTCAGAACCTGCGCGTCCACCGCGATTACTACTGTTACGATTACGTGATTTTTCACGTTTGTCCGTATTGGCATTGCCATCGGCCCATTCCCCATCGCCCCCGCCCGCATTGTTATCCTGTGCAGCATTTGCAGCTTTATTCTTTTTCTTCTTAGAAGATGTTTCAAACGCTCCCTAAACAAGTGACGGTAATCATGGGAAATCGAAGTTAAAAAAAAATATTTATTTTGGGGGAGATTTATTTTCACCAACTACATACCACTGGCAGTGTCTCCAACAGAAACAATACTGCACTTTCCAAATTGTTGTCACATTCATACAGTGCACAACAGACCTCCTCCTCGGATCTTTGTGTCATCTCTATAAGTGTGGCGACTTTTTCACGCATCTGTGGATCTTCCGATGTATTGCTGTTGGTTATTTGGGCAATACGTAACTGTTCTGCTGTTGGCTGTATTGGAATGAAAGATTATAAAAGTGCTTAGAATTTTTTCTTTGGGAGATAGTTGGCAACCTACCTTTGGATGAGATTTCTCCTTTTCTGTCTTTGAATTATCCGTCTTCTTGTGTGAAGTCTGTGAAACTGAGTCTCCACCGCCACCTCCGCCGCCAGAATTTGATTTCTTCTGATTGCGACTGCCGCCGCTATTACGAGTTTGTGTGCTCATATTCTATGTACACTGTATTTACAAAGTAAGCTAAAAGAAAGAAACATAAATGCATAAACATATAATAAAAAAAATATTTTAATAGCCAATAACACTGTTTATGAAAATAACTCCAAGGTGAAATCTTTTGTGGTGCATTGAAAAAAATGTTATTTTTTTTTATTTTATAAGGTTTGCTTGTAGTTAGAAAGAAAAAAAACTCAGTAACCATCAATTGCATGTACTCCGAACCAAAGTTAAGCAACGTGGAATTCAATAGGGGAATAGCAAAAAAGTTCAAAACCCATATTTTAAATCGACGTATAAGAAATATTTTTAAAAACAAAAATATAGCAAGTTGGCTATATATAGGAAGGGAGGATTGTAATCCAAAATTAAAGCTACTAAAGCATTATTAAAATAATCTTTTCTTAGTTTTTGTTTTATTTTGAACGAATGTCCTTTAAAAATGTTTCTCAATATTATTAGTATTAAACAATTAAAACACGCTCACTATGACTTAATGAAGAATGGCGATAAGAGCCGAGTCCAAAATTATAAGACCTATATACCATGTTTGTACTTTGAAATCTTATCTGACAGAGACAAAGCAATGGGTCACATAAAAACCGTTTTTTACGTTTTTGAAGACTGCTTGTTTTTATTTTATTTTAGAAATACTAAAATACGTTTATAAAATAGGGTAACGGTTAAAAGGACATTTCTCAGAAACTTGATCAGACTAGAGGACATATCGTGGTTTGTAGGAATTACTCGCAGAGGTAGTCCTATCAAATGAATGATAATAAAAGTGGCGAAGGAGTGGATGAATATTTCATAAGATTCTACTTCAGTAAATCGCAAAAGTGGTCAGAGGAGAAAGTTCCAAATATATTTTGAATTTATGTTATCTTTTAAAAACGATGTATGAATAAGTCATTGTAAAAATAGAAAAAGTGATCTTGTCTTAATCGAGCCATTCATGACTTCGACAAAAATACAAATTCTTAACAACCAGTACAGACTTTATAATACCCTACACCACTTTGCATATTTAGGAGAGCTTCACATAACAAATAAAAACTTTTATGGGGAATTTGTGAGAATTAAATTATACCAACTATGATTATATTTAATTTCCAAAGGAAAGGAGAGAGGAATATCCTCCTTTGAATTGATTTCTACTAAAATTTGATTCGGGCTTGTATTACCCATAATTCGGGCTTGTATTACCCATTTGATGCACAATTAACATAAATTCAAGCGTGATTTCTTTATATTTGGCTGAAAAACCACAAATGGCTATCGTTAGAGCACTCCAGCATTTAAATGTGAATAAATCTTTTGAGTCTCATACCATCATCGCTCGTTACTGTGATATTGGTAGCGTAGCCCGACGTCAAGGAAGTGGGCGGAAGAAAACAGCAACATCAGCAGAAATGGTTCGAAAAGTAAAGAAGCGACAACCCGCATCGCAGTGGCCGAAAATGGCTCGTGAGCTGAACATATCGCAATACTCCATTTGGGAATTATTAAAAAATGACCTAGGGACTTAGAACTTACACCGCAGCAGAACAAAAAATAGAGTCAAAAGAGCTAAATAGTTGCTTCGCTTGCCCGAAAGCGGTGAACTGCCGAAAACGAAAAACTTTCGTTGAGGTTCCTCGTATCTTTTCCAGCGCACAATGGCACCAAAATTTCCGGATACCAATCCGTCGGACTATTGTGTCTAGAGTATTTTGGAAATACCAAAGTGTCGATTACCTCAAGCAAGCGCTTCACACGGAATGGGCCAAAATACCGCAGAACAACATTCGGGCAGCGTATGACGGTTTCATTGGCCGCTTGAAGGACATAATTCGTGCCAAAGGTAACCAATTCGAACAAATAAAAACTTATTCTAAAATTTGATGCTGTTTCCGATACTTTTTGCTTTCGTTCAATAAAATCTAAAATAACATTTAGCGAAGACATTTCAAGGTGCATATTACGGCTGCTGAGGACAACAATAACAAATCGGATGAACAATATATATGGTAGCCATAGCTATGTACATCTGAACCGATTTCGATAAAATTTGGCGTACTTATTTTCAGGCCTAATTTGGTCGTATGTGTAAAATTCCATACACGTTTGGTGCACAATAAAAAGCTAATCGGACGAAGATATATATTGAAGCTATATCTAAATTTTGACCGATTATCTCTAAATTCAATAGGGTTCATCCTTAGGTCAAACAAATGATTTGTGCAGGATTTCATCTAGATCGGACAATAAATGCGACCTGTGATTTGTTTACAAAAATACATGGGCAGACTGGCGGATGGACATGCATAAATCGGCTCAGAATGGAATTCTATGCAGATCAACAAAAGGAACTATGGGTCTATCTCGTTTCCTTTTTGCCTGTTTCACAAAGACATAATACCCTGACCACATTGTGGTGTAGGGAATAAGATGACTCGAATGACTTTAGATCGGCGGTCGAATTTGCGGTTAAACACAGAATACAAACAATCATATATTTGTCAATAGCAGTGGCAAATGCGCAACTAAATGTCAAGAATTTGAAATGATGTGCACCATCCGAATCAGCAAATACGCTTGATTATCTTTATTCTAAAGAGCAAAAATTGATTTTTTTAATTTTTCAGCCATTCTCTTAAGACATTTTACTCAACTATGACACCTAACATCAACTATGTTGGAAAGTGTGAGGCAAATATTACCCACCACCATTTGGAAGGATTTTGGCAATTTTAAAGAAAAAAAAATAACCGTTAAAAATTATTTTAAAATCTTAAAAATACCGAATGTAGACGTTATATTAGGTGGACCTGTATAGGCAACTCTTGTCATAAACCATTACAATATTCAAATGCGAAACTTGAATAAAAAATTCGGTGAACAATGTAGCTAAAATCAACAAAATTCCGAATTTAGGGAGGTGCCGTTATATGAGGGCTATACGAAGACGTGGACCGGCACAATTTTCTGTTAAAAAAAAAAATCACTTAAAACTTATTTTAAAATCTTAAAAATGCTGAATGTAGCCGTTATATTAGGGTCTATACGACGACGCGGACCTGCATAGACAACTTTTGTCATAAACCATTACAATATTCAAATGCGAAAAATTCGGTAAATAATGTAGTAATGTAATTAAAATTCCGAATTTATGGAGGTACAGTAGACCGGCATCACCTATTTTCAATACCAAAAGTCCTGCAGACATAGTACACATTTGAGTAAAATTTTATCAACCTACTTCCTTTTGTTCGAAAGCTAGTGATTTCCACAGATGGTTAGAGGGATGGACATCGCTAAATCGACATAGAATTTTATGCTGGTCAAGAATAGATATACTTTGTGGGGTATAAAATGTATATTTCGTGGTGTTACAAATGGAATGACAAACTTAATATGCCCTCCATACTATGGTGGAGTGTATAAAAATTGATAGAAGCTATATCTAATAGGGATTAATAAAGAAGAGGTATTCAAGAGAAATTTTGTGCTTAATACCCCATCCCATTTTGATTCTACTTTGTCCATGAGAGACAGAGATGGACATTAGGAGATCACAATCGGTTGGTAGCACGACCAATAATGTACATTATGGAACTGTCTTGTTTCCCTATAGAACCACCTCTATTGTGCAATTTATCTTGGAAGAATAGTAACATAATTTTATTGTGGGCAGAAATAACAGCAATGTTGATTCTACGCATCCACTTAAAGACGTCCATTGATTGCAGTCAATCCAATGCATCATTCTTTTTTTAATAATTCTTCCCACTTTTTCCCTTCACCTTACACAGCACGACATGTGGTAGAAAATTCAATGTAAAATAAAGAAAATCAGGTCAAACATTGAAAGTATTCCCAGTTCATATATAAATAAAAAAAAACACAATTCAAATCCCAAAACAGATACACAATAATTTCTATTTCTATACATTAATTCCTATTTCTTAGAGCGCTCGCCGTTAGTGCACGAAGAACGCCACCGCCACCGCGCGTTCTATGTAAACAATTTTTTTAGCGTACACAACTCACCCCCCTGCAAGCTCTAAACTCTAAACAGCAGCAGCAGCGGCAGAAACCAACAATGCGGCGACGACTTATGATTTTTGCTGGCTGTCGGTCCCACACACGCACGCACTCTTATGGATGGTGATGATGACAAACAACAAAAGTGGCTTGTAAAGTTTTTTTTTTCGAAATGGCAGATCGCCGCTTTCAAAAGAAGAAAAAAAAATCAGACACACAAACATACATACATTACACAGCAGTTCATTGAGCTTTCCCATGACCGTAATCAGATATAGAGAAGCGGCAGCGGCGAAGTACAACTGGGGGATATAACAGGAATCCATATTTTTTTGCTCCACTCTACTTCACATACACCGGAAAGGCGAAAAAGAAATGCATCCAACCACTCTGCCATAATTGTTCCAAAAAAAAACACACATTTAACCAAACAAGAAAAACCGTTGCCATTTTAGCAATAAACTAAATCCTCTTTGGAAGAAACTATATACACACATATAGACCATCTTTAAATCATCGTTCGGAAAAAATAGCAAAAGAAATGAAGACAATGGCGAAGAGAAGAAAAACACATTTTCCAAATTTGCGACGACATACAAATATTTCAATATTTTTCACATAAATTTCTATATCCACACAACACATATGGCACAGAAGCTGTGGAGGTTGTACCGAATTAATTGCAATCAGATTTTCTTCTTAAAAATACCTTATTTTAGCGTTAAACAGGACTAATTGCATACACAATTAAAAAATGTCAGACACTCGCTTGCTTCGGTTATTAAAATTTTTCTTTTGTGTTCGGCTTTCGCAGAATCGTTTGGGGGAGAGCAGTATATACATCTCTTTCTAGTTGCTATATTCACCCTTGTCATTTGACGGAAGTGATTATCGATTAACGGCGACGTCTATTGTATTCTGATAACCGGTTTTTACAACAATTACTCATCTGGCAACAATAGGCAAGCCAGAAGAACAAAAAAAAAACACCGGGTAGTCAGAGACCTGCGAGTCATATTTCTCTCGAATTCTCTGAGTATCCAATATTGTTCATATACATATTGCGTTCCTTAAATATGAAATATTGCAGTTCCACACCACTCATTTAAATCATTGAAATGTTTTTGCTTTTATCACTATTTCAGATTAATATTCGTTTCACTAGCTATGGCTATATGTATTTTTTTTATCAATTCTCATGGGGCACGCTTCTATATACAAGCCTTTTTCTCATCGTTCTGTAGTCAACCACCACCACCATACAGTCGTCACAGGTATGCGCCATAGCGTTCTAGTAATTTTTTTAAATTTTACCAAATCATTTTCAATCAACCACAAGAGATTTCACTTTATTTGTATTAAATGATCACTTGTTCACAGAATAGCAAACTATTTAATTCAATTAAATCATTTAATTTACTGTAAAATTAATTTTTTACAGAGCCCTACGAGACCAACCTGCAAAAATGCGCTGATGGAACGCATATGGTTAATGATTACTTTATAGTGTTGTCAATATGTGTGGTTTTTCTTTGTTATGCTAACTAAACACAGCAACGTTTTATTACAACGCTGAGAATCACAATGTAGGACATAGGCCGGTTATTACATTTTTCCGATAGATAAAAAATTATGTTGTCGGACACATAAATCTTTTCTCATTATTACAGGATTCATTTAAGTATGGACTGTCCGATAAGTAAAATGTCAGACCATTTTCCCTTTATCTTTTAACGTAAAGTTTACTGAACTCATGTTGCCATATTTTATAGTGACAACATGGCAAAGTTTATTTAAATAAAAAATCGTTTATATTATATTGAAGAACTGAATTATGGATTTATTTCACGAAGTTAATTACAAATTCGTTTTGTTTATTATTTTTAAACTAAAATGACTATGCCATTGTTAAAAAAATCAGCGACTATCAGTTACTTTTACAAAAAGCTTGCCATATATATGTAAAAAATCAACAATTTAATCATTTTTATATAGTTTGTGTCGATTTCGACAATTTCCTAATGATGCCAAATGCTTAGAGTAAAAACTAGTAAAAGAGATCGTCGCATTTCTATATGTTCGTTTAATTTTTGTAATTTAGAAAAAATTGCAGGCTCGGGAACATTACATTTATTATTTTTGATTTTTGTTATCATGAACAACCCTATGTGTGTTACATCATTCACTCACAATTAATATGTTTTTTCAGCTTTAATGCGAAACTATTTAAAAACGGCCAAACGTTAGTTGAAAGTTCATGCCGTGTTCATATGTAGCAGACGACAAACCGGAAGTTTGTAAACAAAAAACATAAATTAATTGTGGATTTTGTTTCGACTTAAGAAATATGGCAAAGTAGTTTTTTCGTTCAATCCATAGTAGAAGAGTGACACAGGTTATGGGACAATGAACTATTAAACCAATTTTGGAATTGAAAATGTTAAATGAAAAATTATTATTATTTGTAAAAATTTATGAAAAACGCAAATCATAAATCTACTCATATTTAAAAAAAAAAAACATTTTAAAATTTTTAACATATCAATGTTCTCAAGCGTTGACGCATCTACCTATATTCTTCTATCATGGTTCAATCAGTGAACAGTAAACTAAATATTGGCGAAAGTTGAGCTTTTATAACCCTATCGACTATTGTTTTGTTGTGACTTCTGTATTTATTGGGCATTCCCTTTTTGTTCGTTGTTTATTTTTAAGCGGCGTAAATTTTGTCATAGGTCCTCTGTAGTCTGGTAGAAATTGATTGCGGTACGTGAAAAATCGTAAAAATGTATTAACTTTTTATTATTAAAATTAAGCTACTGAATATAATTAATAATTGTATAAGTAATTTAATAGAAGAGACAATTAAAGACGTATGAAATATTTTAGATGCTTGAAATTGAATTGAGGTTATGTCTGGAGTTGTGTTGTGATTTAACATGTCTCATTTGCATCCCAAATTACTAAGTAATAACAACCCATTAGTCTGTTCTTCAATGAAAAGTCTATGGAGGTCTTCCATGGGAAATATGGCTCTTCTACAGGACCTATGATGCTATGGGTTTCCTATAAAAAAAACAATTTGAGAAGATACGTTGGTTTTTTTTTTTGAGAAGACGTGGAGAAAACTTGTTTCCCTATCAAATTTTATAACACGGCTTTTATATATTAATTATATTGTATAAATAATTAATTTTGTTTATTATTTTCAGCTAAAATAACACAATCACAATGAATATTGCACCATTATCCCCTGCGAGTGGCATTGGTCGCTTTTATAAGAAATCTGCCAAAATAATACGTTTCGTAAGACAAGGATGTACTAATCGGCCTTTCTATCATATTGTTGTCATGGAGGTAAGTTTGAAGAAATGAGTTCACTTGCAAAAAGAAAACCTAATTTAACTATGATTATCCTCCACATAGCGCCGCAAAAATCAACATCAACCTGTTATTGAACAAGTTGGCACCTATGATCCCTTACCAAATCAATACAACGAACGTTTGGTCTCATTTAATTTTGAACGTATACGTTTTTGGTTGGGGAAGGGTGCCCATATGTCTACACCGGCTGCTGAGTTATTGGGAATTGCCGGTTTATTACCCATCCATCCTCGTACATATATGACGGCGTGGCGTAATCGAGAAAAGGCAGCGGCGGCAGCAGCTGCTGAACAAGATAATCCAACGACTGGGGGCAGTGATGAAGTAAAAACAAATTAATTATTGTTTAACATGTGTTCTTGTTATTACTAGTTTTTATTAATAAGAGTAAATATTACAAAACACCGCGTTGTTTTTGTTGGTTTGCCTAAAACTAGATCTTAAATATTTAGCATGAACTCTCTTCAGTAGTTTTCCCAAGAAGTTCAGATTTTCAATAGGCGAACTCATTGATGGCAACCACTATTGCCTTGTAAAATCGAATATAGCTATAGAGGGTATATATCGTTTGATACGATCAAAAAGTGCCTCAGAAATAATGGGTTCAGACCCTAGATCTCTTTAAACGAAATCCTATATAGTCGATCGGTCTGGGTGGTGAGCACGGAAACTCACGTAGGAAGTTTCTTATTTCATCCAATCTTGGCACATCGTAATATTATTATCAAACTTAAATAGAGTTCAGGAATGGGAAATATCGGCCCACTCCTTCTGGTACCACCTTCCAAGTTTTCGATTCCCTTCCGGATAGCCCTTGTTGTATCAGCCATGCTGTTACACCTGACTGTTTTGAAATAATAAAAAAGAAACCATATACATTTGTCTTCAACATTTATTTTTGTTCTTGTGTTTCATATTCATTCTCTCCATTTGCATGCGACGTCTTAATGGTAGTTTTATATTATCAAAATAAAGTTGTTTTTTTTTAATTATAATTTTAATTTAAAGAAACATTTAAGATTAAATCTGAGGTTAACACGAAGACACATATGTGATGACACATGATTTCCAACTACCGTAAAATTCCATTACCAAAAATTAAATAAAAAACCGCGCCAAGGTAAAATGGAGTAGTAATGCAGCAATTGCTCGCAAACTACTTTTCTCAGTTTTTACTCTGGCGCTTGTGTGTGTGTGGTAGGTCTAATGAGTGTGAAGGAGGAGGTATGTTTTTGTTTTAAATTTTTCGTTGAATTTTATTCATTCTTCAAAACGGATCCAATATTTTTCTTAGCCTGGCCAATGGCTTTGTCTATCGCACTGTCAACAGCTGTAAACAAAAAATACAAAACACAACATTAATTAAACAGGTCGGTCACTCACTCGCAAGTTATTTTGGGAATTTTAAGTTTTCAATTACCTTGATGATGTTTGAGGAAATATGGGCGCACAATGCGATTGTAGATGACATAAGATCCATTCTGTTCAGAGGGCAACATGCACCAGATTAGGAATCCACACTGCAATAATAAAATATAAAACAAATGTAAATTAATTAACATGTGTGTGATTAATTGATATCTTCAGTTGACAAACAATTCTCAAAAGAAGAACAAATGTCACACGTTTGTCGCGAAACATGTGATGACCGTTTGGTTTGATGTTATCAACAACAAAAGGTTGTCTTTCTGGCAATTAGAAGAATAGCGAGAGAATGTCTCGTGCCGCTAAAAAAAAAAAAAAAAAAAAAAAAACAATTTGCTTGACATGAAGAATGTGGTTTGTTTTCGATAAAAAGAAAAGAATTTTCATGGTATACCAGATATTTTTGCTGTTTTTAAATTAGGTGTATATCGGCCAAAAGTTAAGAAAAGTTAAAACACAACATTGGAAAATAATCGGTAAAGCTCCAGTTCTTGGTTCTGGAAAACTCATATTATTTATTTGTCCCAAATAAATGAAGCGCCCGATTTCCGTATTTTCTATACAAATAAGCTCTCATATCAGTTTTCCCTTGCTAGCCGGCAGATAAATATCTACAGTCAATTTTTATACTCCCAGCCATATGGTACGGCCAAAACATGCCTCATTGAAATAACAGTATTAGACTCTAGATCTCTTTGCACCAAATCCGTTTCAAGACATTTGTAGTCGATATAGCGATGCCCGCCTGGCTGCCTTGTGCGCACAATAACTCTCGAAGATAGTATCCGATTTGATCCAAACTTGGTACATCGTAATATTATTGTCAAACTTAGATCGAGTTCGGAGATGGGCAATATCGGTCCACTCCTTCTGGTACCTCCCACCCAAAATGTCAACATTTTCAAAGAAAATATTTTACTGCATAGAAAGAGAAAGAATAATCCGATTTGTCTCCAACTTTGCAAGTCCTAATATTTGAACCAGTGCTAGGTTAGGTGTGAAAATGGACAATAACGGTCAACTCCATCAAATACCTCCCAACAGGATATATATAAAATTTGATGTAATTGTCCGATTGTCTTCAAATTATACGCATCACAATATTTTTATTAACTCAAGAGTTATTTAAAACAACCACAAAATACATCCCCCACAAAGGATCAAAGTTTTGAATAGCCAAAACGATTATAAAATCCGAAATAAGCATCCGGTTCTCTTCAGACTTCACACATCCACTTATTTTTACTAACACAGGATATGTCGGCGCACTCCTTCTGGTACTTCCCCCACAAAGGGTTCAAAATTTTTGAAAAAAAAAAACTATCATAAAATACGACATAAGCATTCAATTCTCTTCAAAATTCACACATCCAAATATTTTTGCTAAGGCAAAAGCTGTTGTGAAAATGATACATATCTGCAAACCCCTTCTGACACCTCACCCACAAAGGGTCTCAATTTTCAATTCTTTTATCTGCCATAACATGCGAAACAAGTCAGCAATTATTTATTTCTCTAAACCAAAAGTCTGATATGAATAGGGAATTTATCGGAATTTATGATTTGGATATGAATGTTCGATTCTCTTGTAATTTTGCCTATTCCAATATTTTTGCCTGTATTAAATGAAGTTTGAAAATGCAATACTTCGCTCCACTATATCTGGTACCTCACGAACATTTCAATATATTCTTAAAATTTTCATATATCTCGATAGTCCAAACGTGGCACGTCACAATTTTTATATCATATTTACTTTTGTCCGATAGAAAATAGACAATATAGACTTGTAAAGGTATTTTGACTCTAAGACGATGTTTGAAAACTTTTGTTTGAGAATCTTCTAAAGAAATCTGGTTTCCAAAAAAAAATCTTGTAAAGGTCTTCTGTTTCAAAAATGACCATGTATGAAAAGGTCTTCTGTAACAAAGTAGATCTGGTGGCAAAGGTCTTCTGTCCACAAGATATTGATGTATCTAAAAACATTCAATATAGGTACAGCCCCTTTATAACTGAACACACAAATTGCCAGAATTTTGAGTATAGACAATGAGATATTACATTTTCGGTTATTCCTGTTAAACACATAAAGGCGACAGACGATGTAAGACAAACAACTTTCTACTTTTGTGTATGTAGCAAACGATATATATATTCCGCAATTGTAAAAAAGACAAAAACAACAACTTACCTTAATCAACCAGTAGAATGGAATGATGGATGTCAATATAACCGAGAAATATTCAATAATTGACATGATGCCATAAGTCACCCAGTATGTTAGCCATTTGGTGTCATCCAATTTTGTGCTAGATTCAATGGCATGTATCGAAACATAGGCAGGATAGACCACACCAATAATATTGCACAGCAATTGAGCTCCATAGCCAAAGATCAAATATAATGCACAGAAGCCAGCGGCACCTTTAATGGGAAAATAAAAAAGGTTAAATAATTAATAAAATCAATATTAAACAAACAAATTCACCATATTGTGCCAGAGGATTTTCAACAAATATATTAATTAATTTATTTTGCAATTGTTCAAACATATTTTATTTGAAGAAATATATATTTATCCTTAACTAACAACTTGTCTGCTTGCAGTTTCAATAATACTGGTAATGATTTGCAATGAAAATGTGTGATTTTTTTCAAAACTTCTCCACCCAATGACTGTTTCTTTTATGCGGTCAACTGTGTAAATGTTGTCATAAATTCGAAACAATTGTGCGGTTTGAAATAACAAAAAAAAAAAAAAAAAATAAGAAAAAGAAAAAACGAAAGTACAAATACACAATTCTAAAATTAAAATTTAGCTCTTGGTAATTTTTATATTCGCCTGTAGTCTTTTGTGGGTACTGCGGCGAGTACTTGCGCCGCAGCAGCATAAAAAATGAGACATAGGTCGGTCTTGTGACAACAAAACAAAATCAATCATTTCTAAGGAGTATAATTTATGCATCATTAAATATTAACGCGATTATGTTATAGAAATTGTTCGTATTAATTAAATACACAATATAATTAATTATGATGCATATTGTTTTTGTAATACTTTATAACAGATCTTGAGTTTACAGAAATATTGAGATGTGTCAAGTCTGAATGGAAACGGGAGTTAATTTCGTGTTTTATGAACTACATGGATATTCAAAATTTTGACCCCTTGTGGGACAGGTACCAGAAAGAGTGGATCGATATATCCCATCTTCACAGAAGATGTTGTGTTAGTATAATTAATGGGATGTGTGAAATACGAAGATAACCGTAAGCTTATTTCGGAATTTATAAACGTTTTGGTTATTCAAAACGTTGACCCTATGTGGGGGAGATACCGGAAAGAATGTTCTAATCTCTACCATCTTTATAACAGATTTTGAGTTTATAGAAATATTGAGATTTGCCAAGTCTGAATGGAATCAGATTTTAATTTCGTGTTTTATGAGCTGAAGAATATTCACAATTTTGACATCTTGTGGGGGAGGTACCAGAAAGAGTTAATAACAATTTTGCGTTGTGTGTAATTTGAATAGAACTGAATGCTTATTTAGGATTTTATGATATTTTTTGTTACTTAAATTTTGATCCTTTGTGGGGGAGATACAAGAAGGAATGGTCCGATCTCTTTGTGGGGGAGGTACTTGATGGAGTGAACCGATATTGTTTATTTTCGCACATGACCTAGCACTGATGCAAATATTAGGATTTGCAAAGATGGAGCAAAATCGGATTAAACTTTCTCTTTCTATGCAATAAATTATTTTGTTTGAAATTTAGAACTTTTGTGGGAGAGGTACCAGAAGGAGTGGACCAATATTGCCCACCTCCGAATTCGATCTAAGTTTGATAATAATATTACGATATACCAAGTTTAAACCAAATCGGATAGTCTCTTCAAAGGGTTATCGCGCGCACCAGCCAGATAGACAGACGGACGGACATCGCTAGATAGACTCTAAATGAACTGAAACGGATTTAGTCCAAATAGACCTAGGGTCGGAAGCCGTTATTTCGATAGGACACGTTTTGTCCGTATCAAAGGATATATACCCTCTGTAGCCATATGGCTGAGGGTATAAAAGGGTTGGGTGGTGATATCATGGGTTATTGAAAAAAGGCAGGAATAACCCCAGGCGGTTTTTATTTAAAACGAACAATAGTGGAATCATTTAAAATCAATTTGTATAACAAACTTCTGCCTGGAAACATTGTTTACCATAGCAACGAATTACCTGTCTTGGTTTCATACACAATTATTTGACAAACATTATAAAATTCAGTATGAAATTAAATTCCAAATTATAAACAGTGTAATAAAAATTGTAAGAAAAAAATAAAAAAAAAATCTGAAAATGGAAATGCCAAGTAAGTGCACATGCATATATTTTAGAAGTCAATAAAGTACCCTATTCAATCCAATTTCTTTTAAAATCCAGTACCAATTGCCAACGATTTGGAAAAACGAATTTCCGATGCATTTTGTATTTTTGACCATCATGGTGATAAGACCATTGATGTACGCGAAGTTGGCACTGTGTTGCGTTTCTTGGGTTGTGTGCCGACTGAACAGGAAATAAATGAAATAATTACGGCCACAGAAACCGAGGACTCCAGCGGTGAGGTGCACTTGACAAGATTCCTACCGCATGTTACCCAGCTGTTAATGGAGCACAAGTAGTGAAACAAAATTCAATTCAATTCACTCAAATTAAGTAACGAAAGTGTGCCCCATTGCAGAATGGAACCAGCTGAACCGGAAAAATTGCTAGAAGCATTTCATGTTTTGGATCCCGAAAATCGTGGATGGCTTACCAAAGATTATCTAAGTAAACTAATGATGGAAGAGGGTGAACAATTTACCCAGGAGGAATTAGATGAAATGATGGCTGTTGCTGTCGATCCCCTAACTGGCAATATACCCTATGAATTCTATCTAAATCAATTGATGGTAATCATAATTATTATTATTTTATATCTTTGTCCTGATTGTATTTATGTGCATGGCACGCTTAGCACAAACCTAAAGATTCAATTTACGAGATTGCCGATAGAATTCAAGCAGAAAAACTCAAATCAGCAAAACCTCCTAGAATATCAAGAATTTCCAAATTTGAAATTAAATGAGACTAATGTATTTCTTTTCTTTGTCATTTAATTTTGTTACAGGTCTATCTTTAACAACAGCAGATTTAAAATATAGGTACAAAATAAACGTTTCTATGACACAAAACAAATTTATAATTTTTATTCTTCAATTTGTTGTGGTGGGAAGAGAATAGTGAGGGTTAAAGCTAGTCTGCAATCGATGTAAAAGAAAAGTATGGGGATGAATAAATGAGGAAAACGTAAGGTTTTTTTCGCCACTCTCTCACAAATTTATTAAAGGTGTGTACTGGGACTTATGAACGCTTTGAATTCATGTCTGGTTTTAGAAAAAAATTGGGAAGCGGTACCGGTTGCTGTAACTTTTTTCCCCATCGGCGTGTTTTTCACTGCCCTTTTTCGCCGTAACGGAGGACGGTTTTTTGCCTTTTCTTTGCCTCTGGTAGGTGCCCCAGTTTACGATACTCTCACTTCACCTCGAGCGGTTGTTAGGGGGATTTAGTCACTTTTGGAGTTGATCTCTTTAATGAGCTTGGTGCTTCAGCAAACAATGTGTTTTTATGTTCGCTCGTCGTGACTACCTACTGCACAGAAAGAGAGAGGAAAACCCGTTTTTGCTCCAAATTTGCAAAATTTTGAATAATTATAACTCTTATGGAATGCGATGTATGTGTCCGATAGTCTTCAAATTACACACATCACAATATTTTTATTAACCCAAGGTCTGGTGTAAAGATGCAATATATCGGTCCACTCCTTCTGGTACATCCCCCACAAAGGGTCAACATTTTAAAAAATCATGAAGCTCATAAAACACGAAATTAATATCCGATTCCATTCAGACTTGACACGTTTCAATATTATCATCAATACAAGATATGTTATGACGATAAAAGAGATCGGATCATTCCTTCTGGTATCTTCCCCACAAAGGGTTTTAAAATTTTGAATAACCAAAACGATCATAGATTCCGAAATAAGCATTTGGTTCTCTTCAAATTACACGTATGACAATATTTTTATTAGCCCTAAGTCTGGTATGAAGATGGGATTGGATATCAGTCCACTCCTTCTGGTACCTCCCCTACAAAGGGTCAAAATGTTGAGTATTCACGAAGCTCAGAAAGGCATGTCCCAATATTTTCATCAATACAAGAAATGTTATAACAATGGTAGGAATCGCACTCTTTCTTTTGGTACCTCCCCCACATAGAAATTTTTGCTGACACAAGATCTGTTGGGAAGATGATATACATCTGCCAAAACCCTTCTGGTACCTCACACACAAAGGGTCACAATTTCAAATACTTATATCTGCCATAACTTGCGCAACAAATCAGCGATTCTTTGCAACTTGCTATATCTAAATATTTCTCTTAACCTGAAATCTGATATGAATATGTCATTTATCGGAATTTATGATTTCGCATATAATTGAATATAAATCTTCGATTTCCTTCAAATTTTGCAATTATTTTATCTGTATTAGATGAAGTATGAAAACGGAATACTTTGGTCCGCTATATCTATATATTTCCGCATATTCCAAAAAATGTGCACATATCTCAAGTAAAGTACAAGAAGTAGTCGATATAGTCCAATTGTGGCACGTTGTAATATTTATATCAGTCTAAGGTCAGATACGAATTCATCAATATTGGGCAACTGATTCGGAGCATACCCCATAAAGGGTCAACAGTTTGAATAATTATAAGTCAAGGCTGGGCAGATCGGAAAAACCGACTGATACTATTTTATTTGTTTTTTATTTCACTTCGTCTCTACGTGGGTAGGTAATATCGACAAATAGTATTGCGCCTATCGTTGTGGTACAGTTTGATTCTTCGAATTGTTTTGATTTGATAACAAATAGTTTTAAATGGTAAATATATGTTCACCCCGTCCACAGATGTTATCGAACTTTCATAAATATTTAAGATGCTTCTTACGGAAAAATGTACTGTCATCAGATATAAACTCGTTTATTTTTTGTTTGTTCTTGAATTGTACTTTAAAGTACCATGCTTCCATTGTTTGCATTTCGTATAATGATAGCTATGCCTTTTTTTATATTACTACACAAAGAAAAATCTACGAAATTCGTTGTCATTTTAACGAGGAATCTCATGACAAAAGATTAAAGTTCATCTTGTAACCTTTTCCTCTCTGCTGCTATTCGATAAAATTTTTTATGGGTTTTTTTGCGTTGTAAACTATTCTCGATAATTGCCTTTTAATAGCATATACCTATATGGCTAACGTAAGACAAAATGAATGAGTTAATGAAATCATTGACATGCATGGATACACCTGTTACGGAATGTTACTTTTTTTCTGCTTCCAGTTGAGTAGCAGTATAAATATTTGAGTGATTTGGCAAAACAACAATGCAGGCAGTAAATTTTCAATAAAAAATATGCCCAATAAAATCAAAATAACTAACGACATAAACACAACACACATTGTTACTGTCACCATTGACGGGAGGAGAGCAAACTTACCCAAACCAATTTTAACAATTGCCACGCTATGACGGTGTTCTTTTTCTTGTTTCTCTTTTATACTTTTCCATATATAATCCCATAGCCACATTTGGAATTTATTCTCAGCCTGAGTCGGTTGCAAAGGGTTATGAACTTGTGTTAGATTGCTCGGCAATTTTATACGTCACTAGTTTTATTTTTATGAAAATTGTGACCAAGTCAGACACCAGGGGAAGACAATGTTCGTTAAACGAAACATCAACAACTACAAGACTAATAATGGTGATGAATTGAGATAAAACAAAAAAAAAGAACAAGCACTCGTTGAAATATGTGTGTATGATGTGGAGTCTTCCACGGTTTGTGTGAGTAATCGATAATGTGTTCGCAATGACTGACTGCTGCTACGGCTGGGTAGAAAAAAGGCCACGACAACGTTTTTGTTTTTGTGCGTTTTTTTAAATTTCTTTTAGTGAAAACTTATGTTTTACGTTGCTTTATTTTATCTTTGCGCCAATGGAGGTTCCATAAATATTTTAATTGGCGATCCAAGACCCAATAGAGCTGTTGAGTTTCTGTCAATCGAGTCCGTAATACACAATTGTTTATATTGAACAGCAAACTCTTATTCTCTCTATCTCTCTCTTCCCCCAATTCCCACAACGTTGGAAAAATGTAAACAAAGATAATTTCTTTGTACGATGGGCAACTGGAGAGCCAAACTAAGAGAGAGTGTGCGAGCATATACCACAAAGAAATGAACAAAAAGATTTTTCTTTCATTTTCTACACTACAATAAACACAAAGGGAGAAAGAAAATACAACACCTTACAATTGGTCAATCCGACCTATTTTAATTAAACAGGTGTGTGAAGGATTTTCAAATCAAAAACTCCCAGAATCAGGAGGATATTTTAAATTCTGCACATTTATAGAAAATTGTTCGTGATATGATCTTATACACGTTATGCCTCCCGATTTGAGGCAGTTTGGAAGTTTTGAGGAGGGTAACACACGTCCACGCAAAAAACTAGGTTGAAATGTGGGGCTACCCTGGGACTGGGCAGAATTTTTTATCGTAAGTAGATATTTTTAACCTGCTAAATGCAAAGTATTTTATTGTGTGGTTATTTGACCATTAGGTATCATTTAAAAGCTTATGAAAATACCTATCCAACTAGTGAAGCGGTTCGGGAGTAGTTTTTGTGCCGGAACTTTTTGAAAAGCTTACAAAGAGTCAATAATGTACAAAATATGGGGTGATAAGAAATATATACATTATTGTCTACACTCTTGCCTTGTTTGTTTTGTATTTTGTATTAAATTTAAGAATTTTTCATAATTGCTTTGTTTCGATATTCCTGTTGGACACACCACATTATAAATCCCACACCCGGCTATTTACAAAAAAATATAAAATTCAGAAAAACTACAGATCACGTAGCCGGTGTTTGAGAAAGTCAATTTTGCATTTAAGAACTTTGCTTAGGTTGCTTCGTTTCGACCCATTAAAAAGTTCCGGTAGCAACATAGTATCAGTCGTTTTTGCCGGCAGATATATACCCTCAGCCTTGAATTATGATTATTTTAACTGTTGACCCTTTATGGAGGGAGGTTCCGAAGCAGTTTGCCAATATTGACCAATTCGTATCTGGCCTAAGACTGATATAAATATTACAACGTGTTGATTTGGACTATATCAACTAATTCCTATACTTTATATGAGACGTGTGCATATTTTTAGAAAATGTGGAAATATACGTGAGGTAACAGATATAGCGGACCGAAGTATTCCATTTTCATATTTCATATAATACAGATAAAATATTGGTATGTGCAAAATTTGAAGAAAATGGAACATTTATATCAAATTGTATGCGAAATCTTTAATTGTGATGAATATTCATGTCAGATTTCTGGCTAAGGAAATATTTAGATATGGCAAGTTGTAAAGAATCGCCGACTTGTTATGACAGATAAACGAATTAAAAATTGTGACTCTTTGTGGGTTAGGTACCAGAAGTCGTTCGCAGATATATATCATCTTCACAACAGATACCCGTTATCAGAAATATGTGGATGTGTGATATTTAAAGAGAGTTGGATGATTATTTCGCTTTCTTTGAGCGTTTTGTTTTAAAAAATCTTGATCCCTATGTTTGGGAGGTACCAGAAAAAATGGTCCGATCTCTACCATCTTTATAAGAGATCTTGTGTTGATGGAAATATTGAGATGTACCAAGTCTGAACAGAATCGGATATTTATTTCCTGTTTTATAAGCTTTATGGGTATTCAAAATTTTGAACCTTTGTGGGGGACGTAACAGAAGAAGTGGACCGATATATTCCAATTTTACACCAGACCTTGGGTTAATAAAAATATTGTTATGTGTGTAATTTGAATGGAACCAGATGCTTATTTATATTCAAATAATATATACCCTATCTAGCCATATGGCTGAGGGTATAAAAAATCGGTTCACTAAATCGTATTTTGCATCCGAATTTTTGGTTAAGGGTAAAATACGTACCTACGATAAAATTTTACAATGAAACGAGCATAGCCCCTCAACTCAACTTGCTCAATACTGATCCACCACATTATATTCAAGCTCCCTTAACTCCAAATTAAATTGTTTTAAGAATTTTTGCACTTGAATCTCAATTCTTGTTTGTTATGGCTAACTATTCAATTAATAACTTTTTTTTGTGTTAAAAATAGAATCATTACTCAGAATTGTTAAATATGAAACAAATACATATAAAAATGGAATGTACAATTTAAATTAAAACATGGTTAATTAATGTTTTCATATCTGAGGATAACTTGGTCGGACAACAGGTTGGAAGGAAACAAGTGTTTTAAAATATGTTGAAAATGTTTTTTAAATCCAGATATAAGCGGTGCATAAAACTGGAATCGACAACAGCTGTCATACATTAACTTTGGACGGTATGCCCGGCAGAAATTCCATTGGTCCCTGCATTCTGGTAATACATATGATATGAATTTAATCAGTATTGGAAAATTAATTAATAACCTCTTAAATAGTACTAATCATTTCATAGTATCAAAAAGTTTATTATATTAACAATTTTAAAAAAGTCCAGTTAAATTTAAGGTGACAATCGATTTATGCCAAAACATATTTAAATGGTTTCCACAAAAACGTATAAGTTAAAGCTATTTGTACTATTAGTCATATCAGAAATATTTTATCAATATCGACTCTTATAATAACTGGCTCTTGGTAACGAAATTATATGTTCTAATGTACTAATTGATACAATAGAAAAAAAAAACATGTGATACATAGGTATTAGTATGAATTTTAAGATATGTTGAAGTTCCAAAAGGAAAAGCAAATACAGAAATAAGTTGTAACTATTGGATTGATTGTATCTTTACAGTTTGCCACGTCATTTCGTAATAATATTTCAATCGACTAACCACACACCTCCTTGGAATGGTAAGATTTAGCTTAGAACAAAAAAACTACAAAATATATATTCTAATCAAAAGAAATATCAATATCGAAATAAGATACTGTGAGATTTGAAAATTTGCTCATATAAACATTCTTTCCGATAAACAAACAATGCAACTGATAAGCAACCGGCAAAATAACAAAAAGTCATAAAACAAATAAAATGCAAAATATCAACAACACTAAAACTTGTGTACAATTGATTTTGTCGTATTTCGTTTGACTATTTTGAATCGGCGGCGGGCAGATGCAGCAGAGGTCAAACGTTTCACAAAGCAGCATTTTAATTTTAATCTCACGATATATAGGTACACATATAGAATGCGGTGCTCTAGCTGGTCGACAACAAATATAAAGGCAAAGCAACAAAACAAAAACCCCCTCAGCAACACCGCGCCACGTAGAAGCCGAAGTATTATATGAGAATGTTGGGATGATGCGTGGCAATTTTACTTTCGTTCGAATGCATGGCAAGGGAATGTGGTGATAAACGACATGTTTCTTACCGGCGGCCCTACAGAAAAAAAAATTGAGCTAGTAAAAACGACGCCACTGTGGCTCAGACCTAAAATAAGAAGGATGATGATGGCAATAATTGTCCCAAAGACAACACATAATGACGTAAACTGAGAATTATTCTACTTTTCATGCGACATTTACCCTAAACATTTCCCTTGCATATTTCCACAAATATAAATATATAACTTACCTAAAAATAGATAAAGTTTAGGAATATTTGTTTTTTCCTCTACTTTCTCGAAAACTTTGGACCATGGTTTTGATTGGTCATTCAATGATTTATCCAATATGTCCTTATATTGATCGAAGAATTGTTGTACTTGGGCTGCCATTTCGAATTTTTTTATTTCCAGTCACTAGAATACTAAACTGTAATTTGACAAATTAAAAATTAGTCCAAACGAAACGAATCGAATTGAAGTTAAAGTTTGAAACAGCTGCTACCTTCGTGTGTTAAATGTTGACTGTGTTAATGTATTCACTGAAAAGAACACGTGAACTAGGTCACACAAATGCGTCCCGTTGTTTTAGTAGATAATGAGCTGAACTAATAGCACATTTACATATGCTATAATAATTTCACATGATTTTTTGGGTGGAATCAAAACTTTCGTGCATGGCAGAAGAATACAGGTAGATGCATCAACGCTTGGGAGCATTGATATGTCAAAAAAAATTAAATGTTTTTTCAAATATAAGTAGATTTTTATATACTTTCATATACTACGTCATTCGGAGGCTATTATAATTCGCGTTTTTCAACAATTTTTACAAATTTAAATAATTTTTCATTCAACATTTTCAATTCCAAAATTGGTTTGACAGTTCATTGTCCAAGCAGCTGTGTCGACGCGTCTACCTATATTCTTCTACCATGCTTTCGTGGCTGTACGAAGTGGTGTACGCAGTGCTCTCACAGAAAAAAGTATTTGAAAAAGTAAAAGGACCGAAAAACAACATTGATCAAAACATCGAAATCATGTTGACAATGTTGACGCTACCAAACAACTGATAAAAATAAAAAAGTTAAAAAAATTGTGTTTGCAGATTTTATTGTGAAATTTAGCAAGTTAAATTACAGAAATTTGGCTGGAAAACCATAAGTGACTATCGTTTTTTGTGATACTGGTAGCGTAGCCCGACGTCAAGGAAGTAGACGGAAGAAAACAGCAACATCAGCAGAAATGGCTCGTGAGCTGAACATATCGCAATTTCAAAAAACGCTTGTTACCGTGATACTGGTAGCGTAGCCCGACGCCAAGGAAGTAGACGGAAGAAAACAGCAACATCAGCAGAAATGGCTCGTGAGCTGAACATATCGCAATATTCCATCTCGCAAATATTAAAAAATAAGCTCGGGGTAAAACCATTGAAATTCCAAAAAGTGCTTGAACTTACACTGCAACGAAAAGAAAATAGACTCAAAAGAGCTAAAGAGTTGCTTCGCTTTGCCGAAAGTGGTGAACTGCCGAATTTGGTTTTCTCCAATGAGACAACATTCGTTGTCCAGCAGTTTGTAAACAAACAAAATGATCGTGTTTACTTGCCAAAGAGGTGAGCTGAAAATGTGCACCTTCGGTTGGCCACCAGAACACAAGCGCCAGACATGGTGATTAATCGACTGTGGCATCAGAATAAATGCCGAATATTATCGCGAAAATATTCTGGAGGGTGTATTAAAGCCTTGGGCACGCAAACATTTTGGCCGCAGACTTTGGACATTCCAACAGGACTCAGCAACACCGCACTCAGCACGCGCCACCCAAGAATGGTTACAAAATGAGGTTTCTACTTCGTTTCCAGCGCACAATGGCTATTGTGTCGGAGTATTTTGGAAAACAAGTTTGGCACTAAAAAATCCCAAAGTGTCGATCACCTCAAGCAAGCGCTTCGGTAGGAATGGGCCAAAATACCGAAGAGCAACATTCGGAGAGCTTGCGACGGTTTCATTGGCGATTTGAAGGCCATAATTCGTGCCAAAGGTGACCAATTCGAACAAAACTTAACTTAGTCTAAAGCTGTAAGTACATAACAAGCTTGAAGTCATGGCTAGGCATATTTTGTAACATTTCATAAAGGGAGTACAGAGTCGCACTAAAATCCTGCCGTCGATATCCATTATAATTTGACATTAATATGCCTAGCCTTGACTTCAAGCCTTTTATGTACTTGCACCTTAAAATTTGATGTTATTCTTCTTGATTCTACCATGGTGTTCATTTTCGCGTTAAAGTGAGAAACATAAAAAGCTTTTTTGACTGGTTTAAGTCATCGGCTGGCTTCTTCGGAAAAGAAGAAAGGAGCGTGGTGGCAAAATCGAACTAAGTAAACCTAAAGCTCATTTATTCCTCTATTATATTATTATTATAAATTCCTTTGATTATACGTAAAAAAATGATGAGTCTTCTTAAAATTCGAAATTTATGACTTAACCTTGGTATAATGAAATACAGGAAACCTCATTTCAAATTAGCATTCCCAGCTGTGCATTTTCTGTAATTTACCTTGTCAAATTTCAATGCTTTTTTGTGTGTATACAATTAATTTATTAATATCAATTTTGACAATGAGATGTTGTCAAATGTATAAGTTAAAAAAATGGAAAACATATGATTACACGACTTTACCTTCTTAGTTCTACCATGGATTTAACAGTACACTTATATGTTTTGGCATTAAAATTGGGCCATAAGGAAAAAATGTATTCAGGCTTACACTGTAAAGTATTGTCCACGATTTGTAGTAGTTTTGTTTTAACCTTGTAATTATTATAGCATGGATGAGTTCCAAATATATGGACAAGTGTTGCTATTACCGATTTGGCAAATGTGACTTTAAATTCTGCCATGACTTTTCCGTACACATTTTTCTGCTTACATTTCAGACCATATGACACGGATACTATCAGCACATACATCAACATTATGCGTCAGTAAATACATGAATATTTTAAACTTATTATTTATTATAATAAACTCGTTTACTTAAATCACTACAGCTATACCCTTTCATCTTTGTCGTATAGACAACAATCTAAAATGCGTATGTTTGTATGTATGAATGTACTAGGGCGCAATTCTGCTGGTCACATTAAATATATAAACTTTGCCTCTTCCAATAAAATATTTTTATGGAACTAGAATTTATTGAGTGGATCGATGGATACTTTGATCGCCTTGTTTTACAGCAATGCCGTCGAACACTTTGTATACATTTATGGGTTCCCTGTTTGACAAGATTGTAAAGTTTCCTTTGCATGTCTAATAACACGACTGTTTAGCAAATCAATAATTATAAAAAAAACTTAGAAGTCATTCAAGATGAGTGCGTGCAAAAAAAATCGGCGATCAATAGCTTTTTCATTTGAAAACTCAAATGATGCTCAGTAAAGTAATTTAATTCAGTATTGAGTCGGTTTGAAGTAGGACGATATTCAATATGTTACGGCGGTTAAATTTCGCACTGCTCATAATTGCCATCATTGCAGTAACAAATATTCAAGCCGAAACAAACAGTGAGTGCGGTGTAATAAACGACATCAACGGCAAATAAAAAAAAAATCTGTCAAAAAATTTTTTTAAAAATAATTTAAAAAAAATATAAAAAATAATTTAAAAAAATATAAAAAAATAATTTAAAAAAATATATAAAAAAATAATTTTTAAAAAATAACAGAAGCAGTCAAATGATTCTTAATTAAAATTTGTGTTGAACTAAAAGTGTGAAGGTGGGAATACCTAAAGCGCTTATCTGGCTGGCTTCTTCGGAAATGAACAAAGGAGTCTAGGGCCAAAATCGAACTAAGTCAGCCTAAAAATCCTTTGTTCATCTACGAAGAAGCCTGCCGATGACTTAAACCAGCCAAATATGCGCTTTACGTATTTCCACCCTAAAGGTGTGAATACATAAAGCGCTTACCTCATTGGCTTTAGTTATCCGCTGGCTTCTTCTGAAATGAACAAAGGAGCCTAGGGCCAAAAACAAACTATGTCAACCTAAAACTCCTTTGTTCATCTACGAAGGAGCCAGCCAAATATGCGCTTTATGTATTTCCACCCTAAAGGTGTAAGTACATAAGAAGCTAGAAGTCATGGCTGGGCATATTTTTTTTATTTCATAAAGGGATTACAGAGCCTAAATCTTGACGTCGTTTTCCATTATTATTTTACATTAATATGCCTAGCCATGACTTCAAGATTTTTATGTACTTACACCTTAACAGAAGCACTCAGCTATTCGTAATTAAAATTTGTGTTCAACTACCAAATTTTGACATTACAGTTACCACCTATCGTCGGTTACCTCCTTTGCATACATTAGACAAATATGACGAATGTTTCGACCGATCAGTGGCACCTTCTTCGTATTGTTTATTATTTGCCGAAATCGAAGCGGATGACTCGGAATTGTGGTTTCAAATTGAAGAAATTTCCAAAGACACCTATAACAGATACCGACACGATTATATATTCATGGGCATCTGTGTTGATCGGTGCAAGGAATTGCTGAAGAACTCTTCACATGTCCGTGAACATGAGATCGTCAACAACAGTCGTGGTTTGACGAGATATGATGAGGTAAGTGTAATTTATCTGTGTAGTTGTATTTACATTCCTCCTTAAGGGTATTTTTTTCTAGGTTATACAATACTATCAGAGAATTTATGAATCGAAATCAAAGGATCAAAATGTCATAAATGATGGTGACCTCTTGAATAGATGCGCCAATGTTATATTTCAAAGAAAATACAATTTGACATTGAGAACTTTTGTTGAATATTGTAATTCGCCTGAGACGACAACAAAGACAGGTAACATAACTTATATTTTTGTCATTTTTAGATTTGGTATATTAATTTCAAAGTAGCCTTAAGGTGCGAATACATAAAACGCTTTTTGACTGGCTTTAGTCATCGGCTGGCTTCTATGTGAAAGAACAAACGAACGTAGAGCTAAAATCGAACTAAGTCAACCTAAAACTCCTTTGTTCCTCTACGAAGAAGCCAACCGGTGACTTAAAGTGAGAATACATAAAACGCTTTTCTGGCTGGCTTAAGTCATCGGCTGGCTTCTTCGTAGAGGGACAAAGGAGCCTAGGGCCAAAATCGAACTAAGTCAACCTAAAACTCCTTTGTTCAAAGACCTAAAATGGTAAAGACTAGTCAAAATGCATTTGGAGGAAATGATTTGTGTCTACATACATTGCGTTACGGAAACGAATGACAAATAGAAATTAGAAAAATCCCAAATTTTGGCTTCAACATTCTATTCCATAGACCTTTTCCAAAATGTGTATATTGCCTTAGCGGTTTAAATCAATTAACATTGGAAACTATGTTGTTATGATATCATAACAATAGAGGTATTTTCACAGGGTTGCCATATATTTGCTCTGTCTTGTCCTATCTTCATACTTCTATGTCTTTGCTTTGTTCCTCTACGAAGAAGTCAACAAAGAAATTTTAGGTTGACTTAGTTCGATTTTCGCCCTACTCTCCTTTGTTCTTCTCCGAAGAAGCCAGTCAAAAAGGGGTTTTATGTATTCTTACCTTAACTCTATTGATCAGATTAAAATGGTTTCATTTTCAAAAACAAAGCTATTTTGATTGTCATCAATCCAAAAATATCAACACATACAAAGTATATTAAATTTACACATACTCTTTATATATATGTACATACTATTATATATTATATACATACTATTTATATAATCTTTTCTTTTATTAAAGGATATTTGGAAGTGTTCGCTTATTCAGTGTTGGCACTTTTTGTAATACTCAATGTTGTCTCAACGATTTATGATTATCATATAAAGCGCCAGAAAAGTTCGGAACATTTAAAAATAGGCGAGGATTACTACAAGAAAAAATTAGACACCATAGGTAAGTAAGTTTTCAAATCAAGGATAAGAAATGCGAAGTATTGGATTCATGGCAGAAAAATACAGGTAGTCGCATCGAAACAGCTATTGGGACAATGAACTGTCAAACCGATTTTGGAATTAAATATGTTAAAAGAAAATTTATTGAAATTTGTAAAAAATTATGGAAAATGCATATTATAAAAACCTCCGATTTGCGACGTATAAGAAAACAAAAATAAATCTACTTATTTTTGACAAAACATTTTAAAAAGTTGATGCATCTACCTTTATTCTTCTACCATGATCGGTAGAACTTTTCAACTAATACTGTCATGAAAAAAATACTTTTTGCTTTATTTGTGTATGTTCAATGAATTTATAAATACAAATTCTGATAATGAGATGTTGTCAAACGAATAATTTTGAAAAAATGTAAACATAGGTTTGCATGACTTTACCTTTTTGATTGTACCGTTAGTAAATCCAAATAAAGTAAAAAAACTTCTTCATGGATTAATTCGTTAAAAAATGGCATGGCAGAAGAATACAGGTAGATGCATCAACGCTTGGGAACATTGATTGTAGATTTTTATATGTTTTTTTATACGACGTCATTCCGAGGTTATTGTAATTCGCGTTTTCAACAAATTTTATAAATTTAAATAATTTTTCATTCAACATTTTTAATTTCAAAATTGGTTTGACAGTTCATTGTCCCAACAGCTGTGTCGACGCGTCTACCTATATTCCTCTACCATGAAAAATTGTATGAAAACACGTCATATTTCGCATTCAATGGCCTTGTCATGGTAAAATTAAGAAGGTAAAGTCTTTTCAAATGATTATTCCCATCTCTGCATCTTCTGTAATTTGTCTAATTTCACTGTATTAAAACAAGTTTTCCATCCATCTCTGATTTTAGTGGTGGATTTATAAATATATATTTTTACAATGAGATGTTGTCAAATGAATAATTTTGAAAATATTGTAAACATATCTTTGCATAACTTTACCATCTTAATTCTACCATGGTCTTGTATACACATCTGATGAATAATCCTAACTAGTTTCATTTTATCTTAGGTACCACATTGTTGACTTCGTTCTCTATTCCGAGAAATTACAAAAAACTTACTTCGTCCAGTGCTGGGAGTGAAGAATTCCAATTTACGTTTTTCTTTAGGGTCTTTGCAATGTTTTGCGTGATAGTTGCTCATGTAGTGATGCTTCTCATGGGATCGGCCATAGAAAATCCGTTATTTATTGAAAACAGTATGAAACATCCTGCAACGATACTATTTCAAAATGGCGGTATGCTTATACAGATATTTTTCGTATTAACGGGATTTTTCTTGAAACTCAAATTCGACCAAGAAAAACCCATTTCACCGAACACAAAGTGCAGTAAATGTATATTGGTTTACTTGCATGCATTTTTTCATCGTTACTTAAGGTTTGTTATCGAAATTTTAGTGAGCATGTATTTTAACGATTATTATTCATGGTAGAAGAATATAGGTAGACGCATCGACACAGCTGCTGGGACAATGAACTGTCAAATGAATTTTAAAATTGAAAATAATGAATGAAAAAATATTCAAATTCGTTAAAATTGTTGAAAATGCACATCATAATAACCTTATATATCAAAAAACTTATTTTTGAAAAATCATTTTAAAATTTTTGGCATTTGAATTTTCCCAAGCGTTGCTGCATCTACATGTATTCTTCTATTATCATTATTCCATATTTAACGACAAGATGTCATATACATTTTGACTTGCTAATGGTGGAAATATATAAAGCTCATATTTGGCTGGCGTAAGTCAACGGCTGGCTTGTTCGTAGATGACATGGTAGAAGAATACAGGTAGTCGCATCGACACAGCTGCTGGAACAATGAACTGTCAAACCGATTTTGATATTGAAAATCGTGAATGAAAAATTATTGAAATTTGTAAAAATTGTTAAAAAAAATACATTTCATTACAACCTCCAATTTGCGTCGTATAAGAAAACATATAAAAATCGAGTTATTTTTGACAAAGCACTTAAAAAATTTTGACATATCAATGTACCCAAGCGTTGTTGCATCTACCTACATTCTTCTACCATGGTAGATGAACAAAGTAGTTTTAGGTTGACTTAGTTCGATTTTGGCCCTACGCTTTTTTGATCCTGTCAAAAAAAAATCGTTTTATGCATTTTCACCATTAGGGATTGAATTTATCCTACCTTTTATGTATTCTCACCTTAAGTTTGCCTTCTAACCGAAATTACATTTGATAACTAAATTATGAATCATTACAATGTAAACACATTCATTAAACCTTCTTTGTTTTAGATATATTTGTTATAATCAAACATATTTCATTTAGATTTCTACCCTCACTGGCTTTCCTAATACTTTTCAATGCCGCCATATTGAAGCACTTGGGCGATGGACCAATGTGGAATCATATCGTTGAAGCTGAAAGTGCTTTTTGTTCTAGAAATTGGTGGAAAAATATCTTTATGATAAATAATTTTATGATGGAAGACAGTGTAAGTAAAGGTGAGGGTACATAAGCAGCTTTGCATATTAATATCAAATTATAATCGAGTGTGGCTCTGGAATCCCTTTATGATATGTCACAAAATATGACATGCAAAGACTTCAAGCTGTTTGTGTACTCACACCTTAAAGATGCAAATACATAAAAAGCTTGAAGTCATGGATAGGCATATTAATGCCAAATTATAATGGAAAACGACGGCAGGATTTTAGTGCGGCTCTGTAATCACTTTATGAAATGTCACAAAATTTGCAATGCAAAGACTTTAAGCTGTTTATGTACTCACGCCTTAATAGCCATTTAACAACTATATATGTAGCAGTCATAAAAAATGATTGTGTGTTTAAACTTTGCTTGTTCTTCTAGTGTGCTCATCAAACATGGTATTTAGCTGCAGATTGCCAATTGTTCGAACTTTATCTAATTGTTTTAATTTTAACATCAAAGTAAGTCACAAAGCATGCTATAAGAATTAAGGTAGATGTCGCATGGACACAGCTGTTGGGCCAATGAACTGTCAAACCAATATTGGAATTGAAAAATTATTGAAATTTAAATATTAAATTATTGAAATATTAATATGAATTTTAAAATAAGAAACCCTATAAAAATCTACTAATTTTTGTCAAAAAGTTTTAAATTTTTGACATATCAATATTACCAAGCATTGATGCCCTACCTTTATTCTTCTGCCATGTCAAAAAGCAAACCAAAACGCGGTACACACATACGCTCTGTCCCAGAACCTGCAAGAATATACTAATTTCGCAATTTGTTTTCGATGTCATAAAAGGAAAATCGGTTATCCTAGTGAAAACTTTTACATTCTTGCAGTTCTGGAACATACCATTAATAAACTCGGTGGATTTCAAATGTCAATTCTATTTTTTATCAATTGTAATCCACTGGATTTGAATGTCGATTTCATTTGAGGTACACACAATGGAATTCAAGTTTAAATCCACTCGATTCAGTAAGTACAAACTTACTTCAACACTTATGTCGAAGAATACATGTAGGCGCTTCGACACAGCTGACGGGACAATTAACTGTCAAACCAATTTTGTGATTAAAAATTGTTAATGAAAAATTATTCAAAAAAATTGTTGAAAAGCGTATATTATAATAATCTTCAATTGGCATCGTATACGAAAATATATAAAAATCTACCTATGGGTGAAAAAAAAAAAAACATTTTTGACATTTCAATTTTCTCAAGCGTTGATGCATCTACCTGTCAAATAAAATTTCCTTTCACACTCCCTGCATTTTAATGTCAAATTTTATTTAAAAAAAAAAACTATTCCTTTCAGATTCAAGGGGACCAAGATATATGTATATATTCTACTTGGTTTATGTGCACTATTGGTGCCAGGACTCATTACATATATCTATGACCTTCAAGCATTTCCTCGTGCCCATCCAGAGTATGTCCGCCATTTTACATTTCTTACTTCTTCCTTTTTCATAAATTTTATTTTTCGTTACAGATATTATCGATATTTATATTTTCAAAATTCCGAATCATATTTGAAAACCTACTTCCCTTTTTATTGTAATTTAGGTGGTTATTTGGTGGGCATTATTTGTGCTGAAATATATTCAAATTCTTCCCGTTTTCAAGAGTTAAAGAAAAAATGTGAACAGTATATGAACGTTCTGAAAGTTCAAATACCATTTTTGCTGATTCTGCACATAGTAGGTTATGGTATTATGTTCAGTGGACTTTTATTCTATTCCGAAAAGATGGAGGAGTCTTCCTTGTGGAAATCGCTGTATTCAGCATTATTTCGAAATATGTGGACAGTATTTGGTGGAGTTGCCATTATGAGTATGGTACTAAAATTTGGATGTAAGTAAAAAGTATTAATTCCCATAAATTGGCAGTTTATACGTCCTTTTGAGCAGATAATTAATGTAACATGATTAATTTGCCATAAAATATTATAACATTAAAGGATGTAAACGTAGTGTAAGTCATAATTTCATAAGGCAGTGTTTACACCATGGTAGAAGAATACAAGTATTCACATCGACACAGCTGCTGGGACAATGAATTGTCAAATCTATTTTGAAATTTAAATTTTTGAATGAAAAATTATTCAATTTTTTTAAAACTTGTTAATAAATGCATATCATAAAATCCTCCGATTTTCGTCGTATAAGAAATATTATAAAAATATCCTTACTTTTGAAAAAACATTCTAAAAATTTTGACATGTTGTCAGGTATTTGCGTCAACACTCGCGAACATTAGTATGTCAAACATATTTCTAAATATAAATGAATTTTAAAAGATTTTCTATACGATGACGTTCAGATGTTGGTATGTGATTTTTAACAAATTTCACTCTTTTTTTTAAAAAAAGTTTTCATTCAAAATTTAGAATTTCAAAAATGTTTTGATAGCTCATGGTACCAGCAGCTGTGTGTCACATCAACATCAGTATAATTTTGTCATGCTTACATGATAGAAGAATACAGGTAGTCGCATCGACAAAGCTGCTTTGACAATGAACTGTCAAACCAATTTCGGAATTGAAAAAATTCATATCCTAACAACCTCCGATTTGTGTCGAATAAGAAAACATATAAAAATCTATTTATTTTTGACAAAACATTTTAAAATTTTGAACAAAACAATTTTCTTTCAATTTTGAAGAAACAAAGAATTTTGTCATATCAATGTTGCCAAGCGTTGTTTTACACATTTTCATGAGATTGCAGTATGTCAGCTGTTTTATTGTGACTTTTATATTTTCAGGGATTGCTTATGATTTAGTCAACATGCGAGCTTTTCGTTTTTTGGGAAGGTTAACCTTTCAAATGTATCTGTGGCATGCCAATGTTTTGAGAATATTACTTGGATTTTATCGTCAACCAATCTATTTAAGCGTTTTCTATGTGGTATGTATTAACAAAAAGAAAGAGGAGATGTTTTGAAAATGTAAAATCAATATATCAATTTTGTATATTTCAGTTGAGTCAAACCCTGTTGGGTTTTGTGTTAACTGCAATTGTGGCTCTCATTGTAGCAATATTTGTGGAATATCCTCTAGGAACTATTACAAATTTGATATTCAAAACAGGAAGTAAATATGACTTTAACTACTGCAAAAATCAATATAAATAAGTTATTTCTTTTTATCCATTTTTTAGCAAAAAAGAACAAAGGCAAAGAGGAGGTGGAGGAAATGAGACAAGTTTCATAAGACATTTTTTTGTCGGTATTAATGTTAAAGTTAATTATCAATTAACAGCCTAATTGATATAAATATAGTAAAATAAAATTAAATTATTTTTAAAGTTTCAACTAAAGCAGAAAATAATTTTTTTGATTCAATTTTAGCCTCCTGTAGTTGATCTATTCAACTAGATTTACCAAAAAAAAAAATATATTTTCTCACGGACGTATTTATTTTAAATCCACAAATCTAAACCTATTCTAAATGTTGATGCTATTTCCGACATTATTTGTTTTATTCAATTAAAAATCATTCACTTTCATTCAACTAAAAATCATTCAATTAAAAAAAAATTAAAAATTATAGCGTTTGATTTTTTTGCAGTTTTTTCATCTCACTCTGTATATGATTGCTTATTTTATATATATATAATAGATACCATGCATGGTACAATGAAGAGAAGGTAGGTCAACTTTGAAAAAATTGCAAGTATAGAGGTCTACCTGTTTGGCTTGTAATGTCAGAATTAGTATCAAAACAATAAAAAATCAAACAACTTGTTGCATTTCTTTTGAATAAATAATTGAAAAACGCGATAACTGAATGAAAGGTCAACACTTCTTTTCAAAATCATGTACTATATATCTCTAAAGGATTATTTCGCTACAGAACTCTAGATTTTGTCGATGCATGCGTTGAAATGAACATTTTGAAAACACCCAAATTTGAATGTTTTCTGAACAAATTTTTTGTTGTTGAAAATAAAACACATACATAAACAAATAAAGATGACATATTAAGCCAAAAAAATAAAAAAATAAAAATCATATGGTTTCATAGCCCTACCTTGATATCATTGTACCATGATAGATACTGCTAATCCTGAAGATTTTCGTCACTCTGCGTTACGTTACGATAGCAACTAACTGTTTTATTATCTCGGTTGTTTTTCAACAATCTGGCAACCATATAAAGTTGTCAATTCAGGAGGCCACGTTTTCAGTTGTACGAAATGTCAAACTTTGTTGACGTTGACATTTAGAGCATATTTCTCCAATACTTTGCTTGACGTCGGTAAATTCGGTTGTGCGGGTCGGCATTTGTTGTTGCATTTTACATTTCTCTTGGTTAATATTTTAATTAATTTCCTGTATTTAATAAAAATTCTTGACACATAAACGTTGTGAACAAAACCCCAATTTGAAAATATAAACATAATTTGTGGTCGGTATTGGCGTTTTACAAATAAAGAAGAGCCCAGAGCACGAAAAGAGAATTAAGTGAAGCACACCACACAGAAAACAAAGATTACGAAGAAGAAAGGCAATGATGGCAGGCAGTCAGGCACAATTCAGGTCGTCTTTCTTAAGCAGAGCGCGACAGAAAAAGCCAGAAGACCAAGTCCAAATTGATTGATAATAATTCCAAATGTGTTGAAAAAAAGCGTGAAAAAATGCAATACTAAAGTTTACTCCAAGCATAAGTTTATATAATTCTCATTGAAAGTTGTTCATCGTTGTTGTGATAGGAACCAATTCGAAAAATATGCCAGCGAACATTTTTCTTCTTGCGCTGCAGATTTTTGTGCTGCTGCTGCTCGTCTGCCAACGTGCAGTCAGTCATAATCTGTCTTTGCACCACACATCAACAACAACGACGGTGGCGGCTACTACGACGAAAGTCCACAATACGACGAAAAACACGTTTTTTTTTTTTCTTTATTTTCTAGTTCACATTTTTGGTATTTGTGTTGTTCGAGTTTTTCTTCTTGGCTATTGCAGAGGAAACTCATATTTTTTCCATTTTGTTTTAATTCTTAATTATTATATTCCACGTTAGATAGATGTGTGAGATTTGTAAATTTACAAATGTAACCACAAATCAACAATCTGAGGGACAAACGAACGTGTGCATTTAATTAATTAAATATATGCAAAATGAATTCCAAACACAACAAAAAGAAGAAGTAATATTTTAATGGAATTGAAAATTCTTGCATTCTCCCTGTTTTTTTATTTTGTGGCATTTCCAACTTAATTGTGATGTTTGCTGCAGTATGCCGCTGGCGCTGCCTCTGCTGCATGAAATCGCTTACTTCGAGTTACACATGATCGAGTGGTCGGTCGGTGTGTTGTGTACATGTGCATGAATGCGTGTACGAGACGAGAGAGTTGTGACTGTGGGTGTGTGTATTTGTTCACGTACTACTAACAATTTGTAATGAATGGTGGCTCTGCCACGACTGTTGCTCAGTCACCAGTTACTTCTTGCGATGCCATGAATTTCCTTTCATCTGTTGTGTGCAGTTAGAGATGAGGGAATTTTTATCATGTTTTTTTCTTCTTCTTTAAAATAGAAATGGATCTTGCCTACGACATGCATGTTCCTACTGCTGTGTGATTTGATTGGTGGGAAGGCCATTTCATTTCCCATTTCATACTTCATTGGCACGTCACATCAAGCATTATTTGCAGTAACTGCCAACGCAGCAGCAGCAGCTGCTCCATCAACAAATAACAGTACACAAATTGTATCTACAAAGTTGAATTATTTGATTTTTGAATAGCTTATCTCCTTTTATTGGAGAGGCTGACGACCACAAGCCACTCTTTGCTGTCAAGCCACACACAAATGATGTTTATACTAGAAAATAAAATACAGTGATGAAATTCTTTTCCGCCATTGATCTTGCAATAACAAGTGCCGAAGAAGATCCGTAAATGTATCCTAAGTTTTTTTTTTAAGTTTCAATACTAATTGGGGAAATATCTTCAATTTCTTTATTTTAGAATATACGCCAAGTTATCAAACTGGATTTTTCCACGGTAGAAAACAAATAGGCCGGATTTATTGGATTTTACAGTACAGTAAGTATTTATTTGAAATATGAATTAATTTTATACTAACATTATATTTTAACAACACCCACGGAGGGAGGTAATGATTAGTAACATACATCTTAGCAAAGAAACTGGAACGAATTACATTTCCACGTAAATATTATAAATATATCTCTCATCTCATATCTCATGAATTAGCACTTTCTCATGTTGGTGCATCCAAATGTATTTCAACGGTGGGAGAAATTTCGCCGCCACAATAAGGATGTTAGGAAAAACTTTTCGAATTTAAAAAATAACAAGTAACAAAGCTGTAAAGCCGGGTCGAACTTTGAATACACTCCACCATATGTATAGGATTTGGCTATTTTCAAAAAAAAATCCATTAAGTTCTGATAAATTTTTAAAAATACCGAATGTAGCATAGGAAACTTTTGTCATAAGCCATTACAATATTCAAATGCGAAGCTTGAAAAAAAAAATCGGTGAATATTGTCGCTAAAATCACCAAAATACCGAAAATTGGGAGGTACTGTTATATGGGGGCTATACCTAAACGTGGACCTGCACAGACAATTTTCTGTCTTAAGCTGTAGTATCCATTACGAACTTCAAATACCAAATTTAAAACAATTCCGGTGAATAATGTCGCTAAAATCATCAAAATGCCGAATATCGGGAGGTGCGTATATGGGGGCAACACAAAAACGTGGACCTGCACAGACAATTTTCTGTCTTAGGGTGTAGTATCAATTACGAACTTCAAATACCAAATTTGAAACAATTCCGGAGAATAATGACGCTCAAATCATCGAAATAGCGAATATCGGGCGTGGACCTGCATGGCCCATTTTCAATACCAAAAGTCCTGCAGACACAATTTACATTTGAGTAAAATTTTATCAACCTACTTCATTTTGTTCGGAATCTAGAGTGATTTCCACAGATGGACAGGCATCGCTAAATTCAAATAGAATTTTATGCTGATGAAGAATATATATACTTTGTGGGGTATAAAATGTATATTTCGAGGTGTTACAAACGGAATGTCAAACTTAATATAGCCTCCATACTATGGTGGAGGGTATGAAAAAATTTAGGAAAATACTTGAAACCTTTACTTTATAAACTAATGTATGCAGATGAAAATGTTGACCGCGACTGCACCTCAACTAGTTCATCCGCCTAGTCCAATTTTGCTATACTGTTTTCAATATTTCGACCGGTAACTCACGACTTGATGCTTCAATGTCGTATTTCAATGCATCGATTGAGGCGGGCTCGTCTGTAAAGACATGAGCTTTAACATAGACCCACAAAAAAGTTTAGAGGCATTGTGCAATTGATGCTACCCGTCCATAAATCACACCAAACTGTGACTTTTCTTGAATGCGTTAGTAGCTTTTGCAATGCTTCTGGCTGATCTTCACTCCAAAATCGACAATTCGGCTTATATACCTAGCCATTGAGCCAAAAATGAGGATCGACTAAACTGACGATAAAACGGAAAAAGCATGCGGTGAACTTTCTTAACAGATCACCAATTTTGATCATATAATTCAATGATCTGCAAGTGTTGTTGGTTTGTAAAATCGCCTTACAATGTTACCAAAAATATAACAGTTTAAAAATCCCCTTTTATAGCTAATATCAGGTCCTTAAACCGCCACGGAAAAGCTGTACATATTTATTCAATAAAGTAACTTCTTCAACTACAAGTTGATGTTCTCCTCGATGCAACTTCGATATTCGAGAACTGATTTAAAGTTCTATGCTTTAGAGATTAGAGCCTTTTTATTCATTTCTTTAATTACCTTATTTCAGTTTAAAATTGAAAAAAAAAACGTATCTCTATTTCAGAATAGTATTTCAGTATGAAGCTAGATCTATGAATAGAATATGCTTTGGTATCCGTTGGCACTCGTTTTAAGGGAGGGGTCTAGCTTTTTTATACCAGAATTATTTATGGTATTCAGTCAATTCAGTGCTGTGTATAGGTATTTTTTTCTGGAAATTTGATAAGAATATGGGACGTGATCACTTCATAAAGTTTGAATTTTGATAACTTTAAATCATAACTCACAACACTTGTACCTACCATCATCATTTCTTTTCTCAATAGGTACAAAATTGTTTGCTTTTTAGATTCTTTGTTTTTTTTTTTTTTGTCCGACCAGTTCCTCCTTGTTAAAGAACTTGCTTTTACTTTGCCCACCTATTTGATGGTTTGTTGGTATGCTTGATCCATGCCCGCTTTCCTCCCGCATTTCCTTCTCGCATTGCTATTGAAACACACGATTTTTCAAAGCAGAAAAATGTGTGTCAACACAAGACTTACGCATACAACGACCAAGCCAGCAATCGAAAGACCAACCGACCACCAGCCAGCCATCCATCTATCCGACAGAATATAGCCGAATGCGCAGGCAGAGCACTGCTGCCACACAAGCCTAAAAAACATACGCCGCACATGTACAGCTAACTGGCTAGCTAGCGAACTACTAGTTGAGAGTGTGTAGATTAAGTCAATTTATTTGTTGTTATTGTTATTCTACAACACCATAACATAATCGTTTCTTTTTGAAAAAAAAAAAAAAAGAAAAATCACCAGTGTGTTGTACATGAATGTCTCGTTGTCACCGTTTCTATTCCCCTGGGTATTGTCTATTTAATAATAACAATAATACTTAAAAAACAGATCTAGTGCTTGAGATTTTTTCCTCCCGAAAGACAGACAAACAAACTGCTCTCAATGATAGTGAGCATGTGTGATGATAGTCGTCAATGAATTGATCTTGCGTTTCCAATTCATGTTTTCTTATCATTCATCATCACACAAGTCCGTCCATATCATTCCATTTGTATAGGTACATGTGTTTTTGATACACAAACATCCACCACGCCGCCATCCCAGGCCGAACTTGTTGGGGGAAAATGTTCAGTAAAATTTGAACAATGATAAGAACAACCATTTTCTCTCTCTCCCTATTTGCCTTGTCTCCAAAGCATCCATTTCCCATTTTGATAACTTTTCATATCATTTGGGCTCTGTGCCTTATCAGTTTTAAAGGCTGGCCTGACATATCAATAGAAACTGTTGGTCTCCATTGAGATGCTCGTCTGAAATACCTACTAGCAGCAAATTCTGCTGCCGGCAAGATTGTTGCGTCGCTGCAGTAACGACGTAAGCAGCACCGTCGCCTGCACATGTTGATGTTTTTTTCTTTCTTGTTTAAACATTTTTTCTCAGATATCAAGTGGTTATGGATGACGATGGTTACTTATTGTTAATGTATTTGAAAACACTTTCTCCCTGTGCATTATTTATATTTTCTAAAAAAAATAAAAAAAAACTATTTATTTTTATTAATCGAATTTAATTTCTATATTTTAGTGGTACTGTAACGACTTGGAACGAAAAAGGACTTTTCTCTTTCTTTTTTTAAGTAATGCAAGCAGCAGCAATGGAAGAATCTAACGGTAAGAACTTTAATCGGTTTATATTAAAACTATATGACATCAATACCTGTAGTGTGTTTCTTTGACTGAAACTTTTTAATTGAATAAACTTGATCACCATATTCATTATTGTCCCAGTTAAGTTCATATGAAAGCTCCTTTGCCATAATTAATTTCTTTAAGATTTACTTTTAACGTCAATTACATGGTAAAACATTGATTAAATAGATCATGAAATAGACTAAACTTTGACACTATCAATAAACATCGATGAAAAGAGAATCTCTCACTAAAGAAGGAAAAGAATGCCTAAGTGCGGCATACACTAGCGATTATGAATATTTTATAGGAAATAACAACTTTGGATAACTTAGAACAAATAATTTTATATTTAACTTCAATTGCTTGGTTAATACATTGAGTAAAGAGATAAAATTTGACATAATCGATATACATCGATAAAAATAGTATCTCACTACAGATGGAGAGAGAATAATTCCTAAGTGCGATATACACTAGCTAACATGAATGAATATTAGTATTTTTTAGAAAACAGTAATGAATATTCAAAAAATGGATAGTAAAAAAGATAAAGATACAAACAAATACCTTCATATTTAATATCAATTGCTTGGTAAAAAATTTTAATACATTGGGTAAAGAGATAACATTTGACACTATCGATATACATCGATAAAAAGGGAATCTCAGTTCCTAAGTGCGGTATACACCACCTAACATGAATGAATATGAATATTTTTTAGAAAACCGAAATAAATATTTAAAAAAATGGAAAAAATCACAAGTTATAGTATATGTCATTTGGATTAACTAGTGTTCATACAGCATTTATATTATGTTTTATTTTCTAACTCTTAAACTAAAACAAAAATTGTACTTTTCCTCTTTTTTCGGCAGCAATCAACGTTGAACAACAACAAGAACAACAATCTACTACTACCAACACCACCACCACCAACAACTATCAAGAGCAAGCGGAACAACAGCCACCATCATCCCCAACATCGGTAGCTACACCAACTAGCACCACTAGCGATGGCACCGCTAGCAATGCCGCATTTAGCTATGATGATTTGTTCCCGGCTTTACCAGCAAACACCTCTGCTCCAGTTGGCAATACCACTGGTCCACCATGTGTGCGTGTAACCAGCTCCAGAAAAACTCATGTAAGTTCAAATTTAGAATAAATGACGGTGTCAGGGTACACTGTGGTTGTAAAGGGTGAATGTTTAAGAGCTATAGGAATGTTTCTCCAAAACACATGATCTCTTTATTTGAGTTGGTAGTACGTTGCGGAATATTGTTTCAAATGTTGACCGCAAGTGTGCTTCAAATGGCTCATCTGCTCAGTTCAATTTTGATATTCCCCTTCCAACGTTTCGGCCGGTACCTTAAAAACAAATGCATCAATATAGTCTTCCTATGCATCAACATAGCCCATCCATATTACGTACTTCACCACACGGCTCACTCCAATAAAAAAAACAGTGCCTTTCAATTCAAAATCCTCATTCCGTCCTCTCTCGTTTCCTTTCCACTTTTCCATAATAGGTTCTACATTTGGCAGGCGAGGAACGCAAATCAACTGATTCCGAAAAATTCGGTGAAGGCGAATCGAAACGTATTTGCCTCCAAATTTCAAAGGAAACTGGTGCTCAAATTGAAATTTCCAGCGGCAAGAACCAGTCGCTCACTTTCCTCATTAAGGGCAAACAAAACGAATTGCTCGATGCTCGTCGTAAAATTCTTATGCATTTCTCGACCCAATCGAGCCGCTCCATCACCATTCCCAAGGAACACCATCGTGTCATTTTGGGTAAGGCTGGCAAACGTTTGCGCGAAATCGAACAGGCCACCGCAACTAAGATCACCATTCCCAATCAGAATGATGATAGCGATATTATAACAATTGCCGGTACCAAGGAGGACATTGAGAAGGCCGAACAGGAAATTCGCCAGTTGTCGGCTGAGCAATATAAAAAGTCGTCGGATCGCATTTCGGTGCCCAAGATCTATCATCCATTCATTGTGGGTCCCTACAATGAGAATTTGAACAAGATCATTGAGGAGACCGGGGCCAAGGTCAATGTTCCGCCACAGTCGGTGCAAAAGGATGAGATTGTTATTATGGGCGAGAAGGATGCTGTGGCCGCCGCCAAGGCAAAGGTAGAAGCCATCTACAAGGAAATGGAGAAGAAGTGCTCTACCGTCAGCGTGGAAGTAGCCAAGGCCCAACATCGTTATGTTATCGGTCCCAAGGGTTCAACAATTGCTGAGATTCTTCAATTGACTGGAGTCTCGGTAGAAATGCCTCCACTGGACTCGCCATTGGAGACCATTACATTGCGTGGTCCCCAAGTAGCTTTGGGCCATGCCCTGACCGTGGTCTACGAGAAAGCTAATTCGGTGAAGTCGGTCGAAATTGATGCTCCCCACTGGATTCACAAGTACGTGATAGGCCGCAAGGGTGTCAACATGAAGCAGCTGGAGGAAGACTGCCCCAATGTTAACGTCAATTGCCTGGAGGACAAGATCAAGCTGGAGGGTGATCCCGAAAATGTCGACAAGGCAGCTTCATATCTCAACGACATTGTCAGCAACTACCAACAGAACTACACCTTTGTTGTGATGCGTGTGAACCCGGCCTACTACAAGCATATCATTGGCAAGGCCGGAGCCAATGTGAATCGCCTCAAGGACGAACTCAACGTTAACATCAACATTGAGGAGCGCGATGGCGAGAACAATATACGCATCGAAGGTCCCAAGGATGGCGTTAAGAAGGCTCAACTTGAATTACAAGAAAAAATCGACAAACTGGAAAATGAAAAATCGAAGGATGTTATCATCGATCGTCGTCTGCATCGCCAGATCATTGGTGCCAAGGGTGAAAAGATCCGCGAAGTCAAGGACCGTTACAAGAACGTAATGATTTTGATTCCCACACCCCAGGAGAACACCGACATTGTTAAGCTGCGTGGTCCCAAGGAAGAGGTGGACAAGTGCCACAAGGATCTCATGAAGTTGGTCAAGGAGATCCAGGAGTCGTCGCACTTCGAGGAGGTGCCCATCTTCAAGCAATTCCACAAGTTTATCATTGGCAAGGGTGGTGCTAACATCAAGAAAATCCGTGACGAGACCCAGACCAAGATCGATCTTCCTGCCGAGGGTGATACCAACGAGGTGATTGTCATCACCGGCAAGAAAGAGAACGTTCTTGAGGCCAAGGAACGCATTCAGAAGATCCAAAACGAGTTGGCCGACATCGTCACCGAGGAAGTACAAATTTCTCCCAAATACTACAACTCCATTATTGGCACGGGAGGCAAACTGATTTCGTCCATTATGGAAGAGTGCGGAGGTGTGTCCATCAAGTTCCCCACCAGCGAATCGAAGAGCGATAAGGTTACCATCCGCGGCCCCAAGGATGATGTGCTCAAGGCTAAATCCCAACTCCTGGAATTGGCCAATGAACGCCAATTGGCTTCCTTCACTGCCGAAGTACGTGCCAAGCAACAACACCACAAGTTCCTGATTGGCAAAAATGGCGCTTCCATTCGTAAGATACGCGATGCCACCAATGCCCGTATCATCTTCCCCGGACCCGACGATGCCGACAAAGAGGTCATCACCATTATCGGCAAGGAAGAAAATGTCAAACAGGCCAAGGAGCAATTGGAGGCCATCATCAAGGACATTGATTTGGTTACCGAGGGAGAAATCGCCGTCGATCCCAAATACCACAAACATTTCGTGGCCAAGCGTGGTGAGATCTTGCATCGCATTACCGAAGAGTGCGGTGGTGTTATGATATCATTCCCCAGACCCGGCGTAGACTCGGATAAGGTGACACTGAAGGGTGCCAAGGACTGCATTGAGGCTGCCAAACAACGCATCTCTGAAATCGTGGCCGATCTGGAGGCACAAGTCACAATTGAGGTGGTTATACCACAACGTTTGCACCGCACCATCATGGGTCCACGTGGTTTCAAGGTCCAACAGGTGACCACGGAACACGATGTACAAATCAAATTCCCCGATCGTGATGCCACCGAACCCGTCGAGGGCTTGGAGAACGGCACCAATGGCAGCCTAGATGGTGTGGCTACCGACGAGCCAGTGCGCCAATGTGATATTATTCGTATTACCGGTCACATTGACAAGTGTAATGCCGCCAAACAGGCCCTCATCGATCTGGTGCCTGTCGTCGAAGAGCTTACCGTTCCTTATGACTTGCATCGCACCATTATCGGTCCCAAGGGTGCCAATGTACGCGAATTTATGTCCACCTACGATGTTCACATTGAATTGCCACCCAGCGAAGCTAAATCGGATATCGTCAAGGTATCCGGTACCCCAGCTCATGTGGCCGAGGCCAAGAAAGCTTTGGATAAAATGATCGAAGAGTACGAAGCCGATCGTGCTGATCGTGAGCTCCGCTCCTATCAACTACAGATCGATGTTGATCCCGAATACCATTCCAAGTTGATTGGTAAACGTGGTGCCGTCATCAACAAACTGCGTAAAGATCACGACGTCAACATATCATTGCCCAAGCGTGGTGATCCCAATCAGAGCACCATTACCATCTCCGGCTATCAGGCAAAGGCTGAGGCGGCTCGTGATGCCATCATGGAAATTGTTGGTGAAATGCAAAATCTACACCGTGAGGTGATTGAAATCGATACCCGTATCCACTCTCACATTATTGGTCAACGTGGCCGGACTATTCGTAAGCTTATTGAAGATTACAAGGTAAGTGTGGCATGAGAGATACTTTTTGGGAAGCCCTGACATTAATTTTTAATATTTCTTTCGTTGCTATTTAAAGGTCGATATTAAATTCCCATCGCCTGAAGAGGCCAAGGCAAATCCGGATGCTGTCACCATTATTGGCAAGGAAGAGGACGTTGAAAACGCCAAGGAAGCCATACTCAATATGGCTGAAGATTATTCCCGTGACTATCTAGAAAACTTGCCACCCTCGCCTCAGCCACAGACAGTTGGTGCTTTCCTACCCGGCAACAATAGTGCTGAAAATGGATTCATCATCAAGGATGCTCCATGGGAGAAGACGAACCAAGATAAGAAGGGCAAGGCCTCAGCACCAAATACTCAATCCCAAGAAGATTTTCCAGCCGTAGGTGGTGCACCAGTATCAGCAGCTCCCATGACATCGGTTTGGGGACCCAAAAACTAAACAACAACAACAACAAGAGCAGCAGCAGCAGTAATAGTTCACAGATGAAGCTGTTTGCGAAAAAGGTGTCAAAATCTGAAAGGTTGTCAAAATATTTACATACATACAAGCATACTTAACAATACATACTGTGTAATAATATCTACTATTTATTGCGAAAGGAGGAAGAAGAATGGATAAAACGACAAAAAAAAACGGCAAACGAATCTATGATGTTAAATAACAACTAAACCAACAACAGCAACATAACAAAAAGACAATGTTTTATTTCTCTCTTCCACCTACCCTTTCCACTTTGCAAGCAAATTACCATCAATTCATTATTATTATTCTCCAATTATTGTATTTCTTTGTATTCCTTCTTCGTCGACTATTTGTTGAGTTGATTACATTCTAAAATGACATCGAAAACCCACTGAAGAATATTGAAAGAAAATTACGAAAAACAAAAACAGAAACAAAACTAAGTATGGTGAAATATTTGAATTAAATTCAAATAAATCTACTGAATACACAAAACACATTGACACTTGTTTCGTGCGCTTCCTTAAAACAAATAACAAAACAAAAATAAGAATAATAAAATTCAATAGTTTTTATAAGCGAAATAAAATAATACAAAAAGAAGAGGAGCCCAACTCAATCCAATAACATGCAAATGTATTTAACAACTGCCACAAAAACCCACCACAATCACATGACAAATTTCTTGTCACCATCCCAACCACCAAAACAGTGGGGGGCTACATAAATGCTTTGTGATTTAAGCAGGAGTTTTATTTTGGAAGTTGTTGTTTTCCCTCTTTCCATAAAAGCGTCGTTGTTGCTAAATATTTTTGCTTTTTGTTGGAGCGAAGCTGAGTTTAAATTTAATTAATTATATATATATATATAATTGTAACAACAATGATGCCAAGTTTACACTTAAAAAAGAAAATACTACACATACACATACAACAAACATATATCATATAAAATTTATATAAAATAGAAATGAAACATAAGAGTTTATTAAAACAAAACAAAACAAAAAAAAAAAAAAAAAAAGAAATCATGATTTTTATATGAAATAAACAAAAAAAAGTAAAACAAAAAACATATAGTGAAAGAATGTCATACAAGTATACAGAATATTATATTTTTTTTTTCTTATAAATATAATAATTATATTTTTGTCATTTGTTTTGTCATACTTCTTCTGATGGTAAAGAAACAAAAGAAAAAACAATTAAAATAAAACAAAAACGAAATACTTAAACAATATGATTTGACTAAAACAAAAAACAATGCCTTTTAAAACAAAAAAAAAAAATTAAGAAAAGTCATCACCACCAACAACAACAACACCCCATTACAAAACAAACAAAAAACAAAACGTACGAATTTCTTTTGAAAATTCAAAACTTTTTTCCTACTACAACAACATTTATAAAATAGACAAATTATTATTAAACAAAAACAAAACAACAAGAACGTTAACAAAATCCATGCTTTTATTAGTTTAATATTTGTGCAATTTTTCCCCCTTTTTTGTGTTTCCAATGTTTCGAAACCGATTATGTATTTTTTGTAACATTATCACCCCCCATCATATAACGAAAAAAAAAATTGTACTTTTTCTTGTAACTTCTAAAACATACAAAACAAAAACAAGCAATTTATAAATAATTATATATTTTTTAATTTTACATTATACTTTTTTTGTTTAATCTTACCTACTACTACAATTGTGTATTGAAAAACGTAATTGCATAATTTTTTAAAAAACAATGAAAAATTTTTACTATTTTTTCAAAAACGAAATAAAAAAAACAAAAAAATGTACCAACGATTTTGTTATTATTTAATAATTTTTTGTTTTACAGAAGTTGCATTTCTCGGGAGAATATTTCTGTAGAAAGAAGTTGGCGTTTTCGCGAAGAAAAAAGGGAATCTGTTGTTACGAATAATTAATTAGGTTTTTACGATTGCTTTCCTTAAAGCAAATTTCAAATGTGACGAAATTGTTTTCAAGGTGCACAGATGTCATGCTCCTTATATGTCATTTGCTCCAATTCCAATAACTGCAAGAATCTACTTATTTTCGATATCATAAAGAGAAAATCGAGCGGTTCTGGAACATTTAAAAGGTTATGGAAATATTTCTTAAACATAAGAAGATTTTCGATGTGAATAAACATGAAAAAGAGCATAGTGTTCCCTTTCTTTTCTTTTCTTCGAGCAGCATTGCAAACTAATAATTTTCTTCCCTTATTTTTCATTAAATTTAAATTTATCGACACAGCTGCTGGGACAATGAACTGTCAAACTAATTTTGAATGAAAAAGTATTTAAATTTGCAAAAAAATTGTTGAAAAACGCGTATTATAATAAACTCCATATGACGTATAAGAAATCATATAAAAATCTACTTAAATTTGATAGAATATTTAAAATTTTTTGACATATCACTGTTCCCAAACGTTGATGCATCTACCTATATTCTTCTACCATGGCTTGTGTGTGTAACATAAGCTTTGTTCCACCATTCTTATTATTTTCCTTTATGATTTTTCCTTTATGATATCGAAAAAAAAATGCAAAATGAGAAGATTCTTGAAGGTTCTAGAACAGAGAGAAACTTGTTCAGATATTAAGTAGAATATGTTTTTTTAATTTTAGCTCTTAATGACAATTTAATGTTCTACCAGACACACCTTTTTAAAATAATGGAAATGAATTCATTCATTTGTCCCTAAATTATAAACTATCAACTCGATTAGTTAAATTGATTACAAAAAGTCGACTTTGGCTTTTCGATCGAATTTTTATCAATTGGTCAAAAGTCGACCTACACATCCCTGCCGTGGCTTAATTTTCCTCAAGTCTCATTCGTAAACAACAGATTACCCCGAGTCTTTGCTTTCTGTTTATTTTTTACCGGGTATTCCTTTGTGGCCTTCAATTTCGTTTCGTTTGGGACGTTTTTCATTTGTGATTTCCACGCTCGCATCGAACACTCAATTCCCGAACGTCGCCGTTAAGTTAGAACAAGACAACAATAGTTCTATTATATCATGTTAACCATTCGCTTTGTAAACCTATCGTAGAAAAAAGAAGACTCAAATAAAAGAATTACTTAGTTACTTGTAAAGAATACAAAAGAAATTTAAGACATTTTTATAGTTTAAAAGGTCATTTTTTACTATCCGCCTACATTTTCATAAAGCTTAACGAAACTTGAGCAAGAACAACTAAGAATAAACATGGAAGAACGTAAGTACACCAATAGAAATACTACAGGAAAAAATTACATATCCGCAGCTACATAGCTTTTTTAAACAATGAGTGATTGATGGATGAATTCAATTAAATATGCCGACCAAAATGTTGAATTTGCTTGGTGATAAACGAAGAACAAATAAATTGATATGTAGTAGTATAAACAAATGTGAAATACTGTTGGGAAACTGGAGGAAAAAACGTGACTCACAGGTTTTTTCTTCTTTTGCATGGCTGGACAATGTGTCGCCTGGCTTCTTCATTAATGTTGGTAGGTGGTGGTGGAGTAGGAGAAGAGTTTTGATTTTTGAATTGCCTCATCAGCAGTTTTGGAAAAGAATTTCAGATTTGGTTAAAACAACATTTACATTTTTGGGGGAGTTTTTTTCGTTAACATCTAATTTTTGACGTGGCATTCTTTAGCATCCATGTTAATAGTCCATGCGGTCTATGTGAAGTGCCAAGAAATACGATACTGATTAGAGGGAATACGTTCTTTGTGTTGGTACATATGTAACTACAGACATATATAGGTTTGCGAATGCATTCATGTTTTTTCCGTTTCCTCTGCATTGGGTTGATGGGAATCAAGTGGAAAAAACTAAAAATTAATTTATAAATTTGCGTTGTTGTTGTCATTTTTTGATTTAAAAGAACTCAATTGAATTGGCCATCAATTGTAATAAAATAAATATATAGATGTAGCCCTGTTTGGATACACATTTCTGATGGCATTGTTCCAACGTATTATCAATGACTGCCTCTTATATGCATTTTATCAGAAATACAAAAATGTCGTGGTCAATGTCCTGTATATTTGTTTGCAAGATATGTGCAACGTCCAAATGACTATATTCCAAAATAATGTCTGTTTTATGTATGAACTTTCTTGACCCCATTCATTTTTTGTAAAGTTACAAGTCTTAAATCTGTTGATATTTGAAAAGTAAATTTTGATGTATATACTTATATTATTATTTATCTAAGATGCTGCTCGAAATGGCCATAATTTTAAATCTGTTAATACATTTTGTCCAACAAAGAAATGTTTTGAGTTCTAATTAGAACCTTTTCCGAAAAAGAAACTAATTCAGTTTACGTCACAGCATTTTAAAAGGCGTTGAAATCGAACTGATAATACAGTAGACGTTATCAGTAGTGATTTAATGTATCATTAAATTACTTTTATATTTGGTTTTTGTGTTATAATTTGAGACATGGCATGGTTCGAGACGAAGATATGCAATATTATAAAGACTAATTACAAATATATCATTTGCTTTCCATGATAGGAACGATTAAGTTAAGTATGCGCAATTGCTTTGAACAATAACTCCACTTAGAGACTTGCTAGGCAATTGTGTCCATCCCAAAGTGTAAGGAAAAAGAGAAAGAAGGGGAGAGAGAGACGGGAAAAAGTATGATGTGTGATCCATGAAGAATTGAACGCGTCGCCTTTAGCCCCTTTAGTTTTTTGGCTAACTGAAAAATTATTGCCGGCTCAGTTTCGGGGAATGAAAATAAATCATGCAGAAGTTGCTTCCCCATATGCCAATGTCTAAACCGAAAAGAGTTGAACGGTGGCATAGTGAGTGCATCTTGACAGAAGCTGCAGTAACCGTTGTCGTCGTCACCCTACTTAGAAGTTGTGGCCCTTATGCTACAGGGACCTGTGATTACTCCCACAAGTGTTAGACCTGAATTCCCCATGGATATGAGCAATCTTAATCTCTTTTTAGGGAGCACGGGCCAATTTTTTTCTTAGAGACGATTTCTCTATCCCCACATCGATTGCCTCGTATCCAACTCTTGCCAATTCAACTGCTGATTCATTACCGGATATATTGCAATGGCCTGAAATTCAACAAAGCTTAGTGGAAGACTTCACTTATTCCAGTGCAATCAGAGATTTAATGGAACATGAATTTTGTACTTTTAGGGATGCTTGACATACATAGTCACTGTATAGTTTCCCCAGCAGAAATTGGTTTTTATACCCTCCACTTTGAAAAGGAGGGTATATTAACTTTGTCATTCCGTTTGTAACATCCCTAAATTTTCGTCATAGACCCCATAAAGTATTTATATTCATAATCAGCATAAAATTCTAAGTCGATTTAACGAAGTTCGTCTGTCTGTCTGGTCGACTGTCTGTCTGTCCGTTTGTTGGAATCACGATACAGCCCACATTAGAGCTTCAAAATTTATCAGAACAATTTGTATTGTGTCTAGGATGGTTGGTATTGAAAATGAGATATATTGGTTCACTTTTTGATATAGCCGCCATACAACGGAACCTTCCGATATTCGGTATTTAGATGATTTCTGCCACATTTTTTCACGAATTTGTCTAAAAATTGGTATTTGTAGATCGCAATGGGTGGCGGAACATATATATAGGTTCAAGTTTTGATATAGCCGCCATATAACGGTACCTCCGAATATTCAGAATTTTGATGATTTTCTACACATTTTTCCACGGATTTGTCTAAAAATTGGTATTTTTGTAGTTCATAATGGGTTCTATCTCCGCTAGCGGAACATAGTATATATAAGTCCACATTTAAGTATTGGCCTCATATAGCGGTCCCTCTGGATATTCGGTATTTTGATGGTTTTTGCAACATTTTCAAATCCGTTGTCTAAAAATTGGTATTCGTAGTTCATAATGGGTTCTAGCTCCAGTGGCAGCGCATTGAAAATTTAGGTCTACGTTTTCCTATAGCGCACACATAACGATACCCAGCGATATTCGGTATTTTAATAATCCTAGTCACATTTACCCACGAAATTGTTTCAAATTTGGTATTTAAGAAGATTTGGTAGATGGTAAGAAGATTTGAATTATAAAATTGTCTATGGAGGTTCCCGTTTTGTTATGGCCCCATTTAACGGCCTAACCCATTTTTTTTTTGAAAAGTTTAACAGCATTATCCACACTGTTTTACTGGTATTTGTAGTTTAAAGCGGAACTCGTTTGAATTCAGATATTTTATATCAAAATGTTTTGTTCATCCAAAGGTGGGTAATGAAGGGCATTATCTTAGAGATAGCTGTTCAAGGGCATTATCTTAGAGATAGCTGTTCAATATTTCACGAGATTTTGGATTTTGTAGAGATAGTCTCATTTTTCACTTGATTTAGAAGTTTAAGAGTGGAACCCTTATCTCAAAATAATGTAAAAAGCTGGAAACATTTTTACAAAATTTGATATTCCTTGTCATAAATAGCTCTTAATGGGTTAATAATCTACTTTTTTGTTGTTGTATTTGTTATAATCAGCATCGTTGGCTTAATTTTTTTCCAGTCTGTATGCACATATATATGTATGTATGTATGTATGTATCTGATCGTACACTACTTATATTCGTTTATTAGGTTTATTGTTTTTTGTACTCTTACTCTTGTTGTTATTCGGGAACTTGGTTTGTTGTGGCCAGAATTGTGAAAGCATTTTCGGTTTGTGTGTGTGTGTGTGCTTGCTTCACTTTGCCACTTCCAACAACCACACTACCACAGAGATGAATTCTTTGGCCAACAAACTTGGCTTGTTGGCTGTGGGTACCCCATTCATACACCACATGTACATACTAGATGGTATGGCTGATGATGATGTTGTTAGTGTCTGTCTGTCTGTCACGATCCATATTTGCTGGCTGTTCATTCTACCCAACACATTTTAGTTTTATGCTGACTTCAGTTATCCAAAGACTTTAAAGAAAAGAAACATAGACGACACCTAAAATTGAAAATGAGTTGACCAAGTCTCCATAACCAAAAATATATGGAGGTTTTTACTATCAAAGAATTATTAACAAAGAATAGTTTTTTTTTAAAATAACTATTGAAAATTTACGAATCTCGTTTTTTATTTTTTTGGCTAAGAGCAGCAGCTGTGTATCAAAAGTGCTTGGAAAATAGACATAGCATGATCAAATTAGAAAGTTTCGTTGTTAGTGAATTTTACGCTTCGCAGAAGCTTAACAAAATATACAACAGCAACAGAAGATCAACAAAAAAACGTTCGTTATCAAATCGAAGGAAAAAAGAAAAACAATTGCTCTTATTCAGAAATATTTTGTAGAAGGAAATTCCAAACTGCAACAACACTACGCATTTTCAGCACTCCCATTGTCATAGTGGCTCTAGACATAATTAGATGATCGTTTGATTTGGGGGATAGAAAAAAATGTCCGATTCGGAACCTGTCAGTTTGGAATTCATAGAAGATCCGTATATACCTCGCCTCGAAGATGCAACACCGTCTTTGGATTATGGTGCCAACTGTGATTGGAATCATCAGCCGTCGTCGTCATCGTCCACGTTTGCTGACGATGAAACCGATTTGTATTTACGCAATCTAACATTAGATCAAATATTCTACGATGTCGATTCCGACTATAGCAATCAATTGGAATTGCAAACGGTGGAAACGGAATTCATCATTTCCAAAATAGCCAATCAAAGTCCCTCGATGTCGATAGCCAAACGTTTTCGTTTGAAATTTTTCACAACCAAACGAACAATGCGTGATGTTAAAGTGACCTTTGTGGATTTTTCCAAACCCTATATAGCAAAAATTTCAAGTAGTGAAAATTATAAAAAGTTCCTTAACATTGGATCTCCATCAGCAGCAGCCTCAGCAATAAATGCCAAAGGTAATCAAATGTGTAGTGTGGTGTTTTTTTGGTGCTAGAGTCAATGACTGGGAAACAAGTTTATTTTTTTAAGTGTGGCGGAAACAAAATATGTTGTTACAAAAAAAGTAGAGATTTAAACAAGTAAAAAAACATTAAGTTCCACCGGGCCGAACTTTTAATACCCTCCACCTTTGGGTAAAGAAAACATTTTTATATAAAATATCTGAATTCAAACGTGTTCCACATTAAACTACAAATACCTATAAGATCGTTTGGGTAATACATACTGTTAAACTTTTGAAAAAAACATGAAGTGGGTGAGGCCGTCATATAGGGGCCATACCAATACGGGAACATCTATAGACAATTTTATACTTCAAGGATTGTCATCTACCAAATTTCAAATAATTTCGTGGAAATGTGTGAGGATTAAAATACCGTTAAAATATCGTTATGTGTGCGCTATAGGAAAACTAACTATTCAATGTTCTGCCATCGGAGCGAGAAACCAAATACCAATTTTTAGACAAATCTGTCAAAATACTTGAATATCCGGAGGTATCGTTGTATGGGAGCTATACTAAAACGTGGACATATATATACTATGTTCCGCCACTGGAGCTAGAACCCACAGCGAACTACAAATACTAGTTTTTGGACAAATCCGTAGAAAAATGTGGCAAAAATCATCAAACTACCGAATATTGGGAGGTATCGTTATATGGCGACTATATCACCTATATATACTATGTTCCGCCATCGAAGCTAGAGCCCACTATGACCTACATATACCAATTTTTAGACAAATCCGTTGAAAAATGTAGCAAAAAACATCAAAATACCCAATATCTGGAGGTACCGTTATATGGGGGCTATACCAATATATATAATATGTTCCGCCACCGGAGCTAGAAGCCATTGCAAACTACAAATACCAATTTTTAGACAATTCCGTAAAAAAATTGGCAAAAATCATCAAAATTCCGAATATAGGGAGGTATCGTTATATGGCGGCAATATGAAAACCTAGACCGTTTCAATACCAACCATCATTTTCAATACCAACCATCCTAAACACAATACAAATTGTTCTGCCAAATTTTGAGCTCTTGTCAAATAATGTGGGCTGTATCGTGATTTCAACAGGCAGACGGACAGACAAACTGACTGTCATCAAGGTGGAGGGTATAAAAAATATAATGATGGAATTTTTCTATACGGCCATTATATCCGAAAAATATACCAGTATGCTCATTATCTATGAGTTAGGTTCCTTTGCGACCATTACATTCGATCTGAGGTGCCTATAGACGATTATATTTAAAATAAAGTTGTGATGATGTCATTATCTTCGAAATAATGAAATGAGATAGGGCTACCACAAAGTCATATCTTCCGAAACCCCAATTTCATGGGAATAATGTTCCGATACAGCATTAATATACGCGATATAATGTTTATGTACGGCCATTATCTCCGGAAAAATGCCCATATGCGTTACAATTTAAACCCTGGTATATAATTGAATAATACCAAATGGTGGAGGGTTTTAGGCTCTATTTTATCTTGCTATACCCTACACTACATAGTGGTAAGGGAATTTGTCTTTGCGCATTTGTTTTTAAAAAAAGAAGGAAGCGAGATACACCCATAGTTACCTTTGAGGATCTTCATAGAATCACTTTCTGAGTCGATTTTGGCATGTTCGTCCGTTCGCCCGTCTGTCCATGTATTCTTGTGAACAAAATACAGGCCACATTTATTATCCGATTGAAATGACATTTTGTTTGGCCCAAGGACGAACCCAATTAAAATTGGTGATAATCGGATATAGCTTTGGATATAGCTCCCATATAAATCTTCAACCAATTTCGGGTTAACTGTGCATCAAATGACCAATATAAGTCCAAATGACCTGAATTTTGGTACATCCCACCGAATTCGGTCTAGAAACAAGTACATCGAATATGGAGAATATCGGTTCAGATACAGCTGTAGCTCCCATATATATGTTTCCTCCGATTTGGTGTTTAAGTCCCTCATAGTCGTTATATGCATTCGGCAACAATGATATATGGTATCAGATATCTTATAGAGCTCAAAAATACCTTTGCCAAATTTTATCGAGAACGGTTAAGATTTGGATATGGCTCCCAAATATATCCTTAATCCGATTTCAGGTTTATTGTGCAAATAATGGCTAATATCAGTCCAAATGAAGTGAATTTCGGGACGTACGTTTCCATTTTGTGGAACTTAAAATACAATCTAATAAATATGTATGGCGGTGTAGGGTATCATATAGTCGGCCCGTCCGACTTTAGACTTTTCCTTATTGGTTTTTCTTTTACAAAACATTTGTGATCTAAATAAATTCATTGCCCATTTTAAATTTCATACATTTCATGATAGAGATATGAGACAATTTAAAATCGTTGTCTGTTTTTTTGTATTAATTCTAATATTTTGGTCCTATTTCTTTTCTATGCATTGCATGCTCCAAACAATCTGTCAGTGTGTAAGTACTAGAACATCCAATCAGTTCTATTCCTTCGGACTTTCTTAACATACTTAATTTCCTGGTTAAATCGAAATATTATTTTAATTCAATTTAATTTGTTTATAGATAATACTGGAAATACTTCACCTGCAGCATCCGTTGCCTCAGCTGATATTGCTGCTGAATTTGCCGCACTAACAGTCGAAGAACAAGAGAGACAAAGAGCTGAATGGAGTCAGGTATGGCGATTTTTGATTCACAATTTCATGTTTTATTTAATACTTGTATGCCTTCGTTTAGGAATTGGCTCGTGTTGAAGAAGAAATCAATACCTTACGCACTGTATTGTCTTCAAAGATGCGCCATGCTTCTGACCTTAAACGTAAGCTGGGAATTACCGTTTGGAAGGAAATTACCGATGATATGAATCAGGGCATCAAATCGGTCAAAGAGAGCTCAGTGTAAGTATTTAAAACAAGAAAGCGAATTATTATTAAAATTAATTTATAAAAAACTTTATGTGAAAATATTCAGGTGTGTGGGTGTGATGTAAAAGTAATTGATGAGTTTTATCATAAAACTAGAATATATCTTCGAATGTGACAAGGGTTAGTTTGAATTAACTTTGTCACATTTGACACATAGTGTTTAGTTTTATGACTGACAATTCGTCTAATCGTCGTAAATCATTTTTTTTATATCCTCAGCCATATGGTATATATCATTTGACACGGCCAAAACGCGCCTAAACGAAATAACGGTTTTAGACCCTATGTATCTTTGGACCAATTCCGTTTCAGGACATTTGGAGTTGATATAGCGATGTCCGTCCGTCCGTCTGCCTGGCTGGCGCGCACCATAATTCTCGAAGGGAGTATCCGATTTGTTCCAAACTTGGTACATCGCAATATATTTGTCAGACTTAGATCGAGTTTGGAAAAGGGCAATATCGGTTCACTCCTTCTGGTTGGTACCTCCCCCACAAAATGTCAACATTTTCAAAGGAAATAATTTACTGCACAGAAAGAGAAAGGATACTCCGATTTTGCTCCAACTTTGCAAATCCTAATGTTTGCATCAGTGCTATTTCAGGTGCGAAAATGGACAATATCGGTCTACTTCATCAATTACCTCCCCCACAAAGGGTCAAATTTTGAAAAATTATAACTCTTATAAAATTTAGTGTAATAGTCCGACTGTCTTAAAATTTCACACATAACAATATTTTTATTAATCCAAGGTCTGGTGCCTCCCCCACAAAGGGCGAAATTTACAAAAAAAAAAAAACAATTTTTTGCACAGAAAGATAAGCGACAATCCGATTTTGCTCCAGCTTTGCAAATCCTAATGTTTGCGAAAAGTTATAGGTTAGATGCAAAAATGGATAATATCGGTCCACTCCATCCAGTACCTCAATTACAAAGGGTCAAAATGTTGAATAATTACAACTCGTATAAAATGTGATGTAAGAGTCCGATTGTCCTCAAGTTGCATACATCACAATATTTTTATAAACCCAAGATCTGTTGTGAAGATATATCTTATGGTTCTTCTGGTACCTCCCCCACAAAGGTCAAAATTTTTGAATATCCATGAAGCTCATGAAACGGGAAATTAACATCCGATTCCATTCAGACTTGGTACATCTCAATTTTTCCATCAACACAAGATCTGTTATAAATATGGTAGAGATCGGACGATTTCTTCTAGTACCTCCCCCACAAAGGGTCAACGTTTTGAATAACTAAAACGTTTATAAAATCAGAAATAAGCATCCAGTTCTTTTCAAATTACACTCGTCACAATATTTATTTTTGCCCAAGGCCTGGTGTAAAGATGGGATATATCGGTCCACTCCTTTTGGTACCTCCCCCACAAAGGCTCAACATTTTGAATATCACTAAAGCTCATAAAAACCAAAATTAACATCCGATTCCATTCAGACTTGGTACATACAATATTTCCATCAACACAAGATCTGTTATAAAGATGGTAGAGATCAGACCATTTCTTCTGGTAACTCCCTAACATAGGGTTCTAGATTTGGAAAAACAAAACGCTCAAAGAAAGCGAAATGAGCATCCAACTCATTTAAAAAATCTGTTGTGGGGATGATACACGTCTGCGAACCCCTTTTGATACCTCACCAACAAATTGCCACAGATTTCAAACCTTTTATCTGTCTTAAACAATTCGGCGATTCTTTACAACTTGCTATGTCTAAATATTTCTCTCAACCAGAAACCTGATATAGATATGAAATTTATCGGAATTTATGATTTCGCATAAAATTGGATATAAATGTTGGATTTTCGTCAATATCTGTTACCTCACACATATTTCCACATTTTCCAAAAATTTGCTCATATCTCATATAAAGTATAGGAGTAGTCGATATAGTCCAAACATGGCGTGTTGGAATATTTATATTAGACTTAGGTCAACAGTTAAAACAATCATAACTCAAGGCTGAGGGTATACATCTGTCGGCTAAACCGACTGATACTATTTAACTTGTTTTGTTTCATAAATTCAATCAATATATAGCAAGAAAATATACCAATTATACACGCTTTGTAGATTATATCTATCCTTGTAGATTATATCTAATACACCAATGTACGCATTCAAACATACATCTTAAGTTTATTTAGTTTGTAATATTTAGTTCCTTGTTTTATGTATTACTTTTGTCTATTTCCTTTGTTTGTTTATAATTTTTTATTTTATATTTTGTTTTGTTTTTTTTATTTACATATTTAAACCGTTTTAAGTTTTCAATCAGTTGAACAAAGTGTTGGTAATTTCACAAAAGCAGTACATGATGCACCCATGTAAGTAAGATGTGCCAGAGATGGCATATTTGTCTAATTAACCATTTGATATAACTAACACAATTAAGTTCAGTAAACATAACCCCAACTAAGTGTTTTTAAATAATTCTCAATGCTTTTCTCTCTATTTCGATGTCGTTTTAAACTATTTAATGCATTTAATTAATTTTTTGTGTTTCATTTTCAGTTTCCAACGTACTGAGTCTGTTTTGAAGACCACTTCGGAGAAAACAGCATCGGTGTTTGGCAGCATCACCAGCGGCATTACTTCGAAATTTTCACAAATGAAAAATTCCGAATCGATGAGATCGATCGAAGAAAAAGTTGGCTCAGCCTACGAGAATGTTAAAGTAAGCTATGAACACAACAATTTTTTGTGCCAATCTCATGCGGTAACTACTATTCAATATTTACTTTTATTTAAATCTTTGCAAACAAAATTATATATAATACACGCAAAATTTGTTCAGGACACACTTTTATGCAACACATGAACCTAAGGACAATATAGCAAAACATAATATGAGTTGTGAAAAAAAAAAAAACATTGTTCTATAACTTGAAAAAGCCAAGTATCTCGGCACCATCCTCAACCAGCCCTTGAACTGGAAGAGAAACGTCGAGGAATGTGCTAAACAAGGCTTGATAGCCTGCTCTCCAACTCCATACGAAAGAGCTGGGAAATGAAACCGTATATCATTAAATGGTTATATGAGTCAATCGTCCGTTCGATTTTGACTTATGCTGGTTTAGTTTGGTGGCACTGTCTGGGGAAGGCTTCTCTCGGTAAAAACATTGACAAAGTCAAAGAGTAGCATCACTATTGATTTCAGGTGCACTCAGAAGCACACCTCAGTCTGCCTTGGGCAACCTACTTAACTTGAAACACTTAAGTCTATTTGTAGAGGGACAAGCTGCGAGATGTGCTCAGAGACTCAAGGAACATGGTCTATGGCGTAGTCAATCATTCGGTCATTATGAAGTATGTGGAAAACTTAGGGGGTCGGGTTTTGAACAGTGACTATATATCAACTGGGCTAGACTTCGAAACACTGGACATCCACATACCTAGCAGAGACACTTGGACCCGGAAAAATCCACTTTTCAGCGGTATAGCTATATATACCAATGGCTTTAAGATGGAAAGTGGAACGGGTGCAGGTTTTTTCTGCGAAAGCCTGAATATTCGGAATTCATTCAAACTCAATAAATACTGTAGCGTATTCCAGGCAGAAATCTTTGCAGTTGAACTGAATGGGCCGGTGTCAATATAAATGTCGATAGTCAAGCGGCCTTAAAAGCACTAAAAACAACCACCATCAAATCTATGCTAGTCCTGGAGTGCAGGATTGCTCTGGAAAAAATAAAGTTCTTTATTAAGTTTTGCTGGGTTCCTGGTCATAGTAACATCTCCGCCAATGATACTGACTGCTGAAGGCTTTGTCAAGACGAGAAAGAGATATAAACTCTGGAACAACTTACTCTGCCACTGTCCAACTCTTTTAGAGCTAGACTGAGGCTCACGGGTAAGCAAAATCTGTCTTCACTCTCCAATACTGAGCTGTCAATAATGGACCAGCAGGTCTCCGAGAGGAGCGGTTGCTAAGCAACTGCGCATCCTCTAGCCTTACCTATCCATATCTAATAATAGCACATATGACTATTATTTGTGCATTATAATGGTCTTAGACACTTATCCCAGGGTAAAGCTCCTGTATGCAAACTATATTCAAGGAAGGACTTGTATACGAGTTTTTATTCGAGGGATTCTATTCTATTTTTCATCGCAGCCTTTTTTACTGGTCTCTGGTTCCCTAAATTAAACCTCATGTTGTGTTTGGATACGTCCTCTCGAACTTCCAAACGAGCTTCAAGTTCGTTCTTGTCAGTGAGCTCTGATCCCCATCGACATACCGACTACAGTAGTTTACAGCTTGCCGATATGCCTTCTTATCTCTTATCTCATTGGATTTAGCGCTCTTGATGTCGGGAGAGATCTGCGGTAGAGTCCCAATCTGTCCTCTTCCACTTTGATTGCCTCCTACCTTGAGAAGGCCGACTTGTTGAATTTCCGTAAACTAAACCTCATGATGGGTATGGATATATCCTCTCTAACTTCCTAACGACCTTCAGGTTCGTCCTTATCAGTGAGCTCTGATGGATCCCCTTCGAAATACCGACTACCATAGTTTACTGTAGCCTTTTTATCCCTAATCTCCTTGGAGATTATTGTTGGGAGAGTTGAGTCCCGATCTTTCCTCTTCCACTTTGATTGCCTCCTGCCTTGAGAAGGTGGGCTTGTTGACGGCTTTGTATTGAAACCGCTAAGGCCTATTTAGGTTGACTTCCTTGGTAGTCAACCCTTGACTAGAGATCGAAACATGGATTACCGTGGTATCTATGTCCAGTTCTTAATCGTATATCGGGTTTGCCAGAAATCTACAGCCATGCTGTCTTGCTGGCCGCAATTATTTGTCAAATATCTATCGTTTATTAGGTTAGGTTATATTGAAAAGAGGGACGAAACAAATCGCCGCATACCCTGGTGGGCATATACTTAAGCCAGTATAGGCCTGTTGTTCCCTCTAGACTAAAGTATTTTTAAAATCATCGTTTATTAGGTCCAGTGTCAGAGCTACAGAGCTACTACAGGTAGCAGACGATCCTGAATCACTGTCCGAGTCTGATCTTAGAGTCACTCTTGTTGAGGTCGAGTTTAACTTGGCACTTCTTCTTTGACTGAGGGTGCCAAAACGTCCATACCAGCATCGGTCGAAAAGTTTTATTTTTAGTTGGTGATTCAGGTATCAACGAAGTTTCGTGGAATTACTGTCTGTACTGACTGCAAATGAGAATTTCTTATGTGTACGAGGTCGCATAACACTCCAGCATTAGGGAGGCCCTTCTTTTTTGTGTGGGGACCAGCACAGAAGTTTGGATATCTTAGGGGCGCTTGGAGACCCGCTGACTTTCCGCGACTCCTGTTTCAATTCGCAGCTACCCAATATATATACGGGTCTTTCCACAATTCGCAAACCTGTGGGCGCGTCCGATAGCAACGAGCTACGCCTCGCGAAGTTGGAGCGTTAAATCACACTTTCTTAAAGAACACAACTCAATACTCAGATAAACTTTCACAAGCATGCTTTTTTATTTGCAATTACTGCTTTATTTCTCAAAAAACTAAAATTTACATTCCATTTCCATTCTTTTTCAGACAAAAGTATCCACTTCTCGTTCTGGATCGGTTAGCAGTTTCCCAGATGCTTTGAATGAAAACAACTCACCTACCGGTGGATTAAACTCACCTTAAAAACAACAAAGACCTATAGATTTGGAGATCGGTGAAATGTCTTATATAAGTTCAAAATAGTATACACAATATTGCAAAAATGAAAAACAACAATCAAAAATAAAGAAAACAACAAAATAACAGAAAGAAAGCTTGGCTTTGAGAGTGTGTGCAAGCGGGAAGGAAACCACCACCAATCATGCACGCTCAAATGCAATATAACATCAAATTCAATCAATGTTAAGAACAATAACATCCTTATTTATTAATAATATTTAACTTTTATAGACATTTTGCATATTGTGTAGACTTTTTATGATAAACAAAAAACGATACAACAACAAAAAGAATGCTTTAAAACTATTCAATAAAATATTCCTTTAAATAATTTTGCTTACTTGATTAAGTTTCACATTACCATACATACCATATGGAACACTTAAAAAAGCTCTATTTCCCTAATTACAAATAATACACACACAACAGTGTTTTATAAATGATTATTCCTGTACATCAATCATTCGCTGTTATACTCTGATGTCTTGTTACTGTGTCACTGTGAAAGAAAACTAACAACAACACAAATGTATTAAATATTTGCCCACAAAATTTTGTAATATTTAAAGAAGCAAGACTCTAGCTTCCTGTTTTTTGGAATACTGTATTTCCTACACATATTTTTGTTTGTTTATAATGCGCCCATTCAATTGCCTTTGAATATTACATTTTCATGCTTATTTACTATATTAATATGTGTATGTCTATTTCTACTATTAAATAAAAATGTATTTATACGTAAAAAATATAATCGGTGCATTTTTTTATTTTTGAGGTTCCTGCTAAGCAGGCTATGCTGTAATGCGGATAAGTATATATTTCGTTTCAACTCCGAAGACATTTACATTTTATCTAGTTGATGCTGTTTTAAAAACAATGCAATTTTTCAAAATTTCAGTTTGGCTTGGGACTGTTTCCTTCTCACAAATAATGATATTTAGCCTCATTTTTATTTTTTTATTACTTACGATTTTTAACGACATCTTGTTTATTCCGTATACTGTATCAACAGATCCCTGTTAATATGAGTAAAAGCATTACGGCGTTAAAACATTGCGATGAGGTAGGCACTGTAGTTATTCAGGGCTGTCATAGAAACCAATTTTGTCACTATTGGTTTTAAAAACGACAAGAAAAAATGATTTGGTGTCATGAAAATTAATGTTTTCGTTTTTATTTTCGAATTAGAATTTTATCGGTTTTGGTTGTCATAGAAGCCAATGTTATTGGTTTTGTTATTGGAAATAAACCAAGTTGCTTAGAGCTGTCACTTTTCATTTGCTTTGGATTTTTTAAACAATTTTTTTAGGATATTCGAAGGACTGAAAATGTGGATTTTTTAAACAATTTTTAAAGGACTAGAAACTTGGTTTTTTTTTAAATTTTAAAGGACTATAAACGTGGATTTTTTAAAAATTTTTAAAGGATATTTAAAGGACTACTAATTTTTAAAGCATATTTAAAGGACCATAAACGTGGATTTTTTTAAAAGAATTTTTAAAGGATATTTAAAGGATGTTGCGGGTGGCCCATGAAAGTATTTTCTGTTTTGGTTTATAAAAAATTAATTACCAGCAGCAAGTCCCCGTCCATTGCTGCCGGCAAGTAGAAAGAGAACCGGATACGCGAGGTGGCCGGCTCATATGCAAAATCCCAGCGTTGCCACATGTAATTATGCTTGAGTAGGGAAATACAACTCTGGAGTGGAGAATAGTAGGGATACGTAGGTGCGTTTAAAGCATAATATGATAAAAAGGAAAAATCCGGGAAAATTTGAGAAAAGAGGGAAAATCAGCTTGCTTTTTGTCCCTATAAAAAGGCAGAGCGGGGAAAATGTCGTTAAAGTCGTTTTGTTGTCTGTTGTGAAGGAGTACCATTGTTTCAGCCGCAAAGTTAAAATTATAATTGTTTTAAGTAATACAAATTGTGGTTGTTTTATTGTGTTCAGTGGTGTTTTAATATATGTGTTCGTGCGAAATAACTATAAGTAAGTTAAGTGCAAATTATGTTATAATGTGTATTGTGTTAAAATCTGTATTGTGTTCAGGGATCGCGCCAACGTTAACCCTGTTCTGGAAATATTGGCCCCTCCAGATATCTTCCTGGAGGTGGTCAGCAATTTTGGTGGTCAATCCATATTTTTGGAAAAAAATCGGCCCGAAACCAGCAGCCAAACTTGTATGTTGAAAATTGATCCCGTGCGTGTCTGATTGCCTTGTGATGTCTGTTGTCTAAAAAGGAGAAGAAAGTTGATAAGTACCGGCGATATAAGGTAACATTTCTATACATACCATAAGAGCCGTGATTCTCCATTAAAATTAGCATTTGCCTCCAATGGCACGAAAATAGCGCCAAACGCCCTCATGAAGCGCTAGTTGAAGACATCTAAAAATTAACAAAAAAAGGCATTACTTTAATATATTTTGAAAATAACAAAAGGATAAAACACAACAAAAATTAAACAACAGCGACGAACAGATTGAATCAAATTGTATCTATGTTTTAAATTTAGTATAAGTGTGAACGTCCCTAATTTATAAGTTAGTACATAAGCTTTATTTATCGATTTGTGAGGATTTTTAACACCTAGGAAGAAAACGTGAGTGTAGGGTTACCCCAGTTAAGTAGGACTAATTAAATGTTTGTGTGGACTGTATGGTAATGTCCATTAAAAATTACTAAGAGAGCTCTTTTAGGGAATTTATAAGATTTAGTTTATCGGCCAGATTTGGGCCGTTAGTCCTAACATTATTTGGTGGTTGCCTGAGCAATGACCCACAATAATTGGAGGTGTTAGGAATTTGTGAAAATTTTTGTTTTGTGTAAATTTAATCGTTAGAATTAAGACAGATATGAGAATAAATTGTTTTGATGTGTGATTGATGTTTTGTAATATGAACTATTAAGTGTTTCTTTGTGAGAGAGGGACCTAGTCTGTATGTAACTGAGTGGTAGGTGTTAGTGGATTTTGGGGCCCTTTAAATTACTACTTATTTATACAGGATCAAAGGGTCAAGGACGGGCGGGCAAAGTGTGGGAACTAAAACACCAAGTTCCCTTGTCATGGTCGTACGTAGTGTTTGTCGTTTTCTTTGGTTGTTTTATTTGTTTTTTTTTTGTTTCAAGTACCTCCCTTTTTGATTGTTTGACCCCTAGGGCTGATGGTGGAAGGGTTGAGAACCCCCCCTGACGTAAATATGCCTCGCCTGAGCCTGTCGAAATCCCACCATTTACCGCTTCGAGCGGCACGTAACAATATGGCGTCTAAGTTAGGCGGTCCATAAAAACATAACGCCCAGCTCCATCAGGCGGTACATAACAAGGACTATAAACGTGGATTTTTTAAAGGTCTATAAACGTGGATTTTTTTTAAGATTTTTTAAAGGTCTATAAACGTGGATTTTTTTTTAAGATTTTTTAAAGGACTATAAACGTGGATTTATTTAAGATTTTTTAAAGGACTAGAAACGTGGATTTTTTTAAAGATTTTTAAAGGACTATAAACTTGGATTTTTTAAAGATTTTTAAAGGATATTTAAAGGACCATAAACGTGGATTTTTTTAAGGATTTTTTAAAGAATTTTTAAAGGACCATAAACCATAAATCTGCCAGGCAGCTTTATGAGTAAGTTCACAATAAAAAAATTTACTTACGCTATCTCCGGCAACTCCAGTGGGTTGCTGAAATCTCTAAGAGCTTTTCTCGTCACCTTTTTTGAGCGTTCTTCGTCCAACAACACAAAAACTACCACTGCTGATGCCATCTTACTTTATTTATAGCGACTTATTCCTTTTTTTATTTACTTTACTTTTACTGATATTTCAATGACAAAAAAACACATGTAAGCAACAACAGCTGTTTCGAACATTGGTTTTATTTACATTCGAAATTGACAAAACCAACTTGGTTTCATGACACCAAATGAAACCAACATTGGGTTACATAAACGACAATAAGCAAAACCGACATGGTTTCTGTGACAGCCCTGATTGTATTTAATAGGACAACAGATAGCCCCGTTTTTTTTCAGTCAATGAAAACCATTCGAGCATTTGTTATAAGTTTATATTCTGTTAAAACTTGTAATTCAATACAGATTTATAGTTGAAGAGTTAAAAAAAAAAACAAATTTTTGCAATTTTGTGAAATTAAAGCTGCATGTATAGTTACATTAGAGAGACAAAGAAAAGATAACGGACAATTATGAAATTATTCATTTCCGCCTCTGCTTCGGCTTAATTAATAATTTTTATTTTATTTTTATTTTAATTCGGTATTGATCAGATTTTTTACAGAATACTGTTTATTCCGGGCTTTGTATCAACAGATCTAACGAATTTGATGTGTGGCCTGTCGGTTTGAGTGAAAGCTTTAAGGCGTTAAATCATTTCGATGGGGCACTGTACATTTGAGCAACGGGCAACAGAAACAACGGTCTTTTGTGTGTGATCTGTGCGGCGTCGTTTGCAATTTTGTTAAAAATTTAATGAAAACCTGTGCAATTATTCCATGGTTTGTGATAAAATTAATGGTGTAGTAATTGTGTACGTAATATATATTCTAATATATTTGGTAGGCTCATGGTTTCAGAAAAATAGTGATACATAGGTATGTTATCAGTTTCAGCATACTAGAAGCTCAAAGCTCCCTCGCAGTAGATAAGGAACAATTTGGCGCTGATAACAGCGTTTTTGCGAAATTTTGTGGAAAAGCTTAATTGCAAAAACCTAGTCAATTTAAGCAAAGAATTTCTTGTAATTAAGAACCCAATCTCAAGAATTTACAAAACCCATACATAATTTGCTAGTGTTTATTGAGAAAATTATCTGAGAAAATGAAATATTTTATTTATATTTATATTTCATTTTGTTTTATACCATGAAAAGGCTAATAACATTTTGGCGTTCTTAAAATTTATCGTACAGACCTTATGTCATCTGGCCATTCACCAAAAACAGCTGATCATCAGTTGTTATTTTGTTGTTGTTGTCTACATGAATTCGCTTCGTTTTTTTTCGCCTATGTGCACATCTGGTTTTGCGTTGTTTTGTTGGGGCCAGAGTGGATTTGATTTGTAAATTGTTAAGATAATAACAAATACATTCCAATAAAAACGAATATATAATATATCTCGAGAAAAAACTGTGGTTGTTTGTAGTAGAAGGCATGTAAATTGACGATAAAGCATTCCATTCATTAGATATTTACTTTCTAAGCGCAATATCATCTTTAGGAGAGATAGTCGTCATCATCAACATGCCACCAACAAAGGAAATCAATTACAAATCTATTTGGTCGATTGAACCGGCTGCCTCCTCGTCGTCCCGGCCTCCCAATCCTAATACACAATGCTCGCAAAGAAATACCAAAGAGGCATATTTAGAAGCTGTACGCATAATTTTGTTACTTTTAGATAACATAATTAATCATCCGAATGAAAATAAATATCGTACCATACGAATCGAAAATAAAACAATTAAGGAAAAATTATTAACACTGGAGGGTTGTGTTGAGCTCTTAACGTCCATTGGATTTCAGCGAAGCGATGATCAGTATACATTACCCAATGATAGTTCACTCGAACTCATCCGATCGTATCGTGATGCGTTGAGCAAACGTAGAGAGTTTTGGATGAATAGAAAAGAAGATGGTAAGTAGGGTTTGTAAATGGTCATAACGTCTTCCCTTTATTAAATTCTTTTATTTTCTAGATGCTCTCCAAGCCATACCGACAAATTTGAGTAATATTAACCCAGCAACATCTTTATCCGCACCCATACAAGCTTCCAAACCCTACAGACAACGAATAAGCTTTCCTCGCTTTTTGGTAAATATAAAAATAGTAAATTTGGTTACGTTGTTTTTACTTTGAGCACTTTTCAGCGCACTTCCAACCAATTCTTGGCTTCCTTGGAACAATATTCGGATGCTGTAATGCAATATGAAGATGAGCAATTATTGGCTGCTGGTCGTCAGCTAATACCTATTGATGAATTGACACAAAGGGCTAGTGAAAACTACTTACGAATTCAAGAGGAATCGTCCAAGGCTGTGGAAGAGGGAAAACCTGCTCCCAAGGAACCCGGTATACGTGATTTAATTTTAGTTGAGTTGGTGGCATGGTTTAAAAACGACTTTTTTGAATGGGTCAATTGTTTGCCATGCAAAGTTTGTGGCAGTGAGGAGAGTAAATTAAGTCGTACCGTACAGGAAGGTGATGTTCGGGTCGAAGTTGGTATATGTTGTGGTCAAGAGACGAAATTCCATCGTTACAATGACATCGCCGAGCTGTTGGTGTCGCGCAAAGGACGTTGCGGCGAGTTTGCCAATTGTTTTACATTTTTGTGTCGTTGCCTTGATTATGATGCACGTATTGTTCATCCGCTGTTCGATCATGTGTGGACAGAGGTAAATATTGACAAATTCAATTTGACTCTTAGTAAAATTGATTCTTCCCCCAGGTCTATTCCGATACAGAAAAGCGTTGGATACACGTTGATCCCTCCGATAATGTTGTCGATTCACCCCTAATGTATCAACATGGCTGGAAGAGAAATATCGATTATGTATTTGCCTATTCCTGTGATGACATACAAGATGTAACCTGGCGTTATTGTAACAATCACAAAGAAACTCTACAAAAGCGTCGTTTTTGTACGGAAAGTGAGCTGATCGAAGCTTTAATTACCATACGTAAGAAACGACAGGCAAACTTGAGTGATGAACGTAAGAAAATGCTAAGTCAACGATGTATGGTTGAGTTGATAGAGCTGACATTGGAAAGGTGGGATAATTTAGAGCCCACATTAGATGACATATTTAATGATTTATTTTTAAATTCTAGGAAACCAACAGAAAACGAATTGAAAGGCCGAAGTTCAGGTAGTTTGGCATGGCGCCAGTCCAGGGGTGAACATTCTTTTGATAATGTAAGAAAATATTTTGTTTTCACTCAAAATTCCACTTGTTTAATCATATCTATTTATAATTACAGATTTTTGAATTCACTCTACTGGAAGAGGAAATAAATCAAAAACAGTTTAATTTGCGTTACTCATGTTCCACTGATAACTATGAACGTTACATTAAAGGTGAGACATTTGAGTATATAATACATTTCAACATTAATTGGAACAAATCTAATTGCAGATTCCACCGGTCTTTGTCGCACAATTTCCAACTACAAAACATGGCAAAGCTGTCAGCATTCGTCGAAAAATATTTTGCGTAAAGTGGAACGTGATTGGAAAATGGTTTATTTGGCACGCCAGGAAGACAGTCCATATGGTGAATTGGTGTGGAAATTTAATTTCAATGATACCCCACTAAAAGTGAAATCCTACAAACTGACACTGGAAAAGAAGACATTTGGTGAAGGCCAAGTGGAGGTGATCCTAAGAGATAGCCAAACCAAAGAAATTCTCAAAACTTTGGTAAATTGTAAATCGTTTGAAATTTGTGCCAAATTATCGGGTGGTAAGGGTGATGTTGCCTGGCAACATGCCCAACTGCTTCGTCAATCGTTACATTCAAGTGAATATCCTTTTGAGTTACAATTAGAATTTGAATAACACAAGAGAAAATGTGGTGCAATAAAAGTATTCAGTTTACAATGTCAATGAAGAAAGTTGACAGACATTATGAAAGAAATAAGGATGAATGAATGGTGAAGAAATTACAAATATTATGAGGGCGAAAAGGTAAGCAGATATTTATTTTTACAGACAATATGAAAGTAGCTATTTCTAGAATTTTTGTGAAAACAAATATAACATTCATAATTGAGTTCCGGAACCTGCAATATATGCCCTTCCCTTTTTACTAGGCGAATTTGGCCGAGTAAAAATAGTAGCATGCTTGTCATCTAAACTTTTGATTTATTTAATTTATGCCGTTTGATTTTACCTTTCTTTATACCCTCAACCGTATGGCTAGAGAGGGTATGCGTCCGTCTGTCTGGCTGGTGCTCACGATAACTCTCGAAGGGAGTGTCCGATTTTCATTCAAACTTGGTACATCGTAATATTATTTCCGAACTTAGATCGAGTTCGGAGATGGGCAATATCGATCCACTCCTTCTGGTACCTCCCCCACGAAATATCAATATTTTCAAAGAAAATAACTTACTGCACAGAGAAAGAAAGAACAATCCGATTTTGCTCCAACTTTGCGATTTTGCTCCCCCGCAAAGGTTCAAAATTTTGAATATTCATGAAGCTTATAAAATACGAAATTAACATCCGATTCCATTCAGACTTGGCACATGTCAATATTTCTATCAACTCAATATCTGTTATAAAGATGGTAGAGATCGGACTTTTACTTCTGGTACCTACCCCACAAAGGATCAAATTTTAAAAAGCCAAAACGGTTATAAAATCTGAAATAAGCACCTGGTTCTCTTCAAAATACACACATCGCAATATTTTTATTAATCCAAGGACTGGTGAGAAGATGGAATATATGGTTCCACTCCTTCTGGTACCTCCCCCACAAAGGGTCAAAATTTCGAATATTCGTGAAGCTCATAAAACGCCAAATTAATGTCCGATTCTATTCATGCTTGGCACATCTCAATATTTCCGTCAACACAAGATCAGTTGTAAAGATGGTAGAGATCGGACAATTTCCTCTGGTACCTCCCCCACATAGGGTTCAAGATATTTGAAAAATTAAACGCACAAAGAAAATGTGATTAGCATCCAACTCTCTTCAAATTTAACACATCCAAATATTTTTGCTTACGCAAGATCTGTTGTGAGGATGATATATATTTGCCAACGCCTTCTGATACCTCACCCACAATGGGTCAAATTTTGAATATTCATGAAGCTCATAAAAAAACGAAATTAACATCCGATTCCGTTCAGACTTGGAACATCTCAACATATCCATCTACACAAGATCTGTTATAAAGATGGTAGAGATCGTACCATTTCTCCTGGTACCTCCCCACATAGGGTTCAAGATTTTTGAAAAACAAAACGCTGAAAGAAAGTGGAATAAGCATCCAACTCTCTTCAAATTTCACGCATCCAAATTGTATTGCTTACGCAAGATCTGTTGTGAAGATGATATATGTATATCCGCCAACCCCTTCCGGTACCTCAGGCTCACAATTTCCAATACTTATATCTATCATAACTTGCGAAACAAGTCGGCGATCCTTTACAACTTTCTATATCTAAATATTTCTCTTAACCAGAAATCTGATATGAATATGTAATTAATCGGAATATGTGTTTCCGCATAAAATTGGAGATAATTGGATGCAGTAACTCATTCGAAACTGTTTGGTTCATTTTAAATTTTTGTTAACAAAATGTAAACATTTTTTTATTTATATACAAATTTACAGACTTATTGCATAAAAGATTAACTTGTGTATCAATTTGTAAAAATCTTTACTGTTCACTGTTGACCATTTCAAACCATTGACGCATGGCCTCGCTTAAAACTAAAGGTAATTGATTAAGATCTCTTACAATAACATAGTAGGGGAAGGGGAATTCATCTAAATACGATTTAATGTTGATACGTTTATCTGGCAACATTTCCATGGTTTGGATATCCAGAATGGAATTTTTATTATCCGGATTGTCAATAATAATATAGACCAGGAAAATTCTCTGGAGTCGCGCCAATTTAATGGCATTCTTGACCTGGAAAATAAACAAACAAATGAAAAAAAAATTCTCTTGGTGTTTGTTTTTCGAATTATTTACCTTCATTTTGCCTTCACTGAATATGTTACGTCCATCACTTAAAATCAATAAAAGATTTTCAAAAAGACCATTGTCTGAGCTGCCCATGGCACCCTCCTCAGCATTCACGGTCCTTATGAAATCCAACAATCCGGCAATTTTGGTTTTATCTTGTGAAAATTGCAAAGAATTCACCAGTTTAGGACCATCGAATTGCTCGGTGTGATTTAGTAAAATTTGTGGTTGTTCACCAAATGATACCACACTTAAACGACCACTTTCCAGCAGTGTTAGGGCCTGGGAAACCAAAGATATTGCTTCCAATGTCAGTGTTTTAGAATTGTTATGATGCATTGATTTCGAGTCATCAATGGCTATGGTAATTTTATAATCACGTTGTGCCGGCTTTGTTCGTCTCAACCAAATTTTATCCTTGCGGAATTGTGATGCAATATAGGGTATGATTTTCTTCATATTTATACGACGACCAGTGCGATAGTCACCCTTTAGACGAGTACATTTTGTGGGTTCCAAAATCAAGCGCAACTGTTCGCACAAGTCTCGGGCGTTTTGTGTCATACGATTCGATATCACTTGCCATGACTCTTGGTCATCGTTAGTGGCAGCGGACTGTGGAAGTAAGGGAGAATAATTAATTTAGAGATGAGTTAGAAATATACCTTTTATGGAAAACTTACGGGTTTTTGGGAGGTAACTTGTTGTTGATACAGCTTTCTCAATTCCAACGATTCGGCTGTTGTCATATCTTCAACATTTGTAGTGTCGTTTATGAGTAATTCAGTGCTGTAAATAATGGGAAGACATTTAGAATTAAAAGAATATATAACAAGTAAAATAATATCAGTCGGTTTTCCGACAGGCGTATGCCCCCAGCCTTGAGTTATGATTATTCCAACTGTTGACCTTTTATGGAGGAGGTTCCGAAGCAGTTGGACAATATTGACCAATTCCTATCTGACCTCAGACTGATATAAATATTAAAATGTGAAAGATTAGGACTATATCGACTACTTCCTACACTTTATATGAGATATGTGCAAAATTTTGGAAAATGTGGAAGTATACGTGAGGTACCAGATATAGCGGGCCGAACTATTCCATTTTCATACTTCATTTAGTACAGATAAAAATATTGGTATGTGCAAAATTTATAACCAATTTTATGCGAAACCATAAATTCCGATAAATTACATATTCATATATTTCTGGTTAAGAGAAATATTTAGATATAGCAAGTTGAAAAGAACCGCCGACTTATTTCGGAAGTTATGACAGATATAAGTATTGGAAATTGTCAGCCTTTGAAGGTGAGTTACCTGAACGGGTTGGCAGATATATAACATCTTCACATTTGAAGAGAGTTGGATGCCTACCTCACTTTCTTTGGGCGTTTTTTTTTTCAAAAATCTTGAACCCTATCTGGGAGAGGTACCGGTAGAAATGGCCCGATTTGTAACAGATCTTGTGTTGATGGAAATATTGAGATGTACCAAGTTTGAATGCAATCGGATGTTAACTTCATGTTTTATGAACTTCATGGATACTCAAAATGTTGACCCTTTGTGAGGTACCAGTAGGGGTTGACCGATATATCCCAATTTTACACCAGATCTTGGGCCAATAAAAATATTGTGGTGTGTGTAATTTGAAGAGAACCGGATGCTTATTTCGGATTTTATGATCGTTTTGGTTATTCAAAACTTTGACCTTTTGTGGGTGAAGTACCAGAAGGAATAGTCCTATCTCTACCATGTTTATAACAGATATTGTGTGATCGGAATTATTAAGATGTTCCAAGTTTGATTGGAATCGGATGTTAATTTCGCGTTTTATGAGTTTCATGGATTCTCAAAAATTTGACCCTTTTTTAGGGATGTACCAGAAGGAGTGGACCTGATGTAATCCATTTTCACACCAGACCTTGGGTCAATAAAAATATTGTGATGTGTGTAATTTTAAGGCAATCGGACACTTACATCACATTTTATAGGAGTTATAATTTTTCAAAATTTTAACCCTTTATGGGGGAGGCACTTGATGGAGTGGACCGATATTGTCCATTTTCGCACCTGACCTATTACTGAGGCAAATATTAGGATTCGCAAAGTTGGAGCAAAATCGGATTATCTGTTTTCTTTCTGTGCAATAATTTTTTTTCTTTGAAAATTTTTACTTTTTGTGTGGGAGGTACCAGAAGGAGTGGACCGATATTGCCAATCTCCGATCTCGATCAAAGTTTGAAAATAATGTTACGATGTACCAAGTTTGGATCAAATCGGATACTCCCTTCGATAGTTCGCAACAGCCAGATATACGGACATCGCTAGATTGACTCGAACTGTTTTGAAACGGATTTGGTCCAAAGGGACCTAGGGTCTAATGAGACACGTTTTGGCCGTATCAAATAATATATACCCTGTCTAGCCGTACGGCTGAAGGTATAAAAATAGAGTTTCTAAATGCGTTTCTGTCCAGGAGTAGTTGCCTCGGCTCAAGTGTTGACTTCCTCGCAGAAACCGTCTCTATGACCGGTGCAAGGAGTACGGATATTTTTGTCCGGTTTCTGCAGAAACTTTTGAACCACTTTTTGAGGTTATCGAGAACGTGTTCAATTTGCTCCTATCCCGTCTCAAGAGTCGCAATTCAATCTTATTACTTGGCGTCGAAAGGTTGATTTTTCTAAACAACACCAAAAAAATTCAAACAACTTACTTGCAGTGGGCTGTGGTATCATTGCTCCTCGGCACCGTAATTGTCTGTACAACTTCGCCCTCAATTTCCATTTCTTCTTGTGTTTCGGCACGTTCATTAGTCTTCTCCGATGATTTCGATGGTTTATCATTATTCTTTTCCAACTTTTCGGCAGACATTTCTTCCAGATTTTCCTCCTGTTCGTCCTGGGGAGCTGGTGTCTCATCTAAATCCATATTTTCATTTGTTTCACCCTCCAATTCGTCATCGTCCTTCTTCTCTTCATCCTCGAGATGTTGCATTTTCTTTGACTGCTCCTCGGTGGCATTGTCCAGTGTGGTTTTGTCATTGGCTTTTGGATCTTTAACATGCTGATATTCATCAGCTTCCATTTCTTGGTCGTCTTCTTCGTTGTCCTTGGCATTATCGTCCTGTTGTTTTTCATTGAGCTTATCAATGGTTTTCAATTGTTTGATTTTATTCTTTTCAGCTTCGCCTATGAAATAAGAATCGGAATTAGCTTCGAAACAGGTGAAAAAAATGTAAGTTCTTGACTCTCACCTAAGGTTCTCTCTTCATTTGTTTGACCCTGACGGCGTTTTTCCTCTGTTTTTCTTTCGTTTTTACGTTCCTCTTGGGTGGCGGTCTCCTTTGTTTCGGCAATGCCTTGATGGCCACCATCAGTTGTCTATAATGAAATGAGATGAGTGAAATTTACAGTGCCCAAGAACTACTGAACTACTTACATCATTTTCTGCCTGACCCACACCGTCTTTCTCCTCTCCGGTATCCTGTTCATCCATTGTCTGCTCTTGCTGTACATCCTTTTCCGTTTGCTCAGCCGGCATTTGATCTTTGCTGCCATCTACTTCGGTGTCGGGTGTTGATTGGACATTCTCTTCCTTGCTTGATTTATCCTTGGATTGTTCATAATTTTCAGGTTTTTCTTCTTTGGATTCTTCGGTCTGGTCTTCGTCGTCGTTGGGTTTTTCTTCCTCGTCCTTAGTTTCTCCTCTTTTTTGCTGCTCTGCCTCATCTTCGGCATTTTCTTCCTCTTCCTCTGGGGTTTCTTGAGATTTATCTTCTTTCATTTGATTTTGCTCTCCTGTTTCGTCATCTGAGTCATCACTATCGTCTTCGGTTTTTTCTGGATTCTCCTCTTCCTGATTTTCATCGCCATTTTCTTGGGATTTTTCCTCCTGTTCTGGCATATTTTCCTTCATGGTGTCAATATCGAAGGGATTGTTGTCTTCACCGCCTTTGTCGTCCTGTTCATTTTCCTCCTTGTCATCCATATTCATATCACCCATATCAAATTCTTCTGGCTCTGGTGGTTCCTCCAATTCATTGTGATAGGGATTCATTTGTTCTTCATCCTGCTCCTGATCCTTCATGTCTTCAATATCTTTTTCCTGTTGTTTTCGTTTATCTTCTTTGGGATCGTTGGTGGAATCCAAACCGGTTTCTTCTTCATTGTTTTGCTCACTGTCCTTGGCCTGTTCATCCTTGGAATTTAGATCATTGTGGGAATCTTTTTCATCTTTGGACCCCTTGCCGTCATCCTCTTCTTCGAGATCCTTTTCTTCCTCCTCCTCTTGTTCCTCTTCGTCGTCACCCCAAATTTGATCATCCAATTTTTCCGCACCTTCCTCAGTTTCTCCCATTTCTTTGTTCATCTCCTCCTCGTCTTCGGATTCTCCACTGTCATCCTCTTCGGGTTTATCAGGTTTTTCGGCTTTACCCTCAAAGTCTTCACTCATTTCAATGCCTTTTTCTTCCTTGGTCTGTTGTTGATCTTCGTTCTTGTCCTGCTCTTCCTTGCGGTCTTCCGGTCGCTTGGCATCTTCCAGCTGATCTTCGGATTCAATTTTGTCGGAGGCATCTTTTTCGCCCGTTCCATCCTCCAAACCAAAACCTTCACCGTTCTTTTGGTCTTTCTTCTGTTCGCCCTGTTCATCTTGCATCAGGTCTTGGGGAACACAGAAACCTTTGGTGGAAATTTCCACAAAAACGGTCAGGACAATGGAGAGTATTTTAACGGAGATTTTATGGGCACCCAATTGTTGGAGCAAATAATATTCGGCCATTAAATTGAACTGCTCCAGTAACGGCTGAACTGAGAGTAGCTGCTGTATGAGTTGTAGTTTTTTCCGCCGAGGGCTGGGTCAGCTTGAGATTTAGTAGAATATTAGAGAGTTTGGTGTTGATGACATCCACCTGCATTGTCAGCCAATCATCCTTGAGCTCCTTATAGATTTTCGATTTCAAGTGTGGTTCTTGCAGATCATCTTCGGCGTCTTCCTCCTTCCTCTTGGGCGAGTTATTTGTGTCTTCGGCGGCGGATTTTGATGGATATTTCTTGTAGAGTTTTTGCAATGCCATTAAAATGGAGTGAATAATGTTTTCCAATTCGGGGGTTATATTTTCCAAATGATTTTCCTTGATATCCTCGGTAAGAGACAAGGACAAGGATGATGTGGGAGTTTGTAGATGCTCCTTTGTTTCTTGCAAAGAGTTACTTAAATCAATTAACGGCTTGGCAATGGGCATGAATTCCTTGGGTGCAATTTCAAAGCATTTCACCAGACTTGCCATTGTGTCTTGAATGGTTTGGTGGGCTTCCTGATAGTGTTGTAACCTTGCCTGGCAAAGGAATTCATGATTATTTTCCAGCATTTCCTTCAATGTGGATTTGCCGAGTTTCAAGATCTGTTGGGCATGACTTTGGATGGCATTGAATTGCTCAGTGTTTTGCAACAAGAGGTTGTTTCCTTGGAATAAGGCATTTTCGGGTTGCTGCTTTTTGGGAACACAATTCCAAAATAGCTTAAATTGTTCGAAGACATAACGGATTCGGATAAAGGATGATTTTAGGGTGTTATATTGATCTCTAAGAGATTGGAAATCCAGACGGCTTAATTGATGGTCATTGGATGATTGATGTATGCTTTCCAATTGCTTGAGTTGCTGCAAGGTCTGATGATAATCGTAGATGTTTTTGGTTGTCTGGGCCAGTAACTGCCTTTGGTTTTGTACCAACAAAAAGAAATCCACCGCAAAGCCTTTAATGCGTTCTATATTGGGTGGACCCAATTCCGACAGAGGCGTCAACATTATGTTCTGCAAAAGTTTCAGTTTGAATACACTCTTGTGGAAATAGAGATCGATGTTTTCATTCAATTGCAACATTTGTGGCTGTAGACGTTGCTTGGCTTTGCCCAAGTGCAGGCACATGGTCTTTATGCAAAAGGCTGGCAGGGTAAAGTCCTCAAACTCGGTACGCATTTGTAATTCCAGCAAGCCGGTCTTGTAATTCAACCCCAGATTGCTGAGAATCTTAAAGAGATCGGTGAGACCTTTGCGTTTTTGTTGTAATATGGATTTGGCCTCGAGAACTTGTTTGGGACGCTCCTTGCTGCGGTCCACTGTGAGATTGCGTAAATGTTCACATCTTTCCAGTTGCTCACTTAGCAATGTATCCAGGGCTATGGTTAATCTGGGATACAGGGCATTGGAAACCGTTTCCTTAACCACATTTCTCGATGTGTTGAAGAGCTTTTGCACCTTATTCAAGAGTGTAGAGGAGGTATTGGTGGCATTTTCCTCTTCTCCCGAATTTCCAAAAGGTTTCAATTTCTGTGCCAGCATAAACATTTTGCCATCCACACGACAATATTGTATCGTTGAATCCTGTCTCAAATCCTTACCTTTATCATTGGCCATATTGTAATCCTTGGCTGTGGCATCCTGGGGTTGGAATACGGCTGTTATTTTCTCTTTCAACAATTTTTCATATTCCTTGAGGAATTTATTCAGATTGCGATGAACCCTGGCCACATTGTTTCGCATACTGAAATAGGACAAATCTTTGTTGTAACTTTCGATTTTAACCAATTCCTTTAGTTTCTTTTCGATGGGACCCCTTACAGCCTTGTTGTGTTCCACAATTTCTTTGCTAAATTGTGAGAAATACAATTGCAGGTTGCGTAGGCCATATATCAATTGTAGTTTATGGAACTCATCCTCCTGCTTCTCCTGGGAATAGGTCAGAGAGTTGTGTAGATACAATTCAAAGGCCAACAATAATTGTAAGCGAATCTCAAAATCTCCATAACAGGATGATTCCACAAATTGTCTAAGGATTTGCAGAATATCTTTAAGATCCACTTTCGTTGTCGCCGCCGGCGCCCCCACTGGTGAAGGGTTGTTGTCCTCTGGTTCTTGAGTCTCCAAATCGGCAAAACGTTTTTCTGCATCCCGGATGTTACTCAGAGAGCTGTCCAGTTCACAGCCAGCCAAATACTCTTGGAAAAGATTGTAAATAAAGAACCAATATTTATAGGCTGAGGTTTCCACTTTCTCCTCTGTTTGAGACATGCAATTGCGCCAGAATTGCAACTCGAGGCGGGTCCAGCGTTGTACATATTCGGCAATTTCTTGTTCCTCTGCTTTGAGATGATTATTTTTATGGGCCACCTCATTCCATTGGGCCACCTTCTGTCTCAACAACTGGAAGCCGGTATTGAAACGTACCACCGAGGCCGTCGATGGCAAGAGGCGTATGCGGGCAATTATCCTCTTGATATCGAAAAGTGTGGCATGTTCGGGATATAATTCCAACTCGGTGTCGACACGTTCTTCAATGGCCGTCAACACATCTGTGCAGTTGAGAATCCCCGTTATATTGGAATCTTTGTAAAAATTGTAGGTGTGTTGCTTCTGTGGCAATTTGTAGTTGCAATTATCGGTCAGCAGGTCCTGTTGAAGGCTGATGCTGAAGCAAAAACTGTTGTAGCATTGCTGATCCATGCATTCATTAACAGCTGCCCGATAGTTGTTGTAGATACGTGAAAATACTGCCAAACGTTTTTGGAAATATTCCACAAAATCTAATTTCTCTGTAGCCTTGCTGCGCTGATGATAGTAGGCCTGGGAGTAACTGATTAAAATTTCAGCAAAACTATTGGCTATGAAAGCATAGTCTTCATCCTTAACAATGGGCGATTTTAAATCCTTCAGTTTCTCCGTTTTCTTTTTGTCCAATTTCATGACCTTCTCCAGGGTGTCTTCTTGCACAAATTCGCCAAAATCTTCTTGCAATCCGGTGGGGAACATTTCCTCAATTTCCTGCAGCTCTTGCAATTCCTCATCCTCATCTTGACATTTGGTCTTTGTGGCATACAGGCTTTCGTCTTCTTTTTTCTTTTGGCGTCTCCTTTCTTCCTCCTGCTGCCATATTTGATTGATGATATTAAAGGCGAAATCAAACTCCCGGTACAGCTCCTCACTGAGAATACTGGAAATATTTACACGATTCTTTAGTTCCAACAACTTGGCTTTCAGCAAGGCGAAATAATCCCTTTCACTTCCGGGTATTTCATTCAAAATACTAAAAATGGGACAGCGATTTTGTAATATGTCCTTGAAGGAGTTGACATTGTAAATGGCCAATGTTTGGGTGCTGGGGAACTCCATAATGTTATCCAAGACCATATGCAGTTTTCCATTGGCATTGACATTGTTGAGTTGCTCCCTATTGGTGGATGAGGGCAGCATGGCTTCTTTGACTTGCGTTAGACTGGTTTTAAGGTTAGCGAAACCCAAACTCAATTGATTAATGGCACATTGTATGGGCTGCATAAAGTCTTGATAATGACCATAATAGGGTTTCATGGTGTGATGGATGAAACGCTGGGAATTGGCCAGCCATAAATCTAATTTGTTTATTATTTCATTGCAGGCATCTACAGATTTAAGGCTGACATGTGGCCCCGCTTCCAATGTGAGTTGTGACCAAATCAGTTCTATGCTTTCAATGAAATTGTACAAAACATTGGGATCACAATTGGTACTGAGGAAATGATTGAGATCCTTAACCAAATTGGTGTACAGGCACTTATTGGGCCTTAGGGCAACTCTTTCCTCAAATTTACTTTGTTTTTGTTTTAACTCTTCAATGTTTAATTGCATTGAGTCGTATATCTCTTGGCCAAGATGTTTATATTTCATGGGAATTCTTAGGAATTCATAGGCCACGGACATGGTCAGCAGGCATTGAATATCCTCCAAAAGATAATTGTTTTTCAAACGACTCTTCTCCACCGGATCTATTAGAGGCGTAAAGGTGAGCAAACACAATTCCAAGGCACCACTTAGGGTAGTCAAAATTCCGGCAGCAAATTGTTTTTGTTGATTTGCCAGGGATCTGTGAATAGCTGGCATTTGTGTCTCCTGTTTCCTCGAAACTTCTTCCTTAAGTTTTGTAAAGAGTTTCTGGAAACCCATCATGTAATTGTTGGCATTCATAACTTCCTTGTCTTTTGCCATTTCCCGGACATAGTCGATTTCCAAAATTAAACGTTTAGCCTTGGCCATGGCTGTTTTTGCAACATTCTCTAGGCCGCAATAACTCAACGACATCATTGAGGAATTATGCCAAATCAGTTGATTAAGTTTCTCCAAAGAGTTGCGCCACAGATCCAAGTTACAAAGTGGCACCGCTTTAAAGCCACCATCTGGAGCCAAAAGCAAGTCACACAAGGTGTTTATCACACAGGGTCCTTGGTAGGCATTTATACTGGAAATATCCTCATTATTACGTAAAGCTAACATAAAATTGCCCCTGGAACTTATGCTGGACATTTGCAGAGTTATCAAAGCATTCTCCAGCAATCTTTGTAGTGTGGTAAACTGGCGATAGCCACCATTTAAATATTTCACAATATGCTGCATGTTTTCAGCTGAAATCAAATTGTCTCCAAGTTGTTGTAACATTTGGCGATACATCTGATACTCCTTGGAATTAAGGGTATTCAGTAATGCCAACGAATTGTTGTTAAGACTAACAACTTCTTCACAGTATTCATAGCTGACTTGGGGGATTTGCTCCAAGCGGGTATTGTATAAAATGCCCATGAAATACTTGACCAAATAGAATTCTCTCAATGACAAAATTAATAAATCAATTTCTTGGGGCTTCTCCAGAACTTGATCAACCTGCATTTCATCGGGATGTTCAACGTGTAGAGATGAGACCAATTTTTTCAATTCTTCCTCAATTGCAACAATATCTTCGGGGGAGATGATTTCAGCATCATCGTCATTCTCATTATTGCCATCCCGCGAACAATTGCTAATAAAACGTTGCAATTCTTGCTTCAAATTTTCTGCTACAAAGCTTCCCTCACCTCCATCCAAGTGGATTTCATTGAATTTTGAGAAATCATATTTTCGATAATGTTTCTGTAGCAGGGCATGTAATTTGCGTCTGTTATCGTCATTTAAAATTGAAAACTTCCGAGCCACATCATCGGCGGAGAAACTTCCATATTGGGGAATCAATTGGAGTAATTGATCCATTTGTTGGGCAATGCTAAACAAATGTATCTGCGAAAAAAAGAAGAAGAGATAGTATTATAATTTCTTCACCCTGCACCGCGTGAAAAAATTGGGAAAAATAACTAAGACTCGAAGACAAAACACCTCAAGTCTGGGGATTCGGTAATATGGGAAATGCAAGAAAAAGGGAACGTCACTTATCACTTATATTTCCTAATCTGGGAAACCAAGGTATCCACTTCCAAAGGACTAAAGACCGATTAATGTTTCCTCCTTTCTAGAAAGGTTAATTATTGTCAACATCGGAATAATCACCTCCGACATCAGCCAACACTACTTTGTAGGCCTATATGAATGAAGGACAAATCTATCCATACTTTTCTTTCAAAACTTGGTCGTATCCCCTTACTACTCATAGAGTAGACTGATGTTAGGCAGAATCATCGGAAATCGGGGAAAGCTTCCAAATTAAAATCAGATTCCATTCAGACTTGGCATATCTCAATATTTCTATCAGCACAAGATCTGCTATAAAGATGGTAGGGATCGAACAATTTCTTCAGGTACCTCCTCCACAAAGGGTAAAAATTTTGAATAACCAAAACGATCATAAAATCCGAAATAAGCATCCGGTTCTCTTCAAATTTCACACATGCCATTATTTTTACTAACACAAGATCTGCTGGGAAGATGGGATATATCGACGAACCCTTCCTGGTACTTCCACCACAATAAGTTCAAATTTTTGAAAAACAAAACGCAAAACGCCAACTCTCTTAAAATTTTACACATCCAAATATTTTTGCTAGCGCAACATCTGTCGTGAAGATGCTAGATATCTGGTACCTCACCCAAAAAGGGTCACAATTTCCCATATCTGTCATAACTTGCGAAACAAATCGGCGATTCTATACAATTTGTTATATCTAATTATGTCTCTTAACCAGAAATCTGTTATGAATAGATAATTGATCGGAATTTATGATTTCGCATAAAAGTGGACATTAATGTTCTCTTTCCTTCAAATGTTGTACATACACATATTATTATCTGTATTAGAAAATGGTCCGCTATAACTGATACCTCACGCTTATCTCCACATTTTCCAAAAATTTGCACATATCTCGTATAAAGTATAAGAAGGAGTCAATATAGTCCAAATCTGGCACGTTGTAATATTTTATCAGTCTTAGGTCAGATACGCATTGGTCTGCTTCAGAACCTCCCCCATAAAGGGTCAACAGTTTGAATAATCATAACTCAAGGCTGGGAGTATACATCTGTCGGCATAAACCGACCGATACTATTTTACTTGTTTCTTCTCTTATTAAGGATGAACATAATGGATTATCAGGACTCCAAGTGAAGCATTTGTCGTTAAGACAATTGTAGGTCCTTTAACCTAACCTAGTTTAACAGTCATTTTATTCCCTAAAATGATACTGATTCGGGGCACTCAATTCAAGAAAGCTTGACTGGGTTATTTATCTCTCTAAAATTTTGTAAACTCCCTTATGTGGGATGGAGCATAAAAAGATTTACGACTTCCAAACGTGTTCAAATGATCCACTTACCTGCTCTTCTCTATAAAACGGCTGGAACTGCATTAGTTGTTTGGCATAGAGTTTACGCACAATATTCAACGGATGTTTAACGCTTTCAATGTAATTTCGCACATTTTCCAAGCTCTGCTTTAATGCTTGCAATGCCTCGTCCGCGGGCAATAGTTTTTCAATATTTTTACACAATTTTTTATCCAACCATTTGAAATGTAATTGAAGTTTATCCATCAAATCGACATTGACTTCTTTGTTGTGGAAAACATTTCCTTTGGAAGTCTCCAAAAGACGATTAAACCACAACACCGCGGTGTGTAGGGCAATAAATGACTTCATATCGAGGTGGTTTTGCTGCTTCATCAAAGAACTCTTCAAAACCTTTTGCAAATTATCCATTAATAACGAATAGTTTTGTAAAAATTCATTGTTTAGTTTATCGGTTATGGTTCTGCTGACCACTGCTTGGGAATATGTAATGGCATTGATGTTGCTTAGTTTGTTGATCGCTTCATGGGGAATGTCATGTAATAATGTCTTAACAATTAATGTTGAACTAAGACCCAGGGATTTGCTATCCAATAGACGCAAAGTTTCCATATCATAGTCGCGTATACGTGGATATAATTTCGGGTTCCAAGGTAGGTCCTTTGAAGCTGCTGCTGAGATACCCAGTTCTTGAGCACCTGTTTGTATGCTTTCATATAAATCATCTGATAGTTGTTTCAATTCCGGATAATTTTCTCCCAATAACTGACTAAGCATCAGGTGTCTTAGTTTTAAATCCTTTAGGGAGCTGGTTTCGTATAGAATGTAAACAACATATTTGAAAAGAGTTCCCAGTTGTACATTTTCCATTTTTGTTTGGGAGAATCCAGTAAATACTTTTTGCAAAACTGCCTTCAGTTGTTGGCTAGATGTAATACCTGTTTTCAGGGCGATACGCAATGGAACCAATTGCAATTTAATCATTGCCATTTCATTTAAGTCATTGCAATTTAATAAAACATCCTGGAGATAGTCTTCTCCTTGTTGTTCTTCTGTTTCTGCGGCGGCATACTTTTGTGACTGCTCCGCCACAACTTCTCTTAGTTTATTTTGATAATATGCCAAACCATAACCCATTAAATCAATATGGGCCGAATAGACATATACCTCCATGGCACTAACATAAATTGCCCTTTGTATTTGATAGCCAATGCGTTGATAGGAGGCCACCAAGAATGCCATTTGTATTAGATGAGATACACTGAAGTTATTGATTTCGGTCAGCTCGGAAATTCCCTCGTGTATGGCAATCAGGGTATTGATGGCATTTAAATCGTAGATGCCCTGATTATAAACCAACAAACGTTTGTCATCAACATCCAGGCAATCTTTACCGGCCAATGCCAGCTCAACACAACGATTACGCATGGCCCTTGAGAGTTCACCATTTTTGGGATCTATTGTCAGGAAGGCTCGGAAATTTGGTGATTTTTTGACAATCTCTGTGAGATCACTGTCTTTGGAAACGCCCTTTTCGGAGATCATCAAACAGCCATTGGGTTCGAATACAGGATTTAAACGATCCAAAACGGCAGAGGAGCACAAATTCACATGTTCCAGCGAGATGTATTGGCCGTATTTCAAAGAACGTACTATTTGCGAATCAACCCATTCGAAATAGCCTCCGGTATTTAAGGTATCGGCATTTTCCACATGAGCCTTGAGAAGCAGCAGCAGGTTTTGCAGATTTTTTAAAACACCCAAAGATTTCTCATTTGTGCTGCTTAGATGTTGGCATAATTTCTCGATGCAGTTATTTAGATTGGCTATACGTTTGCGGTAAATGGTTAATTCTTCGGATACAACAGATTTTGAACGGAATTCTATAAAAAATGAAAAGAGTTTTTAATTTTGTAATGAAATGTGTTTGATTGCATTGGATATCATACCACATTTGGAATTTGATAAAATACTATAATTGCTCCAGGAATCATAGACCTCAATAATACGCTTAGTGGAGGAGCTTGATCCTGAGTCCAGAATCGCTTCTTGTATGAAATGCAAATATATGGTTTCTACTTGTTTTGAGATTTCCTCCAAATGACGATTCAAATCAATCTGCAAAGCGGAAAAAATGAAATATATGTATACTTTTGTGTGTACAGTACATTCGAGAATTGATGCACAACTAACCTGTTGAAAACTTCCCGTTACGGAATCATCAATATTATCCGTATTACACAATTGATTCGATAGACAACAGACGGCATCAATAATTTTCGTCTTTCCTGAATCGGTGGTGCCACACAACAGTACCGGTTTTTCCATGTGCAAACTTTCAATGACATTCTTCAACGTTTCCCGTTGAGAGGCCAACAACAATGGCAACGATTCACCGCTGGCATCTTTCGAAGAACGCAAAGGATTTGTATCCCTTTCCAGGACTATATCGTTGATATAAATTCTATCCGCTGTCCAATAGAGACTCACATCCTCAGAGATCTCATTCAAATGATCGACATCACATTGGAATATTTGGGCAAAGGCATTGCGTATAAACTGCTTATCCTGGTCGCAACGCATTCGCTGATAATAGACCAATTTCATGCGTTCGTAGAGCACCAACAGGAAATTATCGAAATTTTGTTGGAATGTCATTTGCGTTTGCACAGTATAACCCGTTTTGGGACCAATTAGCAAGTCGCACCAGCGCAAGATATCACGTAAGTTGATTTCATATGGACCACCCCGATAGCCGAATTCCATGGTGGTAATGCCACGATCTAGGGTTTCCGAGAAGCGTACCAAACGCAAAGCTATATCGAAAGTGATTTCATCTGTATCTCCTCCATTCGTTGGGCAATTGGTCTTCAAAGCTTTGTGGATATCAAATAAGTTGCCCTTTAAGACACCGGCATTATCTGCCGGCAAAGTTGCCACAAATTGTTGCATTAATTCAGCAAAATGTGACTGATATTTGCCCTCGATGACATGCAGCAAATCTTCGGTAGTAAGTTTCCTTACATAGACTTTGGTGAAACGATTCAGGAAGGATTGAGGCAAACCCTTACGTCCTCCGCCCTGTTTCAGGGGATTTTGACTGGCAAAGATTCGTGTCTGTTTGTTGAGGGAAAATGTTTTATTCAGTTCTGGTATATACACCTCACCACGATGATCCAATATGGCATTGAGACCCTCCAACACTGATTGTGGGGCCAAATTCAATTCGTCCAGCAGAATCCATGTGTGGTCAGCTTTGAGGGCCGACAAAAGGGGACCATCACGCCATACAAATGAGCCAATTTGAGGGGATTTTGTGGCACCTTCTCCTTGTTGCTCTTGTTGTGAGTTCAAAATATTGTCTTCAGCCGGCAGATCGGTACCAAACAGATCTGCCAAGTCGGTGTGTTCACACAAATTAATACGCACATATTATAGCCAATGGCCCGGGCAACATTTTCTACAATGGAGGTCTTTCCCACACCGGGCGGACCTTCCAACAGAATGGGCTTTTGCAATGACAAGGCCGACAACAAACGGAAGAGATTTTGCTTGGTGGTGGGTGCATCGAACAGGAAATCCTGGCCCTTTGTCACAACTTCTCCCTGCTGTTGCAGATTAGTTTCAATGAAAAAGGGTTTAATACCAAATCGATTGTCCTCCGTGTATTCAACACTGATTCCTTTTTTCTCTTTCAACTCATTTAGGGTAAATTTCTCCTTGAGTATTACATTGGCCTGCCTGATGGCATATTCCAGGATTTGCAGACGTAGATTTTCTACCTTATCCATGCTGTCGTTGGTCAGCATTTCCAAAGCATCCAAGAAAATAGTTTCCAAGCCAAAAACTGCTTTTTCAGGGAAGCTGAGGGACTTATTTCTCACCAAATAGTTGGCCATGGCTAGAATATCACGTACAGAGTATTTAAACTTCTCTATAACATCCTTCATATACAGCACCACCTCCACAATGAACGAGGCTATTTTATCACCTCGTTCTTGTCCAGGTTCAGGTCTTTCTGTTCATTCAATATGCAATTGCTGGCGATTTGTATGAGGTCTTCCCGTGAGTCAGATGGTTGGCACCAAATCTCAGCAAAACGATTACGCAGGGCTGGAGAAAGTTCTTTTTTGCCAAAATCTCCACCGGGATTCATGGTGGCCAAGAATTGGAAACCTTCTTTGGCCTTGACCAAAAATTCACTAACAATTTCCGTATCACTGGAGGATTTTGTGAGACCTCCCTTTTCAGCCAAGAGCACCGTGCGTTCCGGTTCCAAAACACAATTCAAACGTTCCAAAACAGAATCTTCAGCCAGCGAGATTTCGTCAGCCATGAAGTAGCAACCTTCCTGCATACATTGAATCAAGGGGCCATCGGTCCACTCAAACAGTTTTGCATTGGAGTTTTCTCTCCCTCAGTTTGCGAGCGGCACGGACGAAGACCACCCAAAAAGTCAGCTCCCTCAGTGTGCATGTGGCAATTGAGTATTCTCAAGTTGACACCTCTAATTGCAGCCAATATCTGGCACACAGTGGTCTTGCCACAACCTGTAGGACCCACCAGCAACACAGGCTCATCGAACTGCAAAGCTTTGGCTGTTAGCACTGCCATTCTTGACATATTCCGAGTCCAAACAATATCTGAACGTTGGGTGAACTTTCTAATGGCTTCAATATATCTTTGGTTACGGGAGAAGGATTTGCATCCGTCTTGGCATCAAACAGCCTGGACAAATCAATCTTTCTCCTGAAGTTTTTAAACAAAGCTTCTTCAATTATTTCAATTTCTATTTGGCTGCGAACTTTGGCTGACAGCACCAAATAACCTTCCTCAATTAAATGTTGATTCCAATCATAATTGTTATCCTGCAAGAGTTCTTATCCGCCAATGTGTAACGTATGCCCCACCTAAACAGATCACGCAGGGTGAAAACATTCTTCGTTGTGGTCTTTCGATTCTTTTGCAAATCCACCATACAGGATACCATTTTGCGGGCATACGAGGGTGGTATAAGGCACTTCTTTTCCAAAATGATTTCCAATTCGTTGCGTGGAATGTCGGAAAAATGTAATTCAATAAAACGATTCTTAAAGGCACGAGATAGTGTCTTACGACCACCGTATAGGCCAGGAGGATTTGGGTGGCGAAGAGCATGAAATTGGGATGAGCCTTGATCACAGTTTGTGTTTCGGGTATAATAGTTCCCTGTTGTCATCGAGCACACGATTAAGGGCTTCCAAAATTTCCGTTGAAGCCAAATTCAATTCGTCCAGGATAATCCAATAGCCATTACGCATGGCCTGTACCAAAACACCCTCTTTAAGGATAGTTTCCCGATGTATCTGCTGTATAGGTACCAATGTATTCCTGCAGATCAGTGTGCTCATGATTGTTGATACGCAAACAGTGATTGCCACTGCGACGGGCCACATAGTCAATTAAACTTGTCTTACCCGCCGAAGTGGGACCCTGCAGCAGAATGGGCAGTTTTCCAATCGAGATAATACGAGCCAAATCTCTCAGATTATTTTTGACACTGTCTGTCAAAATATAACTGCTGCATTCTTCTAATTCCTTGGGTCCTTGTTGAATCCAATAGCCTTCAAAGTTCAAGTATTGTTCTCCAGGCTTGGGTATACCTTGGCTCAGTATTGCCTTGGCATTGCTCAACATTGCCTCCTTTATCAGATGTTCTACCACATTGTGCGACACGGGATCGAGCTGTGTCAAGAAACTCAAACAGAAAGATTCGTAAAGATTTCTCTCGATCGAACCGCAAAGGTTTTTGGCACATATGGCCAAAGAACGACATAGGGTACGCAAGGAATACACTGGCCTATTGCCCAGACCATCATTCAGTTCCAATTTTGCCAATTGTTTTAGTCTCTTGTACAACTTTACAATGTTCATGACACTCTTCTTTTGTATGCCAGTGGCACTGAGATAGTCAGATATCAGCAGACTTAAGTCCGCCTCGGTAGATACTTCATCCACAAAGAATTCCGTGAAACGATTACGTATTCCCACGGACAAATCCTTTTGCCAATATCTGTATTGGGGATTCATACAGGCAAATATACGAAAATCTGGATGTCTCTTGACGGGTATAAAGTCACCTTCTCCAACAACACCACTGAACCCTCAGGCTCAAGAATTGTCGACAGACATTCCAATGTCTCAGCTGAAGCCAAATTGATTTCATCAAGCAACACCCAATCACCGTTTTGATACATTTCACCAAGGATCCCGGAATAAAGGCAAAGGAAATGTTTATCGATTTGTTCAGCTGATTGTTGAGTTTGTGCAATTTGATTTTCAAATCTAACCAGCGGGGGCAGCAATAGCAAATCTTTCTCTCTCAATTCATTACGTTCGGACTTTTCAAAGACCGTCTGGCCGATCTTCAACATTAGCTTCACCACCACCGAGAAATTGCCTGATTATAGCAAATGCAAATTCGTTAGGAATGCCTCATTTTGGTTTGATTAAGGTTTGCGAAACAGTATTTCAAATTCAGTACGAAGCGGGGCAATGACACAGGCCAAGTCCACAGGTTTGAAGCCGCCTACCAAATCCGAAACATCCGATTGATTATTCATATTGATGACAACCCATTTGTGCTTGGTCCTCTCCGCCAAATAGTGCACCGATGAAGTTTTGCCCACACCTGTTTCACCAACCAAAAGTATGGGTTCTGCATTTGCCACACAAACCGCTACACGTTCCAACAAGCACGATGCTAAACGTGTAAATGAAAAAGTGGCAGCTCTTTGCCGAGTGGCTTATTGATTTCTCGGAGCCATTGGAAAGTTTGAAACGTTTAATAGCCTGTTCTTCTACCCTTTCCGTTGACGGAGGTGTTGATCTCTTCCACTGGTGAGCGGCCTGTAATTCAGCCCGACCCACCTTTATTCGATCGGCTTGCAATTGCACCTCCGGCTTATATTCTTCGGCAAAGTGTTCACAACGCGACTGTATGATACCCAACTTGGCACCGATACTCGTATTAGCTTGGTTTTCCTCTTTGCTGTGAGGCAATAGGAACAGAAGATGTCGACGGCATTTTGAAACACAAAATAAGCACATTCCGCACTGGTTACAGAGAATACAGGATTTGATCTTTGACAGAGTTTAATTAAATCCCGCGTGGACACCAAACGTCCAGAATTGGTAACTGAATTTAAATTTATCTCTCTCGTGAGGTAATTGTAGATATTGTTCCGTAGTATTGGCACGATCTTCGGTCTCTTGTTGGCGTAGATTATCGGCAACATCATGATTGCCTTTGGAGAATGTGAGGAAGACATCAACAATGCGATTGGCCACGGTTGCCAATTTGGTATAGTTCGTGCTTACCCACTTTGCACAATTCATTCGAGATAGAGGTAAAATATTGATGGTGTATAAGTATTTTTCCAACAACGAAAACAGGGCCCTTTTGTGGAAGAATTTGACGAGGATTTGCTGCTTCTGTAAAGGTGCAAAGAGGGGTTAGATTATATGGAACTTCGGTATGGGCGCAAATGATTTTACCTCACTGTCACAAAAAGCTGGAAACCGGGAGCGATCTTTACACAGTCTCTGAAGCCGGAACACTGAGATATTGGTTTTCCAACAAACCACTAGGACTGTAAATGTATCCGTTGTGGCACTGTCTAAATCTTCCAAGAGCAAAACCAGTAGCCATTCATCACAGCCTACAAGGGAAGAAGATGAAATGAAATAGGAAATTGACAACGAGTGTTAAATTGCATACCTGTGTCAATACGCCGGCAACCAAATAAATTCTCCGGTACATCTGTACCGTTATATTGAACCCAGCAATGTTATTGCAATCGGTTTGATCTCCCAAACTGTACACGAACAAACCATTTTCTGCCTCGAACCCTTGGTTCCCTTCATGTATCATTGACATCCTTTATAAAATCCATAGGCTCGGCAGTTTTACGTTAGCACCAACCTTGGGTATGTTCGAGTGACCATTTGTTGATTTTCCTTTGACAATAAAATCTTGGAATCTTTTTCATTTCAATTTCCTGTTGTTTTGGCATATTCTACCAGTTTTACGGGCTAAATATTCCACTAATGTGGTTTTACCACAACCCACTGGTCCGGACAAACATATTGCCTTGCCAGCTGTGGTGCCCAAGGCAATGCTACGTAGATTTACTTTAGTTGAATCAACGCGTACAATTTTATCATGGAGACCATCAGTTTTCGAATAGAATTCATAATTGGCCCTATTGAAAATTGGCAAAAGTACACCTTCAATATTCGTAACCAGGGAGGAATTCAAATCTATGTTTATAATACGTTTGGAGTCGTCTAGTTGTGTATCATTGGTTTTGAGTTTTTGCTGGCATTGGGTCTGAGTGTTGACAAATCTCGATCAAATTCCAAAAGCAACTCTTCCGGTATGTCAGCATTAAGAGCACGTAATTTCTGGGGACTCATATTGTAAGTAAGGCCAAAATGTGATTTATATACAACTTCAGTAGCGAGGTTTTATCATGGACCATGTTGAATAACGTTCAATAAAATCAGACCAATTCCATAGTTCTTTGAAATAATTAACATTGGCTTTGAGTAGATGATAACAGCTTTTGATAATGGTTTCTTCATTGGGCAAGGTTCAACATGGGTTTTTGATTTTTTATTTGTAACGCCATTATCCAAAGGTGTTTGGGAAAATATTGCGGCTTGTTGGAAAAGTATTTGAGGGCGTATCTAAAATGATGTGAAATCAATTATAGTAATTCAATAAGATTTAACTAAAACGTGATCAGTGTCTTGCAACCTTACCTTTTTACACTTAAGGATAAATGCATGAGCTTGGCTAGGGCCACGGCTTTGCATTGGTATTCAAGAAATTTTTCACCGGTAGCAGCGCAAATGATGCCGTCCTGAACATCATTATCAGCAATCGCATTTGTTACCAACAACAACAAACAATCTTCAAAGGCCAATGCTATAGGAACTGTTAGATTCTCCTCCAACAATGAGGAACTTAAAAACTTGAGTAGATTCTCAACATCGTTTTCTTGCAATTGCTGTAAAAATAGTTTATTAATATTTTCGTACAATTTATAAAAAAACAAAAACATACCTTCTTTTGAAGAAATGCCTCAAGGTATTTCTTCTGTTCACATTGGTTTTCTATCAGCGACACGAGGTGCTGTATGTTTTGTCTGATTTTGCTTTCTTTAAATTCCATGATATCTGCATATATTTCTATTACTTTCAATTATAATTTTAGTTATTTTTTTTATCACAAATTGTATTTTTTCAGTCTTTTATCAATTCAATTTAATATTTTATTAAAAATTTAACGAAATAACGTTTGCGTCGACCCTCAGTCCCGAAATAACACGTGCAGGCTCTCTCCCTCTACGAAATAAACAATGCTTCTCTTATCTAAAGAGAAAAAGTGTTATTGCAAGTGAAGTAGTAGCCCAGGTTTAAAAGGGAAAACATATGTTTTAATGTTTAATACGAGAAACTCTGAGAACTGAAATGAATATAAACTATGCAGATAATTATCAAAATTTTTTACTGTTATTATCTTATCTAATCTTTAATAAAATCCGAAAATGATCGTTTAAATGTCGATGCAATAATATACGTTACGTAGTCCACTAATTATGCCCTTAAAGAGATGTATGCAAAAGCTCATGGCTATGGGACCATCAATTTCAGTGAATGAGTGTAAGACATAGAACAAGAACAAGCATTTGTTTTCAATGGTACCATGGCAGAAGAATACAGGTAAACGCATCGACACGGCTGCTGGGACAATGAACTGTCAAACCAATTTTGAAATTGAAAATGTTGAATGAAAAATTAAAAGTTGTACAAATTTTTGAAAAATACGTATCATAACAACTTCCGATTGGCGCCGTATAAGAAAACTTATAAAAATCAATTTATTTTTGAACCAAGCATTTATAATTTTTGACATATCAATGTTCCCAAGCGTTGATGAGACTACCTGTATTCTTCTACCATGGTACCATGATAAAATGATACAGGTAGGCACATCAACACAGCTGCTGGTACAATGAGCTGTCAAACCAATTATGGAGTTGAAATTTTGGAATGAAAAACATCGTAATAGGGAACAATGTTTAAAAATGCATGTCTTTTTTAAAATTGTGAACCATCTTACAAGATATCATAAGGGAAAATAGATTATCACAGTAAAAACTTTTACATCCTTGCAGTCCTGGAATAGTCCATATAGTCCATAGTCGAATACGAGTTTCAGAACTTCAGAAAGTTGATTATTCGATTAATCGGAAGTCGACTTACCTATCTCTATTCGAAACTAGTTCCGTGCTCTTTTGGTGAATGAGTTCAACAACATATTTTGTCGGCCGTTTTGTTTTGATTCCCATCTTTATTCGGATTTTCTCTCTGTGTTGTCTTTCTTTTCAGTGTTGCCATAGTCCAGTGTTGACAAGCGATTATCTAGTCGGTTATTCGCATAACCGAAACTGGTTCCGCGCCCCTTTGGTGAATGTGTTCAAACCACTTGTGTTGTCGGCCGTTTTGTTGATTTCCACTTGTGTTGTCGGCCTTTCCCTTTTAACTCCCATCTTTATTATCGATTTTCTCTCTGTGCTGTCTTTCTTTTCAGTGTTGCCACAGTGCAGTGACCTTTGTTCGTTACTCGTTATTCGGTGGCGTCGGTTTGGTAATTGACATTGGCTTGTTCTAAGGCAAAATCCGACAAATTATTAATTAATTAATTAATTAATTAAAAAACAACAAAAAATTAACAAAATGACAACGGATGTAAGGGATATTTGGACATTGAACGTCCGGCGACACCAGAAATAACCAGGGACTCATTTTTGGCCACCAAAAAGAGGAACTTTGAAAATAAGCACGATTGGATGAGAAATGTGTAAACTTGTAACCATTCCATTCTTACAGAACTAAAGGTGCCTCCAAACGTCCGGAGGGCATGAATCGTGGTATTTGCCTGCTATACAACGACAACAAGATGCACCGCCATTGTTGCCCACAGACACTGCCTTGGGCATTGGTTCGGGGTACAAACAAGTCAAGGCTCGCTTGGGTATGAAAAAGGTACGGAAATGGGAATGGGCACCATTTTCGAATCCAGCACGTACCGATGGCGCTGTTTCACCACTGGCGTAGGATAAATGACGAACAGAAGGATATGCCATATCCCTTTGCCAAGTTCAACAAACAGTTGGAAATACCCCAGTACACCATGGCGGAATATAATCAACATTTACAGACCAATACCCAGAATGGTCAAAGGAGCAGACCGATCACTTGTTGATTTGGCCAAGAGGGGAGAAGATATGCATTTACATTCAATCGCTTTAAATCAAGATTTTTATTTTGTCTAGGTTCGATTTGCGTTTCATAATCATGGCTGATCGTTGGGATCGCGTGCAGTTTGGCCTGAAAAGCGTTGAAGACCTCAAGGAACGCTACTACGAAGTAATTGGCATCCTTTCAAAGGCCAAGGGACAAAATGCCAACAACGGAGCTGGTGCTGGCGACAAGAAACCCTTCGTCTTTGATATAGACATGAGCGACGACGCAAAGATCAGTTAAAGAAACTCTTTGAACGCACCAGCCAACAGGTGAAGGAGGAACAAAATCTGCTAAATGAATTGCGCAAAATTGAGGCACGTAAAAAGGAGAGGGAGCGTAAGACACAAGATTTGCAGAAACTCATTCGCAGGCCGATCAGCAGGGTGATGCTGCCACAAATGCCCAAAATGCACGTAAAATATGAAAAGAAATTGCATAAAAAGAAGATACACCATCAACCCAGACCATCGAAGGTGGATTCGGTTGTTAATGCCATAGAAGTGGGCACCAGTGGCATTAAGTTTGCCGATCTGCGGGGTTCGGGGGTATCGCTGCGATCAAAAAAAATGAAATTACCCGCCAACATTGGACAACGTAAGGTTAAGGCCTTGGAACAGGCCATACAAGAGTTAAAGTGGTAAGTGAAGTGCAAGAAAAAAAACTTTGGAAGGATAATTGTTATTATTTTTCCCCTTCACAGATCCCGCACCTCCACCCA